TGAGTTTTATGCTATGAACCAGACGCCTAACATAGACGTCATTCAGTTACATAGAGAAATATAAAGTACCTAGTGAACTTATTCACAGTATATTACTCAAACCAGGTGTTCTCTGAGTAACATTAGTATTTATTTCATCTTTCTACTCATTTGTCAGTACATAACTTATGCTTAATTTTCAAGGTGTTTTTAATCAATAATTAATAGTCATATTTTGAACTTATCCTGTGGTTTCAGTCAGTCAGACAACCGAGAATCTAGTACATACGAACGTCAGTTCGAGTGGCCGTACTCCACGGACAAGTTAGGCTAAATCCTATACTGAGGTGATAACAGTATTGTCGGTAGTATAGATTAAGCACTGAAGATATTCATTCGTTAACTAAAAATCAGGGATTGAGAACCTAAGCCATTGGGGGGAAAATGAAGTATGGATGTACTTGCGCCATTGCAAGCGATCTAAAGCCATGTCATTCAAAGTCTCTAACTAACGGTGACGATTGTCTCGCCGACCCCAACCAGGTAGTGTATACCTCCTATCATGGTTCAGTCCAACTGTCTGACTTCATGGATTTGTACCACGTTTGGTTTGGCTGCCCCTAGATTTCTTCCAACCTATTCCTACATCAGGTAGCATTACTCGTCGAAGTAGTCAATAGTTAGGCATACGTAACACAAGTCCCAACCACCTCAACCGATGAGGATTTACTGCTTCATCAGTTGATTTGCTTTTTTACGTGGTGCTATATTCTCAATGGAGGCATTCCTTACTCGGCTGTCCCAGGATGTTCGAGCGATGCTTCAAAAACATGGATGGTCGAATACTAGTAACCGACGAATATCCTTTCTTCTCAGTGGGTGTTTCACATTCGTAAAGTAGGACGTAGCGAACTACTGCGCAGTAGACTCGTCTTTTGGTTAGCAGACGGATATCTCACCTACGTCATAAGTTACATAAGTTGGAAAAATCCAGTCCAGCTTTCTGTGTACGCGCCGAGGTTTCATCATACCAGCCCATAAGCACTGATGAGACTCAATCGCTTCACTTTCAATCGCTAGTTCAAGTGCCAATGTAAGGCAATCATGAAGCAACATTTCGCACTTAGACGGTGAGAATTGCATCCTGAACGTGCTTGCATTGTTTCTTAAGGTGGCCGAAAGACTGCATTTTGCCAGCGTCTTCACCAAATAGAAGAAACTTATCGGTATATCGTAAGTCAACAAGTGAATCTCCTCGTAATAGGTCGCTTACTAAAAAATCAGACGAGGAAAGTGTTATCTCTGGTAGCATGTCTATGGCACGACCAACAGAGTAATATGCCGCCTTAAGGTCGAGAAATACTACTGTTGTGGGACGTCTAAACATGTGTCTATGTTCTATGACCTGATGGTCTGTAAAGTCAGACCCAGGTCGGAAACCAGACTGGTTTTCTAGTCTACTCTCCACAGGCTCCAGTTAGGCGTCTTAGTATTATCGAGGATTGTAAGTGAATGCTACGGCCATCCTTTTCTGAGATAGTTTCGCTAACAGATGCATTCATAGTACTAGTTTCTTTGATAAGGCGGTGCAGCTGTCCACTGTTACCTAACATCGCTGCCTTTCCCATCGCTCTTGCTTTTGCTTCCTACTATTGTTCGCGATCATTGCGTGGGTTTCTTATCAGCCTGCGTTGAAGCTGACCCCACTCTTCTCTGTGTTCAAAGCCAGATAGGATGTTTCCGAGCATCTTTCATTTCGGTAGCTGCTTCTTTGATCCAATACATACTAATCTTATGGTTTACCTTCCTTTTAGATATCACTGCTTTTTGGATATCATTTAAAGCTGCCTCGCGCTGAACACCACTTACATGGCTGCCTGACTGTTTTTCTAGTTGCTCCTGAAATATATTCTTAGCTGTGCTATCATTAAGTAGAACCGTGAAACATGTGCTCAAAAATGAGCGACAGTCCTATATCGAACCCCTCCAGCGGTGGCTGATGACAGGGTGATCTAATTGGGTTCATCGTTTGGTCGATTTGGGAGTCGCCATGTCAAAAGATGTTTTTCCTTATGCTTAAAGCTAGTATTTTTTAGGAGTAGGTGGTTATCTCAGCATTGCTGCTGCAGAGATCAGTCAGTCAGTCAGTTTCAACGTAGAACTTCGTACGTATGTACATAAGTTCATGTTGCCATACCACATTAGCACAGAGACGCAAATGTCAAATCAAATCCCATAGTGATAGAGATAGTAGAAGTATTAATGGTAATGAAGAAGACTAGGGTTTGAAGATATGATTCAAGAAGTATAATTCAGTGAGATAAGGTTAGGAAGACAAAGGTAGGAGTGCTGACGAATCCAGAAGATCAGGATTTGAGAAAGCACAAAGAATGGATGCACTTGCGTCATTGCGAACGATTTTGAGCCATGTCGTTCAAGGTCTCTAACCATTGGTGACTTTCGTCTCGCGGACCCTAACCAGGTAGCCTACATCTACAAACATGACTCAGTCCATTTGTCAGTGACTTCATGGATTTGTTCCATGTTTTGGTCTGATCGCCTCTAACTTTCTTCCAACCTACTTCTACACTACAAAACATAGCTCGTCGTGGCAGTCGGTGGTTGAGCATTCGTAACACATGTCCCAACCACCTCAACTGATGAAGTTTCACCACTTCATCTATTGATTTGCCATCCTTGCCTAGTACTCGTTTCCTAACTATAACATGGCTCACTCGGTTGTCCCACGATATACGAGCAATGCTTCTAAGACATCTATGATCGAATACTAGTAACCTACGAACATCTACTCTTAACGGCCATGTTTCGCATCCATATAGGAGAACGGAGCGAACTGCTGCGCAGTACACCCGTCCTTTGGTTAGCAAACGGATATCTCGCCTACGCCATAAACGGCGTAAATTGGCAAAAGCGAACCGAGCTTTCTGTATCCGAGCTGAGATTTCGTTAGTCACCAGGCTATCAGCGCTGATGAGACTCCCCAGATAAGTGAAGTGATCAACACGCTTGACTACTTCACTCCGTATCACTAGTGCAGGTGCCGATGCAACTCAGTCTTGAAGCAACATTTTGCATCTCGAGGAGTAAAACCGCATCTCGAACATTCTCGCATTGTTGCTTATGGTAGTCAGAAGACTCTGCATCCGTTTGCCTTAGCTGTGCAATGTGATAAAGGAATGTGAGAAGAGTTAGTCGTGGAGATAAGAGAGGCATTAGGGGGTTAAAGAAGGATTTGATTTTGATAAATTTGGTCTCGTGTGTTGTTACGGGTATGAGGGCGGTTTTCACTTCCCGGCTTCCCACACCGTGGAAGGGTGTTTCTTTAGGAACCTGAAAAGACAGGTAGATTATCGTTGGTTTTAGAGACCTGGGAGCGTAACCACAGAGCCCAAGGTACAACTGCTTAAGGCCGGTCACGCACATCCTTTTTATGAAGGGATTTTTGAGTATTATCTCCGCTCTTGAAAGCCCTTAGTGGGCACCCTTACCACCGGAGATGGAAATATGTGAGGTAGGTTGAGGTGTGACATTTTTAGGGTCGACATTTTCTAACTCCTTCCTTCCTTGTGAGAAGTTAGCATCGCTGCAGATGCTGGTTGTCCGAGGTAAACACCTTACTGCTGTCACACCTGTCTGCAGTCAGCAGTACGACTTCGCCCTCAGTCCTTGGGTAGCTGCTTTTAGTGTCTTCGTTCTCCAATCGACCTACCTGTCATGGTAGAACCTTCAGGAACATAAGTTCCAGGCAATATAGCTCGGTTGGGTCATCACGATAGGCAAGTCCGACCACCACGTCAACGCAGCAGCTTCGGTTGGGAGCAGTGATCGCCATTATCTGTTTGATCAGCCGTGACACCATAAGATCCACACAGATGTCTTTCCTTTTCACTTAGTCTACCTACCACAGCGAGGACACCAGAAGCAACAATAGAGCCTCCAGATACTCGAAGATTAAATCACGACGATTCCTTACTTGACGTGGTTAGATCAAATGAATAACACTACTCGGATCGTGTATGCGCACTTCGGAGACGCATTATACGTCGATGATACGAGATTTTAAAGTCCCAGCTAAGTAAGCTGGTTGTCTTATTTGGCACAAGGTTCGAACATTAAAAGCTTCAGCACGTAGTTAAGAGCGTGGTTTCAAGAGACCAGGAATAACGTTACGTGTGCTGGAGTCGTTTTTGTCAGCGGTGTGAGGTGACAAAAGGATCTGAGGTTTGTTCTGGGTAGTAAGACGGTTATTGGGAGGCGTGAGAAAGTTAGTCTGATGTACTGTTCGGAGATTGAGCTCAGTAGTCACTATCCAGCTGCCCACACCGTATAAGAGTATTTCTTCTTGAGGAACCTGAAAAGGAAGTTGGATTAGTGTTGGTCTGTGGTGGCGTGACTGCAGAGCCCAACGGACAACTACTTGGGTCCGGGTACACACGTTTTTTTATGTGGTGTTTTGGGACAATGCTGGTTACCATCACTTAACATAATGAATCCCGATGACAGTTCTCCATAAGCTCAGACTTGGTCGGTAATGTTTGAGTAAAGAACTCATACGAAATGTACTTCTCAGTACTCCTTTTAATGACAGACACTGTCATAGAACCACACAATCAACGAAGTCAAATGGTGCTTTAATGTTAAGGATAGTATGTCGTGGTATGAAAACAAGGTGATTTTCTCAAGTCTGCTCTTTACAAGTTGTCGTTAGTTGTTGAAGTTTTATTGAAGTTAATTAAACTTATTCTCCTACGATTGTCACAAGCGCTTGTGATCAATCGTAGCAATGGAGAATTCAATGTATTTTTACAGTGTGAAACATCTTCATGGATATTTCGCTTAAGATGTCTGAATCCGGGTATTCTTATAAATTCATTTTTTTGTGACCATAGTATTTGAACAGAGTATGTATTTTTGCTGCACAAAAATTACTATATTTCGTTCACCCTTATGCTTGCGCTTTCAATTTGTACCTCATATCAATTTTCCCATTGTCTTTCTAGAAATATTTATGCAGAAGAATCTTTATTAAACGTTAATAATGCGGAAGTAAGGATTTTGCTTAAATGTGTACTATTCTTTCGCAGAAAACCATCCGCCACAAAATATCAAATAGACGAAGATAACGGTACTTCAGAACTTTGCAGTAATGTACCCGATGAGTGTGACGCCACTCATAGTGATGCTGATTCAGATGTTGTGCAGATATCTCCTCTTTTTCTTTTGGATAGTTCAGGACGTACCGTTCTACAAGATGGCATGTTTTGAGTTAAAGTGGTTATTTTCTGCTCTAGGTACTCCAGTTGTTGAACCAGAAGTTGTTAATTCAACATACAACTCATTTAAAAGGCATGGAAGAAGTGAAAAGGGACATGCATCCAAAATATGCGCTGGATTTAGTCCAGGCGTTATGGACTTTGTCAAGTGCACGGCTTGTTGCTGCAAAATACAACCATTCTCCATGCCGTTTAGTGTCCATCCATTCTTGAAGGTGATCCTCTGTAAAGTAAGCTCGTTGGTCCGTATTTACATTTATTTATGATAGCGTTGCACTAAGTATTGCAAAAACCAGAACTTTGCAAAAGATGACGCAGGGAAGGATGATAATTGTAAATGGTGTTCAGACGGTGGAGATCTTGTGTGCTGTGATACTTGTTCGTTTGCAATTTGTAAGAAATGTATCAAACAGAACTTGGGTAGAACCTACTTGCGTAATGTCGAATCTCTGAATGAATCGGATACTTGGAATTGCTTCGTATGTGATCCTACGCCTATCAAAGCATTACAAGATAACTGCTCAGAGGTAAGCTTCTATTCTTAATATATCCACTTATAAGTTATAATTATTCACCGCTGTCATTTTTCTTTGCTAACATTTATTGACGGTACGTATATTCTTTTCTGTTTCCCCTTCTCAGTCAGTCAGTCAGTTACAATGTAGAACTTTGTACGTACGTACATAAGTTCCTGTTGCCACAGCGCATTAGCACAGAGACGCAATTGTCAGTTCAAATCCCCTTATCGGTTGTTAGTGATCTTGTATTCACTTTTATTCAAATCTTTAATGGTTAAATGTATTTTATTAATATATTTTAAGTTACCAGTTCTTGTAGATCAAATTAGCTTGACAGATTTTGACAAAATACATTAATGCTTCATCAGTTTCAAGTCTGTAGGTGGGCTGATTTATTAAAGAAAAGTTTTATTTATGGTCGATTAGTTCCTCTTGTTTATATTTTAAAAGTTAGTTTTACAACAAGCTATGAAAACTTATACAATTTCAGTATTACTATTACGTATACTCGAGTTATATGTTGGCATTGTTAGTAATAATTAGTTTCGGATATTAATTGTAATGCTTCACAATTAGACCTTACTTCAAAATAATTGTTGTTTTTCTTATGTATATTGCAGTCATCATTACCATAATGCTATTTAAAAAAAAATTAATTATTCGTTTTTAGTGGGTATTTGTTAACCAAAGGACGAGTGTACTGTTCAGTAGTTCGCTCCGTCCTACTATACGGATGCGAAACATGGCCGTTAAGAGTAGAAGATGTTCGTAGGTTACTAGTTTTTGATCATCGATGTCTCCGAGGCATTGCTCGTGTATCCTGGGACAACCGAGTGAGCAATGCTGCCATTAAGAAACGAGTACTAGGTAGGGATGGCAAATTAATAGATGAAGTAGTGAAACTTCATCAGTTGAGGTGGTTGGGACATGTGTTACGAATGCTCAACCGCCGACTGCCTCGACGAGCTATGTTTTGTGGTGTAAGAGTAGGTTGGAAGAAAGTTAGGGTCGGCCAGACCAAAACATGGCACAAATCCATGAAGTCACTGACAAATGGACTGAGTCATGTTGGTAGATGTAGACTACCTGGTTAGGGTCCGCGAGACGAAAGTCACCAATGGTTAGAGACCTTGAACGACATGGCTCAGAATCGTTTGCAATGGCGCAAGTGCATCCACTCTTTGTGTTCTCTCTAATTCTAACCTTCTGAACCCCTCATAATCTCTATCTTTCTCTTTCTAAATTTATCTCAGTGAATTATACTTCTTGAATAATATCTTCGCTCGATTACTGCTCATACTTCTACTATCTATACCACTGTTGGATTTGAACTGACAGTTAGGTCTCTGTGCTAATGTGGTATGGCAACCTGCAATGATGTACTTATTTACGAAGTTCTGCGTTGTATCTGTGTCTGTCAGTGGGTATTTTCTTATTATTACCTTCAACAGATTGTCTAGTCTTGTCACGTTTAACCACTTCTTTATATTTGCGTCATTTTTTTTCCAGATTGTTGCTAAGGTAGAGGAGTATGAAACTATAAGAAAACTTCGGTCGACAAAAGCTCAAGAAACATGGCGATCTCGTTCTAAAGTCCAATGCAGTCAATCTAATGATGTTAATATGCCAGATTTATCGTCCGATTACATTCACCCTAATAATTCCAGTGCTACAGAAGGTAATTTTTTTTTCACTGATATGATGTTAAAAATACCTTATTTTCCATGGGTTATCATCTTTATTTTTAACATAGTTATTGATTTCTTGATATTAATCCTTAGAAGTTCCCGTTGAATTTTTGAATACAATGGCTTTAATATTACTGTTCATCACCCAATTGAAGGTTTCGTTTTCGAGGTCTACTGAATAGGAGTAATGAGTGTTATTATATATAACCATAATTAGCACTGCATTGATAATTTCTAATTTGCTTCATGAATTATTTCTAAGTTATGGAGTTTTTGTTACTTGATAGTAAATATCATGTCATATTGTAGATGTCCTTAGGTGTTTCACTGTACTTGATAGGAGAACCTTACACTTTACATTTGGTAATATTTATTAAGAGGATATTTTTAATAACAAAACGCTTAAGCTATTTGCGAGATAAAAATTTAAAAATAACAACAGAAAAAAGATTTTTATTCAAAACAGTACAGTTTGTGTGTAAATGCAAACGAGGGAGATTTCACTGAGTTAAATGAAGCTTTTTTACTATTTGTAAAAAAAATATCATTGAAAGTTACAAAAAGATAATCCCTAGTCTGTATTCCTAACCATGTTCTGTCTGATAAGGTCATATAGCATTAATATGTACAAGTTTTATGATCCCCTCAGATAGATATTATAATAAACCAGCAAATGCTCATTGAGCGTACAACTAATACTTCTTATCGAAAAAATGTAACTATAGAAATATGCTACACGGCAACTTGATATACTATTGTGGTGCGAGCTACTTATAAGTAATATATGACGTGAGTAAAAACGTAATGTCTGGCAGCAGCAGATGGGGGAAGATCAAGAAAGGAAGAGTTAGAAAACAATGGAATTTGTATGAAACACATGAATAGTGACAATGGATTGATGTTTTGCAACAGGAACAGTCCAGTTCGATATGATGGACTGATAATTTGCAAATAAACGATTTACGATATGGTGTTCCGATTTTACTGAGTAACTCTGTAATTTTCGTTAAATACAACCCGGTTGCCCCACCTGTGTTCTCCTTCACTACACTATATTATCATAGCATGCAAAGCTTCAGCCAAGTAGCATATCAGAAATAGAGAAGAAAAAACATTATTTAAGGTTTATTCATGTTATAGTACTCGATACAAGCTTATCATTTCATAATGGTGTTTTACAAAGATAAAAATAGTTTATTATTTTATACAAGTTTACTTGATCAAAATAATACGTTTAAACATCGATTTTCCTTTTTTTAGGCTTGATCTCATCTTCGAATTTATTTCATTATTCTAATAATAATCTGCTTAATAAGCACAATGTATTCCAGTTATCTAATGTATCGTCAGATGGTGTAAATAATGTTAATGAATCACATCAATACGATAAAGTCAACAATGCTCAACAACTCCCCGTTATTAATCATCATAATCCATTGTCCACTTCAGAATCAATCGACCTTCATAGTATTTTTAATCAAATATCTAGTGTGAATGAATCGAATGTGAAAACAGCTCTACGAGCTTGTCAAAGATGTTTAGATATATTTGCTAAAGATATACGTCGTTTAGAGAATAATTTAATGCGTAATCCACCTCAAATGAGTTTGGATAAAATAGCACAATCATTTCAAGGCATTTATAAATTTCATTTATTCACACGATTAGGTAATCTTGTTGCAAGAATGCAAGAAGAACAAGATGAGAATGTCATTACTAATACAATTAAAAGTAAACAACCAACTTCATCGTATTCTTTGAGTGTTCTTCCTCAGTTAAATAATATTTCTACTTCCAAGCCGATATTGAATATTTCAACGGATGTAACAATTGATTTGACAAAAGAAGATAATTCCTCTGATATTGTGTCTCCTCCACCTGAAGTTTTCAAACTGAAGACAATATCATCCAATTGTTCTTCTACACCAATACATTCGGAACAATTTGCACCGACAACATCAGATGCTCATGTTAATAACAATAATAATAACGTCTGTATTACTAATATTACTACTGCTACCGGTACCACTACTACTACTACTACTACTATTAATGATAATAATAATAATAATAATAATAGTAACAATAGTAGTAACAATAATAACAATAGTGTTAAACATAAACTTGACGAGGTAGAAATGAAGTTGGAAACAGATAACGGGAAAAGACGCAAATTGGATTTTGTTAAAGAGTCAATTGATGTGAACCATCAAGTAAGAACTATCTCTTTTCTAGATTGCTTTGTTTTTTTATGTTGTTGTAATGCTAAATTCATGAACAATTTTTTAGGTTTAAACTGATCAGCTTATTTTTTATTTGTTTATAATATATTATTTCGATGGAGTTAGTGGTGTTTATTTTACAATATTGAGATTATACAGTAGATATGTATGTAAGATATGTAAGTAGTTATTGTTAGTAAAGATTGTTAACCTTTTGTTAGTGGGACATAGATTGAATTAAAGCATAATTGCGTTGTTGCACGCTGATTGGCTCTTTCGTATCCAATCAGCGCTAACAGATACTGGGGGAACATTCTAGAATCTTCTCATGTAAAAAACTACAAGTATACTAATATTTTAGACTTCTCTGTCTTCCATCTAATCTTGTTATTGGAGTATAATCGATTTGTTGTTCAACCGTGTTCTGATTTGGGAGAACGTCTCGAGAGAATTGGTGTCCGAGAATACTAAGCATTAAGAATAGCTGGGTTGTAATAACAGAGAGAATTATAACACCTTTTAATTGTGTGTACTATAGTTTTATTTACTCGCTTATCGGAGGATAATTATATTATTGTAAAAGGCTATTCTACAACACACTCTCAATTATATTTTAAAGATTATGTTTGTCTCATCTATGTATTTAGCAACTGATATTATGCGGAAACTGATCGCTGGAATAATGTGTTTATTTTTTCATAGGCTGGTAGAATATTATATTCAATAGACGAGATAAAAAAGGTTTCATCTTGTTATAGAAAGTGAAAATAATGTAGAACAGTACCAGTGGATAAAGTTGATAAACGGCTCAACGATCATATCCAACTAACTGAAGGTTTTCACGTTAAAGTCGGAAATTGAGTATTGAGGTTTTAATTTTATTCAAGACCAAAACATGGCAGAAATCCATGAAGTCACTGACAAGTGGATTGAGTCATGTTGGTAGATGTAGGCTTACCTGGTTGGGGTTCTCGAGAAGATAATAATCGATAGTTAGAGATCCTGAGTAACCTGGCTCAAAACCGTTTTCAATGGCTCAGGTGCAATAACTCTTTGTTTTCTATGAAATTCTAACCTAAATTCCTCATAATCTCTGTTTTTTTCTAAATTTATCTCACTGAATTATGCTTCTTGAATTATCATATTTGAACCCTAATCTCTCCGATTACTTCTATTACTTTGACTACCTCTACTACTATGGGATTTGAATTGATAATTATATCTCTGTGCTAACGTGTTATGGCAACTTGAACTGCTGTACTTACATGCAAAGTTTTACGTTGTTGTTGATGATGAATTTTATTAAAAATGTTTTACCGTCAAACCATTTTCTCTCTTACTGAGAGCGTGACCGCGGAGCCCAGGGGACAACTGCTTGGGGCCGGTCACGCACGGCCTTATTATGAAAGGTTTTTATTAGTATTAGCTCCGCTCTTAAAAGCCCTTAGCGGGAACCCTTACCATTGGAGACGGAAATCCGTGAGGTAGGGTGAGGTGTGACATTTTTAGGGTCGACATTTTCTAACTCCTTCCTTCCTTGTGAGGAGTCAGCATCGCTGCAGATGCTGGTTGTCCGAGGTAAACACCTTACTGCTGTCACACCTGTCTGCAGTGATCAGTACGACTTCGCCCTCAGACCTTGGGTAGCTGCTTTTAGTCTGATCGTTCTCCAATCGACCTGCCTGTCATGGTAGAACCTTCAGGAACATAATTTCCAGGCAATATAGCTCGGTTGGGTGATCACGATAGGCAAGTCCGACCACCACGTCAAGGTAGCAGCTACGGTCGGGAAACTAGATATGTCAATAATCTGTATGTATCCTAATCAAAGCATGCACCGTTTTCTTTGTAGGATGAATTATCTCATGAGCAGTTGTTATCAGAAGAACAAGATTTAGAGAGAGAAGTGCATAATCTAGAACGTCTTTGTACCAAATCTATCAATCGTAGTTTGAAAGAGCAGTCTATTGTGGATGAGAAAAAATATGGTCAGTATATTTTATTATTTGATTAATGAATATATCTTTATATACGGATATTAGTCTGAAGCATTCATTTCCGTAAATATCACAATTTTAACTCAATGTTGTTTTTTTTTCTCCTTACAAACTAACATTTTCTAAACAGTGATAAGAAATAGTTATTAATTAATTTGAAAATAATGATTTGTCTTAACTCTTTTCTCTTTAACAATCTATCCACTCTGAACATTTTTTTAATGCATAAAGCTTATATGCGGTGATATTTCATTACAATCGGTTCTCTCTTGTTGATTGATAGCTTTCAACTTTGATCACTGAAATGTATGAACAATTTAATAAATCATTACAATGATTCTATTAATTATTGTATAAACTAATATAAATATCATTTTGCCGATTATGTATATATATATGCTCTTTTGTATGGAAATTAAAAAAAAAAAATCACCATCCGTAATACAGTAGAGTAGGTCAGTGAAAAGTCATCAAATCACAAGTGCATGTGATTGACATTACACTAAATTTAAGTAAAATTTATTTTGAACTTATCAGATAGAGTGCTTTTAACTCGTCGTAGATCATTAAGTTAGTGTTTTTTTTATTTATTTGTAGGCTAATAATTTTCTCACTTGTTTTTAACTTTCATGTTGTTATTATTTTACACGATGATGGTTATGTATTTAATTCAGGAACCCTCCTGAATCAATTATTAATGAAAGCTATAAAACATTTTCATGCTGCTATTCTATTTTAACTATAGGAATATTAATATCTTTTAGTGTTACACAACTACACAACTACAAATATATATATATATATATATACATATATATATATATATATATATATATATACTACATTTAAGTAGTAAGTACTGAATCATAGCAACATATATATACAAATCTCTATTTTATTGATAGACTGTTGGGGATGTTAGATCCCCAAAATTCGCTTGATAATGCCGTATTTTAGTTTTCACGTTTTGCCAGCATGGGCTGATCAGATGACCTTGAGATTTCAATTCTCACCAGGAAAATCCATGGCTGTCATTGGCTGCTGTGTATTTTAGTATGCTATTTTCTTAACTGTCTCAAGGACGTTCTTATGTTGTATAAATAAACGAGAGTTGTATGCTTGATTGTACTGTGATTGCTGGGTGTTTGTAGAATATACTTCTACGCTTACAAAGCCTTCTATTTCGACTTGGGTATTCAAGGTAGCCTCCCTGGAAGCTGGTAAACTCGTAATAGCCTCAAGCATACTAAGTGACGAACTTATCATAGACTCGTTTATTTATACTGGGATGATAATGGTTCTGTTAAATCGTTAAGTGATAAAATCGTTTATGAATCTACTTCTCTAGTTTATTATAATTAAATTGATAGAAAATCTTCATAGCATTTAAGAAGAAGTATGCATGTTCTCCCAACTTGTACGGCAGTCAAACTCAATCGTACTTGATAATTTGAATGGTGTCAAAGTTTGGTTAATAGTTATATTTCTTACTAAGTTGGTGGAGTGTCAAACAGATAACTAAAATGCTTTTAATTTGTTCTGTTTGCAAGCCATATGTACTCTTAATTTAAGTTCCCGTTTATTTACCTAGAGAAAAGCAGCTTGAAAATGCTTACTTTTAACCTTGTGGTAGATTGTTTTCACTGGTGGTATGTTAATATTCTTTTAAATCGTAGTTATATAATTAACACTAGTTGAACGTATATATATATATATATATATATACATAATATACTGTCTTCGTTATTTTTATGGCGTTGTTTGTGAACCAACTATTTGAGGTGTCCTCTTGGTCGTATTATCTGCCTTTCAGTATGTATTAAAATCCACAAGTCACATATCTTAATTAATTCACGTACTTCTTTCCTTTTGTGACATTTTCTTTCATTTCGGTCAAATAAGTTTAAGTTACTTACAGGAAACTATATACACGTAAACGTATCATATAATGTAATAATTAGTAATGTATGGCATGGAATCTTTATCGTCAGTTAGTCAGCTGCGATATAGAACTTGGTACGTACGTACATCAGTTCAAGTTGCCATACCACATTTTCCCGAAAATATGGAAACGTCATCTGGGCTACATAATTGATGAGCACGGTGGATTTGAAGCAGATGTAAAGACGCAGATAGGCAAAGATAGCATTTCTACAGCTGAAGAACATCTGCAACTCAAAACAACTATCAACCAACACCAAGGTCACAATTTTCAACACAAATGTCAAGACAGTTCTATTGCATGGAGTCGGAACTTAGAGAACCACGAATACCATTATCCACAATATACATGTGAATCTCTTACAACCAGATTCTATAGTCCTTTTTAAGGAAGCCTATTGTCCTATTCGGAACAAGGTCCGATCGATAAAAGCTCGAGCATGTGGTTTAGAGCGTGGTTTCAGTGGGCTAGGAATAAAGTTTCGGGAAATCAAAACGTTTGCATCAGTGGCTCGAGGTGACAAAGGAATTAAAGAAGGTTTGGTCGTGGAGATTAGAGCGTTATTAAGATGATTGTAAAACCAGATAAGACCAGCGATTTATGTAAAAAAGACAGTTTACTATCCAAAATATGTACACTATCTTGAATTATCAATTTGTGAAACGGGTGTATTCTTGGCTGTCTTCTTCCACCTGTCTTCTAATTTTCAAAACACTGATCGTGAGATACATCCTGATCCTACACTTTTCTTCAGCAGTAGCTTCAGGGCAACACTCCTCTGCATTTCCACTTCTTACTACTCATAAGCCATCTTGTGAGTAGTATACATCACAAAGGTAGCAGCTACGATCTGTGTCTAAAAGAGCGTTGGACTGCATTTAATGTTCTGAGATGGTTAAGTAGTTACTAACTATGTCAATGGTTATGTAATATTAATTCTATTTTTCAGCTTATATATGAAAAATGCTCACTTTACTTTTACTGACTTTAACTTTTAGCTGAGTCGAATTTGAATCCCTCGGAAACGAAAAAACTTATTCAGGTAACTTTCATATATTGTAGTCATCTGTCTTTTAAACTATTCATTTAGCGTATATTTTCTCAGTTTCGTTTGTTGTAATGTTAGAAATAAATTTGATTGTGTATTTTTTTGAATTCAAGACAGTTTTAATCATCTATATTGATATATATCGGTTGTCAATCCACTGAAAAATATGAAGCGAAAATACAAAGCTAGTTAGAGCTACATTATCTTCGTTGGTTGTGGTGATGTTTCGTCCTCTGAGCTGGATGTTTTGGTTGTGAAGCTTTCATTGTTCTTCTGAACAACCATCCACCTGACCTACAAATTTTTTCCCACCATCTCAATATCTTCGTTGGTACACACTGTATATTAATTCAGTCATGGAACTATAACTTCAAGATAGTAATTCATCATATTAGAGGATAGCTTATAGGAAAAAAATAACAGATAATGGACATGACAAGATATGTGATCAACGGGATGGTAGCATGAGATATGGTCCAGATGCAATTGTCAAAAGAGTTGTAAATTGTTGTAACTTGTTTATATGAATATTATCACAATCACACATGTTTAATCGAATTATTAGGAACCATGTATAAATGACAGCTTGAGGATTTAGGTTGTGTAAATCACACGATTACTTACTCTTATATACTTCACGAACGTGTCTGTGCATTAAACTATGCTGTCTAGGGCTGGATTGGATGTTTGACTCTTGGTGAGTTTGTCAATGTTCATTATTAACTAGTCTCATATTAGGATTTCAGTTGGTGGTTAACTTCAGTCAGCCTATGATATAAACTACAACAGTCAGCAGACTTCATAATCTCCTTTTACTAATGGCACTTACCTACTAAAATAAAATAAAATCTTATCTATCATATTGAATATTGGCTTGGTTTATTACACTTCATAAGTACACTAATGAAAAATTCTGTTTATTCATTAATTTATATATTTGATACAAAGAATACGTTGAGTACGTTGAGTAGTAGCCAGAGATTGTTATACACTAATTAAAACAATTTGTCACAATTGAAGTTACGATGTTATACTTTACTTACTTACTTACGCCTGTTACCCCCAATGGAGCATAGGCCGCTCACCAGTTTTCTCCAACCAACTCTGTCCTGGGCTTCTCTCTCCACTTCTGTCTAATGTTTGTTCATTCCTCTCATATCTTTCTCTATTTCTCGGCGTAGTGTGTTCCTTGGCCTTCCTCTTTTCCTTTTGCCTTGAGGGTTCCATGTGAGGGCTTGTCTCGTGACGCAGTTAGGTGCTTTTCGTAGTGTATGTCCTATCCACTTCCACCGCCTCTTCCTGATTTCCTCTTCCACTGGAATCTGACTTGTTCTCTCCCACAGTTCGTTGTTGCTGATGGTGTCTGGCCAACGAATCCGAAGTATTTTGCGTAGACAACTGTTAATAAATACTTGTATCCTCTGGATGATGGCTTTGGTAGTTCTCCATGTTTCCGCTCCATACAGTAGAACTATCTTGACATTTGTATTGAAAATCCTGATTTTGGTTTTGTTTGAAAGTTGTTTGGAGTTCCAGATATTTTTCAATTGTAGAAATGCAGCCCTCACTTTGCCAATCCGCGCCCTCACATCTGCATCGGATCCACCTTTCTCGTTGATGATGCTGCCCAGATATGTAAAGTTGTTAACGTCCTTGAAAACATCTCCATCAAGCGTGATTTGGTTATAAGTTAAGACTAATAATTAATTGTACTAAACTCATTAAAAAGTTGCATCTCCAATGAGAACAAAATTTTGAAGGGAGTTTAGTTTATTTAAAAATTATAGTTTCTGTTGTTTTATACAGGATGTGACAGAACATTGCTGTGTACAGGAGTGCTATGAACCTGGAGTTTTTTCTATAGCCACTGTTCGTTATACACTAACCATTTTCACTGCTTAGTTTGGACGTGGTTATATTCAGAAAAAAATACCTTTCCAATTGTTCTTTTAAAGGGCATGAGTTTTATGAAGCCTGTTATAATTCTCTCTTTATTACAACCCAGCTATTCTTAATGCTTAGTATTCTCGGACACCAATTCACTCGAGACATTCTCCCGAATCAGAACACGGTTGAACAGGAAATAGATTATATTCCAATGACAAGGTTAGAATGGAAGACAGAGAAGTCTAAAACATTAGTATACTTGTAATCTTTGACATAAGAAAATTCTATAGTGTTGCCTCACTATCGGCTAGCACTGATTCAATACGAAAGAGCCAATTAGCGTGCAACAACGCCATTATGCTTTAATCCAATCTCTGTCCCACTAACAAAACCCCTTTAGTTATTCAAACTTTCTTCTTCCTATTTCTCACTACTAATTTTAATTTACTACTTTACTTAATTTGATTGAAATTGAAATATTCATTTTATGTGTTTTTACATTAATCTTATGCTCTAAATATTTTATTATTCTATCAAAAAATTTCAGAATACTGATAATAAAAATATTAATCAACGAGTAAATCGTCGTACTAAAACATCTAATAAGAATTCCATTGAATTTGAAGATGATGATTCATGGTCAATTGAAGATAATTTGAATTCATCTCAAAATAATGCAGATGTTACATTTGATGGTTCTGAATCAAATGATTTAGCTGAAAATGATCCTATTGTTAGTGATTTACACAACTCTCGACAAAATCAACTTGATATTAAAACAAATGATTATTTGCATAATTTAAATGCTCGTGATGATTTATTGAAATCCAGCTCGGATGATGATAATGATGATGATGATGATGATGATGATGATCGTGTCGTTGAAGAAGTTGTAGACAATAAGGCAAAAGTATTAACAAATAACAATAAAGAAAATGATAGTACATCCAGTAGTAGTACAAAACTTCATGTTCATGTAAGTGAAAACGCTTCAGATAATAATAATAATACTACAAGTAATTCACTTGGAAATATACCTTTGTCTATGAATTTCGAAAAAACTGCAAGCTCATCTGATCCGACAGTTTGTTTAACCCGGTAAGTCATACAGTTTTGTGGCGTTTATTTATTTAATCAAACTGTAATGTACTACTGGCATGTAAACTTGGATGCAATCATTTTATTAATTTGTCTAGCAGTAAATTTCCGCTTCGACAACTAGTCATGGATCTTTTGCTAGCTAACTCTTGTCTGTAAGGCGTACTTACTTACGGTTTAAAGGGAGGGATTAATTCTCATGCGATCGGAAACCGCATTACATAGTGTTGCGATCAGAGTCCTTATCAGAAAATCATTTGGGACGACAAACGCTTTCCTGTATGATTATTTATTTCGCACGGATACAGAAGGCTCGATTGGCTTTTACCAGCGTGCGTCACTTACGGCGTAGGCGAGACATTCGTTTGCTAACCAGTTGACAAGTCTACTGCGCAGCAGTTCACTCCGTCTTACTATGCGGATGCGAAACATGGCCGGTGAGAGTAGAGGACATTCGTCGATTGCTTGTTTTCGATCATCGGTGTCTCCGAAGCATTACTCGTATATCCTGGGAGCAAGCAACCCAATTGTTAGGAAACTTACTGGGTAGGGATCGCAAATCAGTTGATGAAGTATTGAAACTTCATCAGTTGAGGTGGTTGAGTCACGTGTTACGTATTCCCAACCACCGACTGCCTCCACGAACTATGTTTTGTAGTGTAGGAGTAGGTTGGAAGAAAGCTAGGGGCGGCCAGACCAAAATATGGCACAAGTTCATAAAGTCACTGACAACTGGACTGAACCATGTTAGTAGGTGTTGACTACTTGATTGGGTTCCGCGAGATGATAGTAACCGATGGTCGGAGACTTTAGATGATATGGCTGAAAATTGTTTGCCATGGCGCAGGTGCATTCTTTCTCTTTGTTCTCCGAAATTCCGATCTGAATTCCTCATATCGTTCATCTTGCCTTCCTCAAGTTTATTTCACTGAATTATTCTCCTTGAATAACATATTCAAACCTTAATCTCTCCGATTACTGTTAATACTCCTACTGTGGTGTGAGCTACTTATAAGTAGTATATGACGTGAGTGTAAACGTAATGTCCGGCAGCATAATATGGGGGAAGATCAAGAAAGGAAGAGTTAGAAAACAATGGAATTTGTATGAAACGCATGAATAGTGACAATGGATTGATGTTTTGCAACAGGAACAGTCCAGTACGATAGGATGAACTGATCTTTTGCAAATGAACAATTTACGATATGGTTTTCCAATTTTACTGAGTAACTCTGTAATTTTCGTTAAATATAATTCGGTTGCCCCACCTGTGTTCTCGTTCACTACACTACTACCTCTACCACTATCTCACTTCAGCAACTTGAACAAAGTTTTGCGTTGCAGCTGTAATGAAATGAAATTTATTGCTCATTGTGGGATCAATTCTTATCGGTCTCCTTAAGTGTTATCACACTGATTCAGTTTAAACATCAGATGTTTATCATATTATGACTTCATTATGTTCAAATTTATGCACATCAGTTTAGTGTGATTGAATGATTTTCGCTGAATCTAATTCTTTCCATTTTATATTCCAACTTACCTATTATCTTGAACAAAGATTGATCATTATATATGTATATTTTGTTTTAGTCTTACTAAATCAATTGTCAACGAAAATGTCAACAGTTGTGAAAATAGATCAGATCAAACAAGTTCTCTGTTTGATGTTAACGAAGAAAGTGAATTGAAATTCAATTCAAACAATAAAGATTCTGCAAATCTTACATCTTCCACTAGTCATACACAACGAATACGGCATTTATTATCCAGTTCTGAATCTGATGAAAATAATATTGATGATAATACTGTTCATCTTGATCAAGAGGAGGAGGAGGAGGCTGATAATATCAATGATGATGATTGTGAAAGTGAACAAAGCACATCAAAATCATCAAAATCTGATTTACCCCAAACAAGATCTAAAACACGTAAACAGAATAGGAAACCAGCAGTAAATCCGATTAGAAAGTCACAAAGACACTCATCTGCTAGACTTATTTCTGGTCTTTCAGATAATGATGACAATGAAAATAATCATAAAACTGTAAAAGAAAATATGATTGAAGAGATGAAGAAAAAATTACAAAATACTGATTCATCAAGTGATGAAATAGACACTAGAAAACAATCTTCACAACATAAATCATCTAATACAAAACGACGTAAACGTCTACGTAAAGCTAAATCCGATGATAGTGATAATAATAATAATAATCATAATAATAATAGTATTGAAGAAGAACATTTAAAAAAAGACAATAATGTAAACAAATCGACAATAGATGAACAAATAACCGATGATACATTAGATGCTAAAGGTCGTAAAAAGATTCGTAGGATTTACGCTGCTAATCGATTATCAGAAACTACTAAAGCTGCTGAAGCTTGTGAACAAGAACGTCGACGTCGTTTAGCTGAACGGCAAAAGATGGTAAGTTATAAAACACGTTCAGTATGTATTTGAAACAATTCGAAATGTAATGTTTTTTTAAAGATTAGAATATCGTTTGTTATTTATGAATTTTTACAAACCCATTATATGTAAGTCTTTAAACTAACCTTTTATCTTTCAGAAATTTATGACAATCAGTTTAGCAAAAGCTCATGTTTAAACTCTCATTGTCCTTAATCACTAGATTATTCTTATATCTTTTGAAATCATCAATCAATCATTCTTAGACCACCATTAGAAACCTGGAATCAAAATCCCTAAATCAATCAGAATTAAATATTAACACCGTTGGATGCCGGACCAGTGGTTCAATGGTTAGGCGTTTGCGCACGATACCGAAGGTCCCGGGTTCGAATCCTGTGAGGTACAGGAGTCGTGGATGCGCACTGCTGATAAGTCCCATACCAGGACGAAACGGCCTTCCAGTGCTTCCAGGTTTCTAATGGTGATTTAACAATGATTGATTGATGATTTCAAATGTATAAAAACACAAACCTCCAAAACTTTGCCCCAAAATATTCTTATATCATTTTAGATTAAATATAGCTAGTTGTTATTTGTCAATCATATGCTGTAAACAAAATGATACATTTTCAGAATATATGTAAAAATGATCATCACTCAATAGATGTTTATTAACTAATTAAGTGTGTCGTGAGCAATGTATCACTAGTCTCTTGACGGTCGATATTCAACGTGTTCTTAGAATTCGTAATTTGCTCGTTCAGACAATCATTACTAAATCAGAAGGTGAACACGAAGTGTTGAATACGTCTATTTTGATATAACACAAATCGACTAGCAGATCACAAGCACTCATAGCAAGAGGGCAAGCACACTAGTGTGAGTGAATCGACGAATTAATTAATAAGATTAAAATGTTCATATATATATATATATATATATATATATATATATATATATATATATATATGGTAAAATGTATTAGTCATCAAAATATCTCAGACAATAACATTAAAGCGAACAGGATGAATATACGCACAGGCGGTAAGCAATGTTCAATCGTTCCAGCTCATATAAACCAAACAATGAATGATAAAAGCCAATGGTACATTTAAGTTATTGTTATACAAATTGATCAAAAGGCTTAATCAAGTTAAATATAAGCGAACTCAAATGTATGTGGAGGCACTACAAGTGAAGTCGCAAAAAATTCTACCGATTGTACTGTGACACACTTGAACGTTACCGATGGAGACTTACTACTAGAATGTTAAACATCCATCTCAAAACTAATTGTTGTTAATCACACGATTGGTAATTTGATAGATGACTCCATTGGATTTGTTGATAATTTTCCAGCTGGTTTCAGTCCATAGAGTAGATTATCAGTGCTCTTTAAATTTGGAAACAGTGTGGGAACAATTAATGTGGAGTGTTTTAAGACAGTTTTTTTTTCCGAAATTACTCATTGATATAGAAGTATAGTCTACTGATGAATGAATATACAGATTCTGGAGAAAATCTCAGCTCGGATACAGAAGGCTCGATTGGCTTTTGTCAACCTGCGTCACCTATGGCGCAGGCGAGATATCCGTTTGCTGACTAAAGGAAGAGTGTACTGTGCAGCAGTTCTCTCCGTCCTACTGTACGGATGCGAGACTTGGCCGTTAAGAGTAGATGTTCGTAGGTTACTAGTATTCGATCATAGATTTTTAATAAGCATTGATCATATATCGTGGGACAACCGAGTAAGCAATGCTGTCGTTTGGAAACGGGTGCTAGGTAAAGATGGCAGATCAATAGATGAAGTGCTAAAACTTCATCAGTTGAGGTGGTTGGGACATGTGTTACGAATGCCCAACCACTGACTGCCTTGTCGAGCTGTTTTGTGGTGTGAGAGTAGGTTGGAAGAAAGCTAGGGGTGTTCAAACCAAAACATGGCAGAAATCCATGAAATCGCTGACAAGTGGACTGAGTCATGTTGGTAGATGTAGGCTACGTGGTTGGGGTCAGCGAGACGAAAGTCACCAATGGTTAGAGACCTTGAATGACATGGCTCAAAATCGTTTTCAATGGCTCAGATGCATCCACTCTTTGTGTTCTATGAAATTCTAAGCTTGTGCATTCCTCATAATCTCTACCTTTCTCCTTCTAAATTCATCTTACTGAATTATACTTCTTGAATCATATCTTCGCTCCCTAATCTTCTCGATTACTGCTAATACTTCTACTATCTATACCACTGTTGGATTTGAAGTGGCAGTTGAGTCTCTGTGCTGATGGGGTATGACAACCTGAACTGATGTATTTACGTACGAAGTTCTGCGTTGTATCTGTCTGTGTGTCTGGAGAAAAGAATATTTAATTGTGGTAACTTCTTACTAGGTAGGTAGCTATGTTGCATGTTTACTTCGTTCCCTTATTCTTTTTCCTTCAGTCTGAACATTTTGATGAGCTATAAAAGCAGTAAATTCATTAATAATTAGACTTCATTTGTTAATTTGAAATTTCTTATCTTAAGATTGAAGTACATTTGTTATTATTACTTAAATACTGTTTCGTCATCATTGTATCGGTACGCAGAGGTGAGGAGTGTACTTTTTACCGTATTTGATATCATTTCGTGTTTCTTTGTAAAAGAAAATAACCAGAGGCCTTAAAATATTATTTTTTTTTCTCTTACCTACCTAGTATAATGATTTCATTGTTCAAGATGGTGAAGGAATCAATGCAGTTACAACAAAATTAATTTTAGATCCAAGTGATCCAGTTGTTGAAGTTCATCCAGATATAGTGAAACATTTAAAACCACATCAAGTTGAAGGTATATTTTAAATGTTGTGTATTTACATTATCATAGTAATCTTTTAAAAAAAACATTTAATTAGACGTTAATATTTCAGTTTGTTATTTGAACTTGACTTTTTATGGGATAACCATTTAGTCAGATAATAATAATAAAAAAAATTCGTATAATCTGTTGTTGATGTTGTAATTGTTTGGAACTAAAGTATAATTGGAAATAAATAGATTTGTTATAAGTGAATTATGCATATAAATAAATCTTTTGTCATCTGAATAAATATCATGTTACAACGATGTAATCATCTTTGTAGTAAACTATATTTGATATCTTATTCTGATACCCAGTATATTGGTTGATTCGTTGTTTTTGTACAATGCAACTACTGACCCTCATTACCCATAGTTTGTAACTATTCGCAATCCAACTTAGTCATACACATATCTAACGCTTGATCAACCTAACTTTAGGAGCGGGTCATACTGCTAAAAGTCAGGATAGTAATGCTTAAGACTCAAATTTTAATCAGTAATCAAACTAACGTAGATAAGGAATTGAAAGCAGTTACCCTTCATAAGTCGATAGTTCAATCAGAATAGCGCACATAAACTTACTTCGCTTTCACTGTCGGAACTTGCATTCTTAAATGATATGTTTGATTGAAATCACTTAACTTAATATGACATTATTATATCAGTAGTAGATTGAAATTCGGGTTTCTTCCTGTTATGATAGGGTATAATATTTAAATCTATGAGTTTTACTTCGGGATTCAGTCAGTCAGTCAATTACTACGTGGAACTTCGTATGTACGTATGTCAGTCCAGGTTGCCATACAACATTAGCACAGAGACGCCACTATCAGTTCAAATCCCATAGTGGTGGAGATAGCAGAAGAATTATCAGTAATGGAGAATATTAGGGATAGAAGATATTATTCGAGAAGTATAATTCAGTGAGGTAACTTTAAAAAGAGAAATATAGAGATAATGTGGAATTCAAAGGATTAGGATTTGAGGGAACACTATGAATGAATACACCTGTGCCATTGCAAACAATTTTGAGCCATGCCGTTCAAGGTCTCTAACCATTGGTTACTATTGTCTCGCGGACCCCAACCAGATTGTCTGCACCTATCAACATGACTCAGTCCACTTGTCAGTGACTTCATGGATTTGTGCCATGTTTTGTCTTCCAACCTACTCTACACCACAAAATCCACAGTTTAAACTCACTATTTCTGAAGAGTAGGGACGGTGGTATGTGGTTCTGGGAAAGCAATTTACCTGTCATGTGGTACTGTGGTGCGCGCTACTTATAAGTAGTATATGACGCGAGTGTAAACGTAATGTCTGGCAGCAAAAGATAGGGGAAGATCAAGAAAGGAAGAGTGGGAACACAATGGAATTTGTATGAAATGCGTGAATAGTGAAATGTCAGACAGTGGATTGAAGATTTGCAAATTAACGGTTACGATATGGTTTTCCTATTTTACTGAGTAACTCTGTAATTTTCGTTGAATGCAATTCGGTTGCCCTCACTTGTGTTCTCCTTCACTACAGTACAACATTCACTTTAACATACACACTCCTGAATTTCTCAATGCGATGTTTGCATTCACCAGATCTCATGCTTAGTGTGTGGTTTAATATCATTAGTTTACTATTCAATAATTTAATCAGTTACATTTTTTTTCAGATCAAAACTATTTTTCGTGTTATAACTCGAAAGAAAGTCGTAACAGCTGTTTATCTTCGTTGCATTTTATTAAGTTCCGTGCATCGCTACAACTCTTTGGTGCATCATTAATCCACCGTATTTGTATCATAATTATTGTGATAGGCTCTATGATTATTATATTTTCATTATTATAAAATGATCTTTTTTTTCTTTATCATTCTTAGCTGTTCGCTTTCTATGGGATTGCACTATTGAATCTGTGGAGCATCAAGCAACTCAAAGTGAATCGTCCTCTTCTACAGGAAGTGGTGCAATTCTTGCTCATTGTATGGGTTTAGGCAAAACACTATCTGTGATTACATTTTTACATACATTATTAAGATATCCGGAACAGATAAATATTCGTACATGTTTAATTATATGTCCAGTCAATACTTTACTCAATTGGAAACATGAATGGAATATATGGTCGCCTGAAAATGAACCGGTAGATGTTTTTGAATTAGCATCAAAGAATAGCAATAGACTTAAATTGGATATTGTAAAACATTGGCATAAAAATGTAAGCTTTATGGATAGATTTTCAATGTATCACTTGAATTTAATTTTGAAATAAAAAAATCGTTTTTGTGTTTCATTGTATCGGTACTGTTAAAAAGTAACAAATAACATTGAAACTCAGCACGTAAGGAAAAATAAAGAGTGTATGCATCTACATAATCTATATGTGTTATCTAACATCTACGACGATTGATCACAGTTATCACACGGATTAAATAATGAGTGTAGTTTTCCATACAACTGCCTGGACGAGCTATATTTTGTGTTGTAGGAGTAGGTTGGAAGAAAGTTAGGGGCAGCCAAACCAAAACATGGCGCAAATGCATGAAGTCACTGACAAGTGGACTGAATCATGTTGGTAGATGCAAACTACCTGGTTGAGGTCCGCGAGACAAACGTCACCGATGGTTTGAGACCTTGAATGACATGACTCAAAATCGCCTGCAATGGCACAGGTGCATCCAATTGTTGTGTTCTATGAAATTCTAATCTTCTAAATTCCTTATCATCTCTTTCTATTTCTCACTTTATCTCATTGAAATATACCCTAATCTTCTGCATAACTGCTAATACGTCTACTATCTCCACCACTATGTGATTTGAGCTGACAATTGCGTCTTTGTGCTAATGTAGTATGGCAACCTGAACTGATGTTGCTGATGTACGAAGTTTTACGTTGTTACTAACTGACTGATTATTCACTGAAATCATGGGCTAACACCAGTCCTAGATTTAGTCACCCACAATATCACACTAATAATTATTGTGTGTTGAATTAGGTGGTAGTTAAGCATACGTAACGTATATCCTAACCACCTCAAGTTGATTAATGATTCGAAATTTCGCCGACCGATGTTCTTGATTGTCCTTCTTAGTCACATCACTAAATGCCTTTTTTGTTTGAAATTGCCTACTGTTTTAGACTTTAATCTAGTTCTTTTTTTTTAAAACTTATGAAAATTAAGCAGTTTTCGTCTATTATTATTATTTTGATTTCTTGAAATTGTTTAATTTCATTTATATGCTACTGGACTTATTTAAAACTCTTCATTTTATTTATCAACTGCTAGATGTAGAAAACACTATCTTGTTTGATTACGTCATCTAAGTTAACTACTCTATGGTCCCAGTAATTAATTTTTGACAAGATACTGAAATCGTATGAATTAGTCCAGTCGGTTGTATTGTGTATATGATGATCATCCAACCTGAACCTCAATAAATTCCACTTACTTATTGATTAATTTGTAGTGTGTCGATTTATTGCGTGTTCTCAAGCTCGGTAATCAGCTCGTCCAGACAATCGTTACTAACTAGTGTCTGACGGTTTATAAATCAGAAGGTGAACTCGTAGTGTTGAATACGTTTATTTGGGACACATCACAAAGCGAAGAGGAGAAGGCTGTTGAACCAACTCCAAGAGATAGAGCGTGACTAAGAATATATAGTCAGACAAATATAAGACAGATATGTGACAAGCGAAATAGGCATGCACACACATGAATAAAAGCGACGAATAGCTGACAAGGTCAAATGACAAGTTGGACACGTCATGTGAGCTCATCATCCAAACCAGACAATAATAAGAACGAATGGTACATATAAATTGTTGCAATACAAATGGGTTGGTTAAATAAATTAATCGAAAGGGCTTAACCAAATTAAATGTAAGCGAACTCGAATATATGTGGAGGCACTACAAAGTGTATAAATAAATTATTAATACATATCTAGTGTAGAGTTGAAGTGATTTTATTGACGGACAAAATAAATTTGACTGACAGTTTACTTATATCAGTTATGAGTGAATATTAAAATCATAAAAACCATAATTACTTAGATATGATTCATTTTCATTTTGTTGTATTTTGTTTGTATTAATCCCTTTGAGTAGTGTAACTTTTTTTTTTCTAATGATAATTTGCATTGTATCTACACTTTTCATTTTTTTTCTTCTTCTTGTTGTTGTTGTTGATTATACAGGGTGGTGTCCTTTTAATTGGTTATGATATGTTTCGTAATTTTATTATTACATTAATGAAACGAACACGAAGTAAAGATGTGAAAACGACAATCTCTTCATCTTTATTAAATCCTGGTCCAGATATTGTTGTTTGTGATGAAGGACATTTAATGAAAAATTCTAAATCACATATAGCTAAAGCTGTATCACAAATTCGTACAATGAAACGTATTATTCTGACTGGTACACCTTTACAAAATAATTTAAATGAATGTAAGTTCATTATATGCTCTCTCTCTCTCTCTCCTATTTTTTTCTTATTGGTCAGTGTAATAATTGATATCAAGAAAGTATTCGCATTGCGGAGTTGTTGTGAAGATTGTTAAGTTCTATTTGTAACCATGAATCACCCAATGTTAGGGCGTTCGCTCACAATACCGAAGGTCCTGGGTTCGAATCCTGCGGGGAGCAGGAGTCGTGGATGCGCACTGCTGATGAGTCCCATACCAGGACGAAACGGCCGTCCAGTGCTTCCAGGTTTCTAATGGTGGTCTAACATTGATCGATTCATGGTTACAAATAAAAGAAAGTATTCATCAAAGCTATATATAATGATTTCTTGATGAAAACGTTTTTCATCCAACCGAATCTGTGTATATGGCTTCTTATTACCGTTTTCACATAAACGGGGTTCGAACACTCATGGGGAGATTTATTTCATAGCATATTTAAATGTTCATAAATAATTGTGTCGCGGGTCACCGAAGTAGGTCAACCTTACATCGAATCGAATACCGCAACAGTTGTATTGTGTGTGTGTGTATACATTCACTCATAAATTGAAATGAAATGATCAAAATGTTTATTTCAAGAATCTGTTCAACAAAAGTATTTGTAAGATTAAGTATGATTTAATTAGACTTATTAAACTAGAAGTCTTTTGTGTGTAGACTTTTTAAATCTCTACTATCCTACATAGTAATTTGACAAAGAATTTCAGTTTGGAAATTTATATAATCACTTATCTGTTTCTATAGCTTATATGTCCAAAGAAAATTAAGGTTGGCTCAAAGCTAGCTTTGTGAACAACCGCCTACCTAATTAATATACTGTCATACAAACAACCTCCTATATGTTCCTTACCGAAACAATATTGAAAAGCCGTTAATCAATTGATGTAAAATAATAATTGATTAGCTCTATCAGGATGCAATAAAACATTCAGTGTAACTATTTCACATAGTCATGAATATCTTTTAAAAATGTATAATTTATTGAATGATAATTAGCAATTTGAATATATGAATAGACAGAACAATAACACATAACACTGAATTCTGAACTAGTTTCTAAAAAGCTTAAAAAGTCCTAATTGTTCAGGTTGCATAGTTTACCTTAGGGTTCATAAAAATGATAATCCTCTGTATATTGAACTTTTTTCTTTATCTAACAGTGATCAAAAAAGAGACAATGAACTAATCAGGTTGTTTTATCTATTTGACTTTCTCCTCAACCAGCAGTTACAGTTATAATTCACAATGAACAACTACGTATGAGATTCCTTTAGTACTGAATGGTGACCAGACAGACGAAAATAATTGTTGTGGCTAGTTTTTAATTTTTTTCATGAGAATCGTTTCACCTGATACTATCAAGCTACATCTAGTGGCCTTCTGTTTGTTGTAATTGTTTAATTATGTCCACAAGCGATATGGCTATTTGATGATATAGAGAGTTGGATGTACAACGTACAAAGTTCTACGTTGCATCTGACTGACTGACTGACTGACTGAGAGTTGGATGTATTCATGATTTGTCGAACCTATAGATTAGATTGATAAGTCTTCATTAGCCTGTTAATCCTTTCTTACATATGTTTCTACTGGCTCGAGATGTTTAGTGGTTAGATGAAATCATACAACCGATCAAAATGTATTTAAATGTCTGTGAGCTCCTCTATTATCTCTACCTGGTCTACACCAGTGATGAGTGTTTGCTCTTTTATTCGATCTCGAATTCCTATTCAATACATTTGTTATTTTTGAAAGGTCACAATGAATAAACTCCAAGATACTTCAATATCTAGCGACAACAGGTCTTCTTACTCTAACTTCAGGTACTCCAAAAAACATATTGTAAATAAGATAAATTAGGAGTGATCAAAGATGAGTCAATTTACATCAAGTTAATGTGGTGATATATCGATTGGAATTTGTGTTTATCTATTACAAGACATACCAACTGAGTTATCTTCAGTAGAGCAGAGAATTTCAGTGAATTTTCACAAAATAATAAATGAATATAACCTCTAAATGTTACAGGTTAATAGTTTTCTTTTATTAGCACTGAGTAGTAATAAAGATTATTTCAGATAATCCCATTAGAAGATATATGCAAACTAATCTTTAAAAAGTGGTAAGTCATTTGTACAGACTAGAAGTACACACTAATTGAAGCAACCATGATAAATGTTCTAGTATCTGATCAGATTTGATCAAATCAGTCTATTGACTTATCAACTTTTAGCAAACCGTCTCACTTATCTGGGGACTCTCATCAGTGCTGATGGCCTGGTGACTAACGAAATCTCAGCACCGATACAGAAGGCTCGAATGGCTTTTACCAACCTGCGTCGCTTATGGCGTAGGCGAGATATCCGTTTGCTGACTAAATGACGAGTGTACTGCGCAGTAGTTCGCTTCGTCCATCGATGATTAAAGACCCTGAATGACATGGCTCAAAATCGTTTGCAATAGCGCAGGTTCATACATTCTTTTTGTTCTCTCAAATCCTAACCTTCAGAGTACCTCATCACCGTTATCTTTCTCTTTTTAAGTTTATTTCACTAGATTCTACTTTTTGAATGACATCTTCGAACCCTAATCTCTCCGATTAATGCTAATACCTTTACTACTTGTACTACTATGGGATTTGAATTGACAATTACATCTCTGTTCTAATGTGGTATGACAACTTGAACTGATGTACGTACGTACAAAGTTCTACTTTGCTATTGATTGATTGATTGATTAACTTCTAGCATGAACCGTTAATTTATTCATAAGCATGTTTGAGTTTTTTGTTCATAGTGGCTACAAAACATCCTAGACAATATAAATCATAATAGCTTTGATATGATGTTCAGTTTTGATTTTCCCCTTTAAATTGTAAACATATTACTAATCTATGTTCATTAGTTTTTGGTTTATTAATCATTTTGATCATGTTCATTTAAAATTGTTTTAAGACATTACAATGTTATCTCATTTTACAAGTCATCAGTATAGCAAATTGAACTACTATTTCATATTATTCTATTTGAAATTAATTTTTTAGTAAATTTTCTCATTATTTTTCATTTTTTTTTTAAAAATATTTTATTTTTGTTTTAATTAGATCATACAATGGTTGATTTTGTGAAACCGAATTTATTAGGAACTTTAAAAGAATTTAATAATCGTTTTGTGAATCCAATCAAAAATGGACAACATTCAAATTCAACACCAAGAGATGTAAATATTATGAAGAAAAGAGCTCATATTTTATATAAAACATTGGATGGTTGTGTTCAGGTATTATTATTATTGCTATTATTATTATTATTATTATTATTATTATTATGTCATAGTTTGCATGATTGTAGCTCGTTAAGCATGTGTTAACCGTCTAATATTGATTACAATATTGAATATATTTTTTAAGAAATGTGTTGTCAGTGCCTGACGGCTATTGAAATACAGTAATTTTCTTCGCTGTAACGTTTCTATATTTTTTACAATAATTTCCCTTTAGTATTTATGTAAACTAATTATTTCCCAATTCACTGTAGCTATCTAAACCACAACTAAATCGGTATAAATATGTCATGTTTTTTTTTTAAAACTGGTCAATATTAATTCATAAACTTATCCTAGGGGGGTGGAGGTTGTATAACATTACTGTTATTTTGAAAGAATTATAACTTTAGATTGGCTTGTTAATTTACATGATTTCACTCATTATAAGTTACTGCACACACAACCAACCTATCACTCTGTTACGCATGTACGTAACCAGCGTCAATTTGATATGCTTGAACTATTATGAGTTTACCTTAGTCAGTAAACGAGAGCGAGGATCAACGATTCGGCGACACGACAGGCTACTCTATTCCGATTGTCCCAAGCCCCCCGTTGAGTAAAAGAAGAAGACCCGATATGAGGTGAAACGTGTACTCTACAAGCATCCAGAAAGTGAAAAGTCCGAGTCCAAAAGCGAATCAGGATCCCAGACTAGAGACCCGGGTCATAAAACGTTACAGATAATGCATATTTATACAGTTAAGTCGAATAGGAAACAACATTGAAGTCTGTGACATTGATAGTTGGGACGACCAATAGAATTAGACTTACAAACAGCTATCTTAGCATATTGGATGAAAATCCTAACACACTCTGAGAATTTCCTCGCAAACCTAATCACTACCAAATGGGATTCACGGATGATGCGCACAGGACAAAACAGCCGTCCAATGCTTCCAGGTTTTCAAATAGGGTGGTTCAGTCATGTATTAATCTATATTTAAAACAATGACAACTGTTTTATTCTTTAAATAAAATAAATAAAAGATTTTATTATTATTATTATTATTTTATTTCGTTCAATTGATGATGAATTAATTTTTATTTTTATTCTGTTTTTTTTGTGTGTATGTTAGCGTAAAGATTATAGTGTATTGACGAAATATTTACCACCAAGATATGAATATGTCATTATGTGTCGATTAACTAAAGTACAACAAGAATTATATGCATATTTTTTAGAAAATTATAGTAATTTAAATGCAAACAATACTGTTTCATTAAATAGCACTACTAATACTACTAATAATACTACTAATAATCATAATCAAGATGAAACAAATCATCGAAAAAAATTATTCATGATTCAACAAATTTTATATCGTATCTCTACTCATCCACATGCATTAAGAATACATGAAACAAAAGAAGCTCGTAAAGTAAGTTTTCAATATTGATTAAAAATTAAGTTGTCTTCTATTTTATGAATGCTTCTTACTGACTTCTGAACCGCTTTTTACAGTTAAGGAAAATATACGAAATATGAGTAAAAACTTTTACCTTTAGATTTATTTGTATACGGAAACACAAGTGCATTTACATGTTTGTTTTAATGATCATAATCTTTTAGGAAGTTTTAGAAATATGCTAAATATCATTGAAAAAAATAAGTGATTATTCAATCAAAATGTAACGTCGTCTGTTATTTCTGATAAACATACCATTCAGATAAAGTATTGAAACTTCATCAGTTGAAGTGGTTGGGACATGTGTTACGAATGCCCAACCACTGACTGCCTCGTCGAGCTGTTTTGTGGTGTAAGAGTAGGTTGGAAGAAAGCTGAAATACATGAAATCACTGACAAGTGGACTGAGTCATGTTGGTAAATGTAGGCTACGTGGTTGGGGTCAGCGAGACGAAAGTCACCAATGGTTAGAGACCTTGAATGACATGGGTCAAAATTGTTTGTAATGGCGCAAGTGCATCCAATTGTTGTGTTTTATGAAATTCTAATCTTCTGAATTCATCATCGTCTCCATCTTTATCTCACTGAATTATACTTCGTAACCTAATCTTCTCGATTAGCGCTAATACTTCCACTATCTCTACCACTATTGGATTTGAACTGACAGTTGTGGTTCTGTGCTGATGGATTATGGCAACCCTACGTTATATACTCATGTACGAAGTTCTATGTTGTAACTGAGTGACTGACCAGTTTAGCTTTTATCTTGGCTTCTAAAGACGTTATTGAAAAATGTATAATGTCTGCTCTTAGCGGTTGCTTTTCATGAACTTCATTTTTTTACTTTGATGTTAAGAATATATTCTACTAGTGGAAACTCTATTTTTGTATAATAAATATTCAGAAACGTTGTGATGTGTATAGCTATTTAAATTATCATTTCTTTCATGATTAACCTAATTGATATTTTTGTATCAGTTTGGTATCACAATGGAAGAGTAAGTTACCGTAATGAGAAATTGTATCTTGCAATCGATTGTGAATTGAATTTGGATGTACTTTCTAGGTTCTAAATACTGATAATCCTTAAAATAGTGAATTAATTGCATTGTAACGATCATATCTGTTCGCCAGTTATTTCTCCCAAGTCACCTGGTACGGCTGAGAATAAGGAGAGTTCTCTCTCCTTCTCGAAATGCTTTCATAAAAGCCACTGCCAGGGAAGTCTTACTCATTACCATCTCGCGGTGAGTGTTTTGCTTGCCAAATTGAGAGGATAAAAATCGAATATCCGGCCGTCTAGACCGGGTTGGTGGATATGGAGGATTCACCTTCGGAAGTTAGAGAACCCCAATTCCAAATCGATGGCTCACTAAAGCTCAATAATCCTGTTGAGATAAATGCCGTATGAACTTATAGTCGGCCACCGGCTACCATGGGAATACATCGCAACGTTGCTTCACTTTCGTATGGACTAAATTTATAATTCAAAGACTACTAAATTGGGTCCTGAGAAGTTAATCTGTTTCAGTTTGGGCACCTGAAACAGCATTCCAGCCGACCACAATCTGTGTTATGCTTAAATATTTAGGCTCCACATTGTACCGATGTCTGCGTGTTTAAATAATAGCTAAACAATAGCTAACCTAGTGGTTGAAATGTCAATGAATGGTCAACACTTTGAATTGTCTAGAGTCATTAGTGAAAGTATTGTAGCCTCATTTGTAAATCGATTTCTTCATAAACTATCGCTTCTCATTGGAATTGCATAAATATCTTTTTTTTACATCTGTGAACTAAATTATATAACAGTGAGTTTTTGTTGTAAATAATTAATTTTGATAAAATGAATTCTCAACTGTGTTTATAGTGTTTCATTTTTAAGGTTACCCAATAAAATAATTTCCACTCTTAAAATTAAATGATCATTTTTTATTGATTACTTTTGTATTCTTCTCTTTTCTATCTTCCAGATGCTTCTTATGGATGAAGATAGTTTTATTGATGATTCAGCGAATTCCTCCGAAGAATCTTCAACTAGTTCATCGTCTTCAGATGACGATAATGATGAACATGTCAACAAAAAATCGGATGAAATTGATGTAGATGCTGAAGCTGAAAAATCATCAAATATTACTGATTCACGCATTAACAATAATAATAATACTGTTAGATCACGTCGTCGACATCGTCCACTGACTCGTCAAGAATCGAAAAATCCTACAATTATTATTGATTCAGATGACAATTCAGATAATAATAATAATGATGATGATGATAATAATTCTGAAGGTGTAATTGATGTTAATGAATGTCAAAAACCATGGTGGTATATGTTTTATAAAGATGAATATGATTGGCAAATTAATGTAGGCGCTAAAATGGATGTTTTATTTAATATATTAAAACGATGCTCAGATATTGGTGATAAAGTGATTATGTTTTCGCATAGTTTAATATCGTTGGATTTAGTTGAAAGATTTCTAGCAGAATTGAATCGTCAATGGTCTGTTTATCAAGTAAGATGATACATTTTGGTGTGTTTTTTTTAAAATTTTCTTTGTGTTTGTTTGTATTAGTGGGACATAGATGGATTAAAGCATGATTGCGTTAGCTGCGCGCTGATTGGTTAATTCTTATCCAATCAGCGCCTAGTCGATACTTGGAGAGTATTCCAGAAGCTTCTCATGTAAAAAAACTATAAAGACACTAACGCGGTTCCTATTTCACCTTCACTTCGACTTATTACTTCCACTTAACCTTGCTATTTAGAATATAAACTTTTCCCTGTTCAACCGTGTTTTGATTTGGGGACTTGTCTAGTGTATTGTTGTTGTTAGAGGATACTAAGCAATAGGAATAGTTGGGTATACAAAGAGAGATTTATCACAGTTTGTTTCAATGTTTTATGTAGGTAATGTGGTGTGCTCATCTCATGGTAGGAAATTCGATCTTCTCAGTTGAATAATTAATTTCACGTACTACATAATGCCAGCTACTAACTAAGCGGAGAAAAAAAAATATAATTTTTTTTAAAATAATGAGTAAAAAAATTGTGCAATATATATCATTTGTTTAAATTAAATCCACCGAATTTCGATTAAAATTTGTAGTTTTCTAGTGTTCTATTACAGATTTTAAGTTATATTAACTAAAAATTTTCTTTTTCATTGGGTATTGTTAATGATTCATTTCTAGTTGTGTTCATTCAGCGTTTTACTAAACATGATATATATAGATCAATAATGAAAATCTTATATTTCATATGTCTCACATCAGTGAGTATCTTTTATAGTTATATGATAAGTTCAATTATCAGTCCTTATCAATAAATTAGTCTCTCTCATCAGTTAATTAGATAGATATTTAAATACATCACATCTGTTGTTTGTTGGTTAACTTCAAGGAAATCATATTATACACGATAGTTGAGGCTCTTTCAAATTTAAACCAAAAAAGACAAAATACCACTGATTTCTTTTTATTCTCTTAAAGTAGTAAGGAATGTTTTTTTTTTTGATATGTAAAACAAAAACTTTTCTATGGATTTTCGAAATTCTCTAAATCGGAAATAAAAATGAAATGCACTGAGAAGACTGAGGCAGGCGAGGAAGATTGTATTATGCAAATTTACACTCTGAGTCAGTTAAAAACGAAAACATTATATTGAATAATCTATTTGCACACCATCTCTTTGAGTCGTGACTTCCAACAATCCAGCCTTCTTCCAATCCTGCCGTGGCTTCCTTTCCTTCCTGTTGGTACTCCATTTACTTCTTGCTTTCCGTTTTTCTCTTCTGACCGTGAGACTTCTTCTTCTTTCACGTCCCTTCTTATACTACTACTTATATCGTTCGTATAAGTAGCACACACCACAGCACAAAAATAATTTTAATCTTTCAATCAATTAATTTTTTTTCTCTATATCTCTAGGATCAGCTATCAAACGAGAAAAATCCTGACAGCATAGAATTTTCGCAAAATCCTGAAATTTTAAATCGTCCAGATTTATCAACATATTTTTCTGATATTGGGCATAATACATGGATACGTGGCTTAGATTATGAACGGATGGATGGTAGTATGAATGTAAATATACGCAAAGATTTACAGACACGTTTTAATGCTACAAGTAATACACGTTTACGATTATTTATTATATCTACTAAAGCTGGTGGACTGGGTATTAATTTAATCTCTGCAAATCGTCTTATACTTCTTGATGCATCATGGAATCCTAGTCATGATATACAATCTATATTTCGAAGTTATCGTTTTGGTCAAACTAAACCTGTCTATATTTATCGTCTTATTGCACAAGGAACTATTGAAGAGAAAATTTATGATCGACAGGTAGATAGAATAAGATTTTTTTCTTGTATTTGGATGTTTTTTTGCAATGTATACAGTATAGATTTTTTTTGTCACTACCACGTTTTACGGGAACTATTTATAAGAAAATACATTGAGCTAATTTATAATCAATTTCTGTTTCATTTTAGTAAGGTTAACCAACAAATTAAAACGAGGACTATGAATACGAAGTACAGATATTGTTCCGAGTTAGCAAGTGTTCATTCAATGCATAAGAAATAAAAATAATTGTTATTGATGTTAAAATATTACTGCCTTAATATGAAATGAAGTGAATATCACAAGTTCATGGTGTCGACGAACCATAACCCCAAAAATTCGTAATAATAAAGCAAATTACTGAATATTAGTGAGTAGTATAAAAAAGTATACATAGAAAGTAACCGAACAGTGAAGAATTAAAGGTAAAAGGCAATTTCTTGGTAAATATTGATATTAACTAAGTGGTTCGGATACGAAAAATGTCGAAATTCACTGTTTGTTTTTTCCTGAAATGTAACTAATGTAGTTAGCTGCATTACATAACATATTTTTAAAAATTCGTAAGTACGGAACTCTATCGTGAAATTTCTGCAATTCAATACAGAAAAATGCATAAGTTTTATAACATTGTCACGCAGGTGATTCTCCGTCAGTTCCTCTTAATTCTGTAGAACTGAAAAGAATATGAATATCATAAATGAATAAAGTGTAGATGTTGATAATTCTAGACTACTTTTCCTTATAATCTAGACTAATTTTGACTAATGCATAGTTTACTGTTTTGTGTGCATTAATTATCATTTTCATATGCATGTCTTTTTAAAATATATTAATGTAATTTATTCAAATTCTTTTTTCTTTTTTATTTGTATTCTTCAGGTCACTAAACAATCTTTATCACTACGAGTAATTGATGAACTACAAATTGGTCGACATTTTTCCGATGCTGATCTACAAGAATTATTTACATTTGAACCAGATATATGGTATCCTGATAAAATTGATAAACGTCCTACACCAATATTACCAAAAGATCGTTTATTAGCTGATATGCTTACAGAATATCCACAATTAATTGTGAATTATCATAATCATGATTCATTATTAGAGCATAGAGAAGATGAAGGTCTCACTGAATCAGAACGTCAAGAAGCATGGAGAGAATTTGAAGAAGAGAAACGTTTAGGTATATCATTAGCACAACATCAACGTTTATTATTACAACAAGAATGGTTAGTTCAACATCAACAATTAATGCAACAACAACACCAGCAACAACAACAACACCAGCAGCAACAATTTCAACAACTACAATATCTTCAACATCATCAACAACGTTATATTCTACCATCAAATTTTCATTATCCATTATTGTCATCTTCTAATAGGGAACAAACAACCATTGTTATTAGTGATGATAATAATAATAGTAGTAGTAATACAACTACTACTACTAATTATACTACTAATACTACTAATACTATGCATATGTTACCGATATCGACTTATGCTAGCAGTATTCCTGTCACTACTACTACTACTACTACTAAATCAAATGTTATCAATATTGACAATGGTAATAATGATGATGTACAAGTTGTTTTACCACAAGCAACTAATAGTACTACTACTAATAATAATAATAATACTATTGGAAATCCATTAGTTACTGCTTATCCATCATCACGAACTCATCAAGCACGTGTTGTGATACCTCCTGTTACTAATATGTTGAGTAAGTTGTTTTGTATATATTCTGTCTGATGGCTGTTTAAATCATATTGAATTGTAGTAGATTGCGTGATTTATGCCGCTGATTTGTATATGTAAAGAGGGTGAAAGATTTTGATCTTAACACTGAATTTATTCATGGCTTTTACGGTAACTCCATTCTTTTTGTACGGCACGTTATACTACTAAGGAATTGTGAGTAGTTTGATTTTTATTTAACCGTTTTCAGGGCTTATTAACATTAATTGTTTTACTTCTTTTCGATTCGATAACTTGAAGCATTGATAGCTAACAATTTTTAAGTTTTATGAAATCTTGTTTTCCATACTGGTATCGTACTTTTAAACATAGATATCGTTTTTCCTAGTCTCGAGATGCTTACGTATAACTTTTTAGTTGGATTAGCACTTTTCTACAGATTTCAAATTCAAGAGATCTCATCAATTTTTTTTAGGAATATTTTGACTACTCTATTAGTTTTCAAAGTTGCTGAGATGTATGTTGATGCCTTGCCACTGACAATTCGTTAACGGGCTCAATTACTAATACTCAACAAGATGAGTTTCAAGTAAACAAAAAAGAATCATTAACCGACTGATTGTGTGTATAAATATGTATAAAGCTATTACAATTTTTTGCGCTTACAAAAACAAAATGCTCCACTTAAATATTATGAATATCGGTTACTTGTAGTTAGTAAAAATAAGTGAATCATATAGAACAGAAATAAACGTTACGAAGTGATCAATGATTTTTCACTTCAGACTGTTGTATCCTACCTCATCTTACTCAAAAATAAGGTTACTAGTGAATTCGATCATATTTATTTACATTTTATTATAACGCTTGCTTAAATAATTTCGAGCTAACTCCTATTGCTTAGTATTCTCTGACCACACAATACACTGGACAAGTTCCAAAGAATCAAAAACATGGTGTAACAGGAAAAGATTATATTCCAAATAGCAAGGTTAAATGGAAATACAAAGCCAAAGCCGAAGGCGAAAAAGAACCAACGTTGGTTTCTTTATAGTTTTTACATGAGAAGCTTCTAGATTGTAATTCACGTGATCGACTGGATTAGATTTAATTAACCAATCAGTGTGTAGCTAAAAACACAAGAATTTTCTACCCTGTTCTCCGGTGCTGATTGGATAGGAAATTAGCCAATCAGCGCGCAGCAACGTAGTCATGCTTTAATTCCATCGATGTCCCACTAACACATATTTGTAAAGTCCATTGTCCAAACTTATTATATTGAATAGAACTGTATTATTAATGTATATAGTTTCAGTCTTGTATTTTTTTTTAAATCAGACTACAGATATTCTATTTTATAAATCCATATATTTATACTTCTTGGTATATATATTATTTATATTTTATTTTTAAAGGTAATCCATATGGTGCAATGTATTCGGAAGTACGTCGTCATGTGATGCTGAAAGATCCTAGTTTAGCTTCAAATCCTGAAAAATTAGATAAAGTTACAATGAATCGTTTGTTGAATGCTTTAACTACTCCAGTTTTAATTAGTTCAACTGATGCACGCAATCAAAATGCCACATTCTCTTTACGTAATAAAACATCACAAGCTTATCCTCATACAAAAAATTAATGTATTTTATATAAATAGATATATATATATATATATACATATATATGTATTATGATCTTTTGTCGTTTTTTTTTCCTGTGTGTGGTGTATACTCTCATCGACTGAGATTTTTTGTTTTTTTCTTAATCTGTACCGCGATATCATTCTGGTTTTTTATAATTAATTAAATTATTATTTTTTCTAAAAAAAGGTATTCATTTTTTTTCTCCCCTCTGACCTCCCTTCGTCTCCGTAATCTTTTGCAGTAGTCAGTTGTCTTTTATTTTTTTTTCCCTAACTTATCCTATATCTTGTTTATTGAAAGCATTAATTTTTTTTCTTAAAATTTATTGCATTTAATAATTATGAAATTTTTTAGGTAAGTTGAAAAAAAAATACATTTATAAAATAATCAACAAATCGAATGCTAAGCGAGACAGTGTGTGTGTGTGTCTATGTGAACTTTTTCTTTTACATTCTTTCAATGTGAATACAGTTGAATAAAAAGAAAAAAAAATCGTATTTATTGATTGTTACTACTTACTATTCATTATTATTACGACTGAAATACCATTTGTTATAATCATTAACTCTTATTATCATGTGTACAGTATTGTTTATTTATAACGAAATAAAACAAAAAACTACTAATTGTCAATACCATTCATTTCATTATTCTTCTCACATTGATCATCATACTACTCATACTACTACAAATACTACTACTACTATTATTATTATTATTATTGATATTGGTAATGAGATGTGACTTTTATAATAATAATACATGAATTTATTTTTCTTCTTTTCTTATCACTGTATTTAAACATTGAACATGTTGAAATGTGTGTATAAAATCATATTTGTTGTTGTTTGTTGTTATATCAACACTTTTTAAATGAATCATGCTGTTATAAAAAAAAATACCGGTCATTGCTCTCTGTGTTTTCTTTTTTTTCTTTTTTAAAAAAAAAGATAGTTTGGTCTGCCAAAATGCATTCAACAACAACAACTACTACTAGTAGTAAGTAGTAGTAGTAGTACTCTCTCAACATTACAATTTGCATATACACGAATTGGTTTCCGTTTACTTTATTCAATTATTTTCTATTCACACGTTCATGAAACAAAAAGTCTTTTTTTTTCATTCATTCTATTTTAAGTTTGTATGTTTGTGCGTTTGTTGTTGTTGTTGTTGTTGTATGGAATTATGTAATAATAATAATAGTAGTATAAGTATAAGTAGTAGTAGTATTAGTTATACAGTATGATGAACAAAGTCATGATTTCCTACTGATGGAATCCATGTAATTTTTTTTTCTAAAAAAATAAAATTATTTGAAATATAAAATAAAAAAAATTAAAAAAAAATGGGGATTATAAATTTATAGTTATTTTTTTTATTTATTTGAATAATGAAACGATCATCGGTGTTGTGTTGTGTTGCGGTTTTTTGTTTTTCTACTTACAATGTCACATTAGATGAAATTGTATGATATAAAAATAAGACAGAGATGTTTAAAAAATTATTGGATTTTTTGTTTGTTTGCTCGTTTGATTATTATTATTATTTCATATTAATTAATATTAATTAAAAATAATAATAATAATAGAGTAAAACTCAATCTGTCCAGTATTTCATATAATATTATACAAGTGAATAGGTGTTCAATTAGGGCTTTATAATTATTGGACAAATAATAGTGGTTAAAAATAATTCCATTAGTGTTTGAAGTACACGTACAACGTTCGATAATATGGATGTATTCAATGTTTATTAAAGTTTATTTAATTTGACAATTTTCAATTGGTTTTCTGTTTAATTTTTTTTTATAATGGATGAGCACTTGATATCAAAAGTGTAATTTATATTGGGAATTTTCTTATCAAACTTAATTGTATACTAGATTTGTGTAGTTTTTTTGTATTGCACTGTGCTAAACAGTTGCGAATAATTTTTGCTTCATGAAACGAAATATTAATCATTCACTAAATCAACTTAGAAACGACTTGAAATGCTTAGTGAATATTGAGTATAGTACGTATAACCATAGAAGGTCTTCTAGATTATCTTTAAAAAATTAAAGCTTAATTTATTATTGTGAGTACTACTGAACTTTCCATCAGTCAGCCACAACGTAGAACCTCGTATATGTGCTCATCTATTCCAGTTGCTGTACTACATGAATACAATCTCAGAGTATTAGAGGTGATGGAAGTATAAGTTGCAGTAAAAAAAAAAGGTTAGACATGAAAGATACCATTCAATAAATTATTTATTAATGAACTAAAAAAAAATGAGAATTTGAGTGAAGACAAAATATGCATGCAGCCACAGACGGTTTTGAGTCATTTCATTTTAAGTCTCTAACTACCAGTTACGATAATCGCGCGGACACCGACTTTATAGTTTACACCTAATAACATTTCTTAGTCCAATTGTCAATGACTTCATGGATTGGTGCCACGTCTCATATTTCTTCTAGCCTAGTATAGCAGATATTATCCCACAGAGGTAGGTGGTGATTGGGCATACGGAACAGATGTCATAATCACCTCAACTGATGAAGTTTCACTACTTCATCTATTGATTTGCAATCGAGTCTTCTGTATCGGTACGGAGATTTTGTCACACATCAGGACTGATGAGACTCCCAAGATAAAGGAGGTGTTGGGCACGCTTAACTACACTTCTTTTCACAGATTCAGGTGGAGATGCAAGTTATTTGTGAAGTAATATTTTGCATTTGGAGAATAAGAACCATATTCTAGATATGCTAGTAAGAGAATCAGTAGTAATTGGCGTTGAGGATACGGTTCACGAAAATATAAATGAGTAATTAAAGAATCTATGATGGATCGAAAAATTTGGAATTTTTGAGAAAGGACAAAGAAGTGATGCACTCTCACTATTGCTAACGATTTTGAGCCATGTCATTTAAATTCTCTAACTATAAGTTACGATAATCGCGCGAACTCCAACAAAGTTGTCTGCACTTAATTGACTGGTGCCACCGAAAACTATCTTGTTAATAAATGTTCAAATATAATTATTCATTAGAAATCATACCACGCTGCGTCAAAAATAAAAGAATAGAGATGTGACACTAACTCAGAGAATTATGCGTACCTAGTTTTGGTTAACAATATTACGGTAAAAGCTAAATCTTTCCTGATTCATGCCCTCAGTTGTCCTTTGTAGGGAATTTTTGTCGTCTATACAAAAGATGAAACTAGTACAGCTGTATGTGAAAAGTAATGCGAATATTTGTTTCCTATGTCGTAGGAGTAGGCATTCAAGTTATTAAACAAATTTTTCGACATCCTGTTAATTCTTCTACTTGATATAGCTTATATGGAATACAGTTTACAGCACTAGAATGAGTAGAGCCGCCGTCCGGTTAAAAATCAAAAGGCAGAAGCAGCTTTTACTATGGTTAGTATCGAAATATACGGGAAAATCATGTGTATTTATGGTTTTTTGTGTAGACTGAAAACATGATAATCGTTGAATCCGCAAACAGCAAAGTTACTCAATTGTCCAGTTACCGTTTGCCACATCGACATTCTAGGGAATTTATCGTATGGAATATCTGCGGTTTCTTGGGAGCCTCTGGGAGTCATGTAAACACGTTCATCTAACATATTAATCATATATCCTTAAAAAAAAACTATACTGAGGTCTCCGACCTTAGGGTAAACGAAATGTTTAGCTGATTGGACGAATTGTTTTAGAAATGAAATCAATTCCCAACAGAGACAACAAATCTCATTCTAATAGATGCTATGGTTTAAATTAATAAAGTAAAACGCTTTAGATAAAGTGTTAGTGATTTTAGATTTTTAGCTGGAACATGTATAGGAGAACTGTTTTTACATCTGTTCAGGTGTGATGATAGCTTCACAAATATTCCACAAACGTTTCTACGTATATAAGGGACCGACGTTTATTGCAAACGTTTTTTAAAATTAAACTGAACTCTGTCCACTTTTAAACTATATTTAGTAAGTCATCTTATATTCCCTTATTATGAATAGATTGAGACAAATAACCATTACACAAAATTTTTCAATATCATAGATTGCATAAAAAAATTACTGAAAATATTTTTACAATAAAGGAATGTTCAAAATGAAACCGAATAAATGTTTTTTGGTTATCACATGAAAGTTTTGACTTAATGATTGAAATATTTGAGTAGATAAACAAAAAAGGAAAAAGATTTTCAAAAAAAATTAAACCGTAACTACATGAACAACATCAAAATATATTATGATCCATAAAGGTCCCAATATATAGACAATGGAAAATAAAACATTTATTTATTTAACTACTGAAAACAGATTTCAGTAATTTCGGAATATTAAAAAGATTTTGAAAAGAATACGTTTTGGTATTAGTAATTTGATATGTATTGGTAAATTAGTTCTGTTTGCATGATTCAAAAGTAACGTTGTTGAAATTCATGATGCCACTGATTGAAGTCAACGTAAAACACAACTAGAGAACCGGATTTAAGACCAGCGAAAATAAATCTACAAGAAAAAATAATTACATTTTTAAAAATTCTAAACTTTGTTTATTGGTAGTAATTATATACCGACAAGTTGCCTGATTGTACTGTCAATATATTATCTTATTTCTATAGAAAAAAAAGCGATAAATACTGGAATTGAGATTCAGTGATCTTTAGAATTGGTGGAGAAAGTCTGTAGCAGTGGAGTTTCGTCCTCTGAACTGAGGGAACGAAACTCAACCATGATCCTTAGAAGTTATACGTTTTACTATATTTGAGGGTATTTAACGGTTATAATTCACTAAAACACTCTTTGACGAAGTAAGATCCACTGATTAGCTATCGTTTAGTATAATTAACAATAAATTTATACAGCACTGTGTTGAGTACTACTAAAAAGAAACTGCAATTGTATTAGAAGTAGTAGTTTCTGTTTGTACCTGATAAGCAGTCAACTCAAGTATCATGTTCTGTGACAGAATTGTTGTTCCAAATACGTCACTTCATAAGGTCATAAAATAGTTCCACCGCGTTTATCCTGAGATAAACAGGATGAAATATCTGACACGATGTTATTCTTACTGGTGTTCAGTCTTACAGGATATCTAAAATAGATGCCATAATTGTTCGTCGCGCTTTCAAACATACAAAAATCAGAAGATAGGTGAATCACAACAGTGGCCAAAGCCTTACAAACTGTGGGATAGGCTTCATGCAGGTTTTACTGGGAGAATGGTTTTTGTCATAGTGGATGCATTCACGGAATGGTAAGAAATATATACTACGTCAAATATTACGGCAAATGAAACAATTGAGAATTTATCGAGTTTATTTAGCTGCTTTGGTGTGACCGAAAATGGCTCATAATTCATTTCGGAGTCATTCGAGTACTTTTGAAGTATGAATGGAATAAAGCACATACGCTTACCACCCTATCAAATTTAATCGAACGGACATGCAGAACACTTCTTGGATGACGTTAAACAAGCACGAATAAAATGGAAAGGCGAGGGAAAACCTGGTCAGGTAATCGTAAAGTTAATAAAGGCCTATAAAACTATTCTCAGCCCTTATGTTCCAGATGGAAAGTTCCTTGCTAAAATCATGTTTAGAAGATTTCAGACCATTTTTTACGCGATGTCGCTACCTAAATTAGTGAATGATCACATACGAAAGCAGCATATCCGAAGCTTCATCGAGGAGCATATCATGGGGAAAAATCGACGGAAACAGGAGATTAGTCAAAAGAGACTAGGGAAGGTTTGCTACAAAGCGCGTGGAGCGTTTCGAACGTGGTTCAGACATGTCGATCGAACTCAAAAGACAAAGAGGAAATAAACACAAAGGATAAACAATGAAATCTACCCCCATTGATAGAAAATCCAGAAAACCCCAAACAGTACAAAGAAAAAAAAGGTTGCATAAGGTAAACACGGACAGATTAGGAACACCTCCGGAAACTAATAGCCAAGGTACAAGTAGATTCAATAAAATTCCTATTTTTTTAAACCATGTAAGGTGTTGAGTTGCCCAAAAATATCCCACGAAACGTTTTATCCAACCAACAGTGAGTAAAACCTTCATAGAAACATTTGGAAGATACAGAATCACTTGCCACCATTTTGACGGGATATTTTCCCATATCGTTACTAGATTTAGAATGATTTCAGAATCTGTCAGAAGCCCACGGTCATCAGTAACTGCGTTAACTAACCTCATGTACTTAGCGCCTTTTCTCTTGTGTTACAGTGTAAATTTAGTTTGGGGTTATGAAACTCGGATAGGAATTAGATCTTTGCATTTATCTAGCAGACTTATTCCATTCATTTTAGCTATTTATGGCCTAATACTAAAAAAAGCCCCCTATGCAACTTCTATAGAGGAAATATGAATCAAATAACAATTAACTGATTATTCTAAGCATATAAACAAACAGTATCATCGTCATCATCATCATCATTCTTACCGTTGATCAGCACTTAAACATAATGATTCAATTGACGTATCACATTTAGGAAATGCATGAATTGGTAATAAATTAGAACTTTTTAAAATCCATATTACACCATCATTACCAGCTAATAGAATATAACGACTACAATCACTAAATAACAGTGCATTAATTTGATATAAACCATTTGTACAATTGGATAGAATGCCTAAATCAGTAGTATGTAATAATTTTCCATTTAATGTATAAATTGATAATTGTACACGATTAAATAATCCAAGTAGATAACCTTCACGATGATAAGTCAAGAGATTAGGTCGAATGGATACTGTCGCATTATTAGTGTATAGTGTTGGTGTTGTAAATGATGTTGACGGTTGATCATTCAATGTTATTGTTGTACATGGTAAAGGTAAACAACGTAATAGTTCACCACGAGTTGAATGTAATAAACAAGTTCCATCTGAAAAAAAAAATATGAAAAGAATAAAAGCAAAGGAAAAAAAACATTTCAAGAAATAAAAGCGAAAATTGTTGGGGACGTTCGATCTCCAAAACTCACTTGACAAAGGTCTTAATTTTGGATTTTATGCTTTCGCACATGGGCCAATCAGTTGACCTTGAGATTACGTTTCCCACCAGGAAGTCTGTTACGCCTACACGTAAAACGTCAACTCGATATACTTGAACTATTGCGAGTTTGCCTAGTCGGAAAACGAGAGCGGGGATCGAGGATCCGGTGACACGACATACTATTCAAATCCGATTATCCCAACCCCCATATTTAGTAAAAATATGAAGACGTGATATGAAGTAGAACGTGTATTCTACAAGCATCCAGAAAGTACGAGGTCCGAATCCAGAAGAGAATCAGGATCCGGGACCGGGTCCTGATCCAGGTCATTAAATGTTACAGATAGTGCGTATTTATACATTTTGGTCGAATAGGAAACAGCGTTGAATTCTGTGGCGATGACGACCAATAGGAAGTAACATTTGAAATGACATTGACAGTCCGGATGACCAATAAGAGAAAACATTGAGGTAATTGACTTTGACAGTTAAAACGGCCATAATTTTGACTAATAGAAATCGACCAATAGGATTTGACCAATAATTCTCTTAGGATATTGGATGAATTTCCTAACAAAGTTCATGACTGTTATTGGTCGATTTTTTAGTACGCTATTTTTGTGGCTCTTCCAAGGATGTTTCTATCATGTATAAATAAACTCGATTTGTATGCTTGTGAAGAAATATTTACGGTGGGTGCTTGTAGAATACACTTTCTATGCCTTATCAAGACTTCCTCCTATACTTAGTGGGGCCTTTGGATGCTCGGATTAGAGCAGCCTATCGTGTCATTGGATCATTCGTCTTCACTCTCATTTACCGACAACAGTGGACTCGTAATACTATCAAGCATATCAAATATGATTGTAGTATAATAAGAAAAGCAATTATTTCTTTAAAAAAAGTAATGTTCTTCTTCTGTCACAGGTCTACAAGCTATGTTAAATGCACACACACACAGAATTTGCATGATATATATAGGAGAGGTTACATTGATTTTAATATGAGTTGGAATCCAGTTATTGAGGAGATGCTATTTAGAATGACATTTGATTAACAAAAAGAAAGTGGTTGACACTAGATTTTAAATAAACCGTTGAGAATCCATCTCAAAACTAGTTTCGCAAAAAAAGATTGATTTTAAGCGTTATTTCAATCTGTAAAATAACTGTTATATCCGGATGAAGAGACTGAAGTAAATAGTTAATTACGAACCCACTTTACGGGTTATTGTTGTATATAGTCTAATTGTATAATTTACTAACTAGATTATATATATATATATATATATATATATATATATATATATATATCCTGAGTTGTTTCATAACCAACCAGCTACAAATGTATGTTTCACCCGTCTTAATCTATTGCTAGTTTATGATTCGCAGTCTCCCCTTCACTTTCAGCCACCTATCGCTCACTCATGTATAGTTGATCGATTGCACTTATTAGTTAGATGTGATCTGGTTGTTTGTGCATATAAGAAGGAATGTTTGAAATGTAATAACGAGTAATTGATCTTTGTTCTTTCTCTTCGTCTGGGGCAAGTTGGCACTGAGCCGTCATTCAAGTTATAGAGTAGTCAAGTGTTCTGTCCTTGTTTTATATTGATTACTAAAAGATCATTTGCAGACTGCTTCATGAAAGGATAAAACAATAAACTAAAATAGATTATAACAAATTATTAAATAAGTAGAGAGGTGATGCAGTGTTTTTTTTAAAATAATATCAGTAAAATTATTTGTGAAAATTATTTTAGAAATACTCTCAGCTGTGGGAATTCTAGCTAATTCTCCACCAACACGTCGTCGTCCAGCTAGCTATCTTGGGCTGGACTTCCTCACGGTAATAATTTTCACAAATAATGCCTTCTATATAGTCAGAGATTAATTTTTGTCAAACTATTCATTGAAATAATAAAAATATCATTGAAAAAGTTGAGTATTATTAAATGAATAAAATAAAATATTGTATATATATACATATACATATACATAGATATATCTACTTACTTATTGATCCACTTAAAACTAATCCTAATTCAGCTGATAGACTGATACAATTGATACTTGCTTCATGACCATTTAGAATAAATAATGGTTTTGGTAAGCCTAGAATTTAATAAGACGATTAGATGAAATTAGATGAAATAATTTTGTTTTAATAAATAGCAAAATCAAAATCAATAAAGATAACGCGGTAAAAAAGTAGTGAATATATAGTGTGCCGATTTACTGCATGTTCTTAAGCTCAGTAATTAGCTCGTCCAGACAATCGTTACTAACTAGCGTCTAACGGTTTATAAATCAAAAGGTGAACACAAAGTGATGAATACGTTTATCTGGGACACACCATAAAGCGAAGAGGAGAAGCAGTGAATAAAACGAATGAAGCGACGTGAATTGGAGAAGGCTGTTAAGCCAACTCCTTAGATTACAATGCGAACGAATGGGCGAAGGAAGCGAATGAATAGGTGAAGCGCGTTGGAGAGGGCTAATGAGCCAACTCCAAGAGATAGAGCGTGACTAAGAATATATAGTCAGACAAAAATAAGATAGACAGACAGACAGCAACAAGCGAAATAGGCACACATTCATAAAATCGACGAATGGTTGACAAGGTCAAATGACAAGTGGGACACGTCATGTGAGCTCATACAAACCAAACAATAATAAGAACGAATGGCACATATAAATTTTTGCAATACAAAGGGCTTGGTTAAATAAATTAATCGAAAAGGCTTAACCAAGTTAGATATAAGCGAACTGGAATATATGTAGAGGCACTACAAATATATGATTTAGTAGAATTAAATTCGAATTCACTTCAAAATATAATAATCAAATTGAATAATTTATCATTTAAAATAAGCTAAAATTTATTCTGAGAGAATCAGTGCGTAAGTTGACATGTAAATTATGGTTTGAAATAATGTAATTGAATAGTATAAGTCATTTAGCAAGTAAAGATACATATTTGCTCGAGCCAAACTATTTATATGTAAGCTAATATTACTAACACTTACGCCAAAATTGAAGTAGATAGATCAGGATTCGAATCTGAGATTAGCCGGATAACTCAAAGTCGATCATTTTGACAATGTTATAAATGAGATAAAGGTAGTTTCTGTTAGGATATTCACCAAATATCCTTAGAAGAATCATTTTGTAAGTTTAAATTCGATTGGTCGATTCCTATTGGTCAATATTATGGTCATCCTAGACATCAATGCCACGTACTTCAATGTTGTTTCTTATTGGTCGTCCTGACTATCAATGTCACTTCAAATGTTTTTTCCTATTGGTCACCTTAACTGTCGATGTCACAAACTTCAATGCTGTTTCCTATTCGACCTAAATGTATAAGTAAGCATTATCTGTAACGTTTTATGACCCGGACCCAGACCCTAGTCCGGGATCCTGATTCTCTTCTGGACGCGGACCTAGTACTTTCTGGATGCTTGTAGAATACAGGTTCTACTTCATATCAAATCTTCCTCTTTTATTCAAGGGGGGTTGGGACACTCGGATTAGAGTCGCATGTCGTGTAGCCGGATTCTCGATCCTCGCTCTCGCTTTCCGACTAAGGTAAACTCGTAACAGTTCAAGACTATCAAATTGACATGTTTACGTGCATGCGTAACAGTTTCGATTTAGAAAACTTCAATACTAAAGTGTAGTAGACGGAGAATTTCATCTGGATAAACATTCAAATTATCAAATTTTATGTCAAGTATACTCAAGTATACTCAAGTATACTTAACTAATCACTACAATTTTCTATGAAAGAAGCAACGATCGAATTTGCTTTCTCAATGAAAACAGTATTATATCTACATAACGAAGCGAACATTATCTTAAAATCTACTGCATAATATAAACTTTTAATTATTTGATATTGATAACTCAATTTTTTTGAATTTACAAAGATTTCAATGCAAAAGAAATCATTTTCAAAACATTAGAAAGTTGCCGTAAAGCAATTACTTAATTTAAAACTTAGACATCATTATGATGAGCCTCATACGTACAGTGAGTACATAGTCAGTCAGTCAATCAGTCAGCCAACTACAAGGTAGAAATTCGTACGTACATACGTATCACATTAGCGCACATTAATCGAATTGTCAGTTCAAATCCCATAGTAGAGTTAATAGAAGTGTTAGCGGTAATCAAAAGATTAGTGACCGAAGATATCGTTCGAGAAGTATACCATCACAGAGGAAACAACTTTTAAAAATGAGAGAAAAAACGGTCATAAGGAATTCAGAAGATTAGAATTTGAGAAAAGAGTAAGAATGGATGGACCTGAACCACTGAATATGATTTTAAGCCATGTCGTACAAGGTCTCTAACCGTCAGTTACTATTGTCTCGCGGACCCCAACCAGGTAGTATACACATACCAACAGGGATCAGTCCGACTGTCAGTGACAGATATCTCACCTACGCCATAAGTGACGCAAATTGGCACAAGCTAATCGAGCCTTCTGTAACGTCGCGTAGATGTCTTCAAACACCAGGCCATCAGCACTGATGAGACTTCTAGCATAAGTGAAGCGGTCAACACGCTCAACGAATTCACTCTCTGTCACTTGATCACATGTTAAAAGTACAACACTGTTTATATCATTTGAATGTCTCTGTATAAGGTTATTTTGAAATAAAATTTCTAATTCATTAATATTTGGGACTGGAATTTAATCAATCATTGTTGACATGTATGCCTGAATATCATTTTTTACTTAATATAGAAATTATTAAAACATCATACATACCAGGACATTGATTCTTTCAACTATAAATCTAACTAATTTCCATTAAAATCACTTCCTAATTAAGCTTTTTCTTTAAATATTATTTTTCTACATTACGTTTATGAAAATGAAAATTTTTTTTAAATTTCATCATAGAACCTTTAATTGTTTATATATCATTTCAAGTACACAGTAACCATTTTCTTATTTTATTGATTAGTAATTAAACAAATGTATCGTTTTCATATGGTTAATGTTGCAATTCCATATAGGCCAATTCAGTATATGTCTTAATCGCGCATATATCTATCTATCTATCTATCTATCTATCTATCTATCTATATATATATATATATATATATATATATATATATATATATATATATATATATATATATATTAGTTACTTACTTGTTGACCCAAATATAATCTATCTAGTCTATTTGAATACAATTTTAACACTATTAACTTACAGTAAACTGCTAATAATAACTAATGTTAACTTAATCCTTAAATGATATAATCCTTGTGATGATAAAAAATCTTGTAAGATTGTTAAAAATCAATTCACATAACTAACTGCTAATAAAAAAAAAATCTTATACAAATCATCATTTCATTATTATGTAGAGATTTTTATTATGGTGTTGTGGAGATTGTTGAATTTCATTGAAATCATAAATCGATCATTGTTAGACTCACCAATAGAAGCTTGAAAACACAGGACGAATGAAACATCACCCATTATCTTCCGTAAGTAAATGCCTCAACTGTCCCGACTGAGTTAAACTCTACCGATCACCACAGCTTCTTTGATTATATCCTCACGAAGCTAGTCATTACTGAGCACATGTTTATGATTTTTTTTAATCATAGAATTGTGGAGATCGGTCGTAGATCCTCAAGTGCTGAAGAGTCACATACTAGGATAAAACGGTTGTCCAGTGCTTCTATTCCAGGTTTCTAATGGTAGTCTAACAATGATCAATTTACGATTGCTATAAATCTAGAGAATTGAAACTGATTTATGCACCATCTATAAGTGCAATCAAAGTTTACATATTTTACATGTAAAAAAAAACAATCTCACCTTATTAATTTAGTCAATAGTGCATAGTCTATTTTATGAAATTAACCAATGAAAGGTTGAAAGAAAGATTCAATGAAAATGCTTCCTCTTAGTAGTAGTGTAAGGTGAAACAAAGTTATGTTGAGATAAATATAGTTCAAAATGTACATATATGAACAGAGATCATTCAATTGCAGGTGTGAATAAGAACACAGGGAAACTACAAGTCCTTGCTAACATCTTCATACATAGTGAACAAAGTACTGGATTCAGTAGGCATTTGAGTCGGAAGGTACTGTGTTCCAGTCACAGGGTAAAACATTACACTGCAATACAGATCAACTAAATTAACGAATCCTAAAGGTGATGAAAAGAGCGTCATGGATTTCACTGCTAGCCATACATTAAGAAAATGGTCAGATTTCTTGAGATGGTGAAGAAAATTTGTAGCTCAGATGGATGATTGTGGTGGTGTTTCGTTCTATGAGCTGGATATTTTGGTTGTGAAGCTTTCATTGTTCACCTTCTGAACATCATCAGTACAAACTTAAGATGGAAATGAAGTATTCGAATTACTCCACGTTTGACCGGTAACTTGTTCCGCTAACCTCGATATTGATTGGTCGCTGTTGACCTTAAACCTTTGTTTTATTTGTATCCCCCTTTTGATCTGTTTCTTGATCCTATGTCACCTATGATTTTTCTGATTGGTTGATAAATTGGGTCAATGTCGATATGTTGGTTGATTACTGATTGACCTGAGTGCGAAGCTTCTAAAAACTCTCTAGTGTTCTTTGTCCTCCCCCTATCCAGTATTTCCACATTGTTCCAATCGAATGTATATCCAAAATTGTCAGTGTGCATGGATATAGGCGAAAAATTGTCGTAACGTTTGCCTGCTTTCTTTCTAACCTCAATCTAGTATCATAAATAATACTTCAATTATGACAGCTTATAATTGTCAAAAATATTTACATAACACAATATGTCACTTTTATTGTGTTCAATCAATATCATTGTAGCACTACTAATTGACAATCACTGATTAATTGAAATTGAATGTGAATCCGAATGAAAATCTGAACTAAAAATGTCATATAAGTTTACTATAAAAACTGCAGGAAAAATACGCTTTAGAGAGAGAAGATCAATATTATCGGTTATTGAATAATAGTAAAATTAGTTAATGAAGATTTCTTATTGTGATATTCTAATTTTAATTTATCATGTGAATTGAATAATAATCATACACACAAAAAAACAGATTAGTTTCTTTAAATATAACTCATTTAAAATTTACATGTTTTTGAAACCATGAGTCGATCAATGTTAGACCACCATTAGAAACTTGGAAGCGCTGGACGGCCGTTTCGTCCTGGTATGGGACTCCTCAGCAGTGCGCATCCACGTGACCAGTGAAGTTCAACCTGTTCGGGTGTAGACAGTAACTACCGAAGACTGTGTATGAGGTTGCGCAACTCCGTGAATTGATCAAGTTAGACATTAACACCGTTAGATACCGGCTCAGTGGTCCGATGGTTAGGCTTTCGCCTACAATACCGAAGGTCCTGGGTTCGAATCATGCGGGGTGCAGAAGTCGTGGATGCGCACTGCTGAGGAGTCCCATACCAGGACGAAACGGCCGTTCAGTGCTTCCAGGTTTCTAATGGTGGTCTAACATTGATCGATTCATGGTTTCAACGATATGTAACTTAATAAACTTCACAACCCCGTAATGTCATTTAAAATTTGCTTAGTTGTATTATATTTTCCACAATAAACCAAATAAATACTAACGGGACTATTGTACTTTATTCAAAAATTCGCTAATACATTGGTTTAAATATGAAATAAATCTAATCAGAATAAAATGGATATAAGAAAAGAAAATACACTGAAAACACCAATCAATCATTGTTAGACCACTATTAGAAATCTGGAAGCACTGGACAGCCGTTTCGTCCTGGTATGGGACTCATTAGCAGTGCGCATCCAAATGTGTAAAAACACTAATCTCCATAACTTTAATTGAAAATGTACAGAAAAAAATTAGGGCCAATCGTTCGCAATGGAGCCGGTGCATTTATTCTTTGTGTTCTCTCAAACTCTAATCTTCTGGATTCTTCAACACATCTAGTTTCGACTCTCTAAACTTTTCTCACTGAATCATACTTCTTAAATAATATCCTCTAATCCTAACCTCTCCGATTACTTCTAATACCTTTACTACCTCTACTACTATTGGATTTGAATTGACAATTATATCTCTGTGCTGATATGGTATGGCAACATGAACTGATGTACTTACGTACCAAGTTCTACGTTGCATCTGACTGACTGACTGATCCTCTGTTAGTGTATTTAGAATTCGAATAGTATTGTTGAAGTGTAGTGTTCAATTCATTTCATTGTAAAAGGTTAATTTTTTGTCACTGTGTTACGCCTGCACGTAAACAAGTCAACTTGATATACTTGAACTATTGCGGGTTTACCTAGTCAGAAAACAAGAACGCGGATCGATGATCCGGCGACACGACATACTACTCAAATCCGATTATCCCAACCCCCATATTTAGTAAAAATAAGAAGACGTGATATGAAGTAGAACCTGTATTCTACAAGGATCCAGAAAGTACGAGGTCCGAATCCAGAAGAGAATAAGGAACCCGGACTAGGGATCCGGGACCGAGCCGAGGTCCTGGTCGTGGCCATAAAACGTTACAAATAATGCGTATTTATACATTTTGGTCGATTAGGAAACAGAATCGAAGTCTGTGACATTGACAGTTAAGACGACAGATAAGGAGTATGTGACATTGATATCTAGGACGATCATAAAATTGACCAGTAGGAATTAACCAATAGGGATTGACCAATAATTCTCTTAGGATATTGGATGAATATCCTAATACAATGACTCATATCATTCAAAGAACCAGTGAAAATGAAGTGATTTGTTAAATTATTTTATTGTCCTGTAAATAGTACACTTTAGCAGTAAGTACCATGAACTCCAGTAGAAAAATCGAACGCAGAACATTCAGTTTTTAAAATGACTGAATTAATTAAGATTATTATAGTCGTCCATTAACAGTACATATTATCAACTTCAGAATTTTTATAATATAGTGTAATTGAATGCAATTCCATTGTTAAGCAAATAATTATTTTAACTTCAACATTGGTTGGCGATTATTCATAGGTTGTAACTATGTATTAGTAAACCTTTAGAAAGTTACATTTAAATTATTGACTAATGAACAAATGATTATTGTTTAATTAAGCGGTTGATTGAGATTAGTGGGAACCGACATTTTTATTTCTTATCAAACGAAAATTGAAGACGATGACATAATAATTTGAATGAAAATTTTAATAATAAACAGATTGTATTCATTAGAAAAGTTGAATAATATAAATTTACCTTGACTATTAACAATACATGAACGTTGTATACTGAACATCCATAACATAACAGTACAATCTTGACTACCAGAAGCTAAATAATGATATTGACTAAGATGACATTCTGAACGTGCTAAACATGTAACAATATCACTATGACCAAATACAACTTGAATTAAACGACCTAAAAAGTAGACAAATAAATTAGTAATTAGTTGCCATGGCAATGCACATAAGAAGTAGTGAGCTAAATAGGATTTCACATTTAACACTGTCGAATAGAAAAATAAAACTGATTACATTTAACAGATTAGTTTCGATGAGATAAGAAAGTGTAAAATATTTTGAAAATAGATAATAATGAATATTCAAGTGTAATACAATAGACATGAAGCATTTTATTTCAATTTAATGATATATACATGTAATGTACTTAACCTATAAATGCGCAAATCCACAGGTTCGACCTCGGATTAATTTGTTATTGCAAAAAGAATTATTAACTAGAACAAAATAACTGTTTAATCAGCTATCGTTTTCAATGTTCTGCTCATTGAAGTTAGTTCATACATCTTACGTCCTTCAAGCGTCTGTCACTAATTTCAATCTAATTTAAAGGCCTTGACGTGATAGGCTAATTATCTGGTTAACCTTGATACATGAGTTCAGTTATGATTAAACGACCTTGACACAGGATAGAGTACTATCCTACCACCGGATAGGTTAGCAAGTGATGGAGAGAGTGAAAACTAAATCGACTCGATTACTACTACTCAATATATACCTTACGAGAACACAACGCACAAAGATTTAGAAAAATACGATTTCGCACAAACTAGCCGTTTAAGATAGGAAAATAGAGTATGGGGCTTCTGTCTAAGTCACAGTAATTCGTGAATGACAGCAGGATGACAATGAATTAAACATCAACTGAATATGATGGGACCGAAAAATAAATGTTAGTATTTGAATTCGGTACAGTAAAATATCATCAAAATAAACTTCCATTGTTTGTCACTGTTTTTTGTTTCCATCTTCACAACAAATATCGTAAACTATTACAAATTGAACATTTGATAGGTTGGAAGATTTAAATTAATGATTAAAAACGTGAATATTAATAAGGATAGTTATTATTTTCATGACTTCAAGTTCACAATTCAATGCCTAAGTGACTTATATTCAAGTACTTAGGAAATAAGTATGAATTTTTATTAGTGTTACAGCTATTTCTTGCCAATATGAGTGACAAGATTAAACAAAAATCAATAGTGGACTCTTCTTAGTTATTATTTTAAGTTGTCTAATATAAATAAGAAGTGAATGCAGCGAAAAAATTTCAACACTGTATAGAACAAGAAATAAATACACTTTTTCATGTCTATTATAACAATCAAGTTAAACAAGCACAAAGTTATTCAGAGAATAGTTTCAAGATTATTTCAAATTGTAACAACAGCAGACACAATTCTAATCGATTACAGTAAAAAAACAAGTTATTTGTAGTAATTAAAAGTCATTACTAGTAAATAGGTTTGAAGAGTTACAAAATATCCCTCAGAAAAGTCTCTAGAGACCCACAAACATCAGGAAACATTTCATCCAATCAACAGTGAATAGAAACATCTAGAAAAGGTAGAATCACGTGTCACGATTCTGACTGAACACTGAATCATCATACCATTACAATATTTAGTATAGTTCTCAAGACCTTCCAGAAACCCATAGTAGTGAGTAACTTCACAAATGCCCTCATTTCTCTATATATAAACTCATATTGGAGTAAAGCGTCCTACTTATACTTAGCACCTTTTCTCTTGAGGTCAAATGATAGTGTAGATTTAGTCTTTAGTTATTAGACTCGAGTAGGAATTAGACTTATCAAAATAAAATGTAAAATTTCTTAATTCAATGTAATCAGTTAATATATACCATCTGTAAATCAATTATTTACTTTGAAATTAATTACGACATAATTATATATTCAACTATTATTTATGGACAACTTATAAGAATGACATTGGACCACTTGAACTCGAAGCGAGTATTATACCCCTAGACCACTAGGCTGTGATTCCAATACAAGGCTTCACTTGGAATCCTCAAGTTGGAAAGAAAATAGAAAGAACCGAAAAAAAAAACACAATACGCCGAGAAATGGAGACAGACATGAGAAGAATGAACAACAACTGGACAGAACTAGAAAGGAAGGCTCAGACTGGAGAATGCCAGTTGGCGGCCTATGATGCTCCATTAGGAGTAACAGAAGTAAATAAGCAAATAATAAAAATGACAGTAACATGATAAGAACACATAAAACTTACCATTATTCGATCCATAAATACGAAATGATCTATCATAATAACCGCATAATATGACAGCTCGACTATCAGCAGTAACAACAAATTGATTACTGGTCATTTGTATATTCTCATCGAAATCATGTCCTAAACATCGACCAAGTGCTAAAGATGATTGAAAATAATAATAATAACAGTAATAACAAAATTTAACCGAAAATATTAGAGAAGTAAAGACAAGATCTTATTTTCAATAAAAAACTAATGAAATATCGTAGTTTGGATTTTCGAGTAATGACTAATTGTTGTCTATTGTAAATACAGGCAGCCATCTCTACTTTAACAATTGTAAGAATAATGCAGTACACTTTCTTGTTTTAATTATTTTGTTTTAACTAACTAGTCAATAAGCATTTAAAACTCATACATTCTTATTGTATTATTAAAAAAAATATTACAACTAGTAGAGAAATAAATTACTTTGTAATTCAATAGAAACCGCTGTTTTTTTATAATCCTTTAAAGTAGCTGAAGAGATTCACAATTAAAAAAAGAATTCATGAATCAAAATTGAAATATGATGAGAAAATGTAGTTATACAGTGAAATGAATTTAAATTGCATGTGCAAATGAAATTGAATGGAACCTAATCGATGAATATATCAGTGGGCTAAACTTCATATACACTGCGTTACACATATTTTCTATTTTCAAAGAGAACATTTCAAAACAAAATACATTAACACAGGAAAGGACTGTGGTGATACATTTCGGTTCTTTGGTTGAAAGGTGAATAATATAGAGCTAAACTAAAAGTTTAAAAAAAGTCAACTGACTACTCAGACATGAATATGTTTCGGGGTAAACTATCGAGTATCCATTTTCATTTGTATTTCATAGTGCAATTTGTTCATTAATGATCAATATCAGTGTTTATGGAATCAAATAACCACGTTTAACCATGAGTAGAGTACAAAATAACGAATGATGTTAATCGAAAAGGGAAAAGAAGTTCAGATAATTCTTTGATTTATTAAAACTGTTATGAAGGTTTTAAAAGTAACCATGGGGGTGTAGAGTGGCTGCATAAGTAATTGAGAGTTACAAATTAAATTAGAGGATTCTTAATTTATTACGTTCCAATGTATGTAGTTTGGACTGAGGAATAAAGGTCTAGGTAGTTTAGATATACACCAAGTTGAAACCAAAACAAGTGATTCGGGTTAATGACGGTTCCAAAATTCATCATACACATAAATGTACATCATTACCTAAACAAGTATTACAACTCAGTTATTCTTCCAACAATTGTTCAATTAATCAAATCAAGAGTAACATAACAGCAACAAAACATAACTGCCGCGACGAGCTATGTTTTGTGGTGTAGGAGTAGGTTGGAAGAAAGCTAGGGGTGGCCAGACCAAAACATGAAGTCACTGACAAGTGGGCTGAGTCATGTCGGTAAATGTAGGCTATCTGGTTGGGGTCCGCGAGACGAAAGTCATCAATGGTTAGAGATCTTGAACGACATGGTTCAAAATCGTTTGCAATGGCGCAAGTGCATCCATTCGTTGAACTCTCTCAAATCCTAATCTTCGTCAGCACCTCTACCTTTGTCTTTCTAACCTTATCTCACTGAATTATACTTCTTGAATAATATCTTCAAACCCTAGTCTTCTTCATTACCAATAATACCTCTGCTATCTCTATCACTATGGGATTTGATTTGACATTTGCGTCTCTGTGCTAATGTGGTATGGCAACATGAACTTATGTACATAAGTACGAAGTTCCACGTTGCAACGGACTGACTGACTGACTGACAGCAACAGATAACTGATATTCTATCCTTTCTAGATAGATCAGATTCGTTCAAAAGATGATATTTAGTTGCATTATAACACAGAGTGCTTCTTATTTTGGAAGGGTGCTTCAATTCACCATCAAGATGTACGATTCCAGTCAAAGCAAGCAACTCAATCAAAGGAGGCACAAATCAATATGGCTATCGCCATGACTACGGATCAGCTTAAACAACATGAATGCAGTTCAGAAAGAAGCATAGAAACTGAGTGCAAGCAGAAGAAATAGAAACTATGTAATAAAATACAAATATTATCATCTCAAAATGGAATCGAACAGACTCAACAAAATATACAACTGAAGGAATCAATAAGAACGAATTACAACTGTGTGTGTATACATGGAGAGATTTTCACAAAACAAAGCCTTCAAAAAATCGATCTTACAATAATTACTTACGTATCACTAATTCTGATTTTAAAGGTAAACCATATACTTGATCTGAATTATGCCTTTTCAATGTATTCTCTTTTACATGTGATGATGATGATGGTATAGATTGATCTGTAACCCCCGGAGAAGACGGAGATGTGAACGAAACTTCGGAACTATTATGCGATGACAATACAGACGATTCATTATTATTTTTATTGGTATTGTTAGATGAAACTTTTGATGATTGAATTTGTAAATCTTGATTAGTTATTGTCATATCAGTTGCATACATATTATCAGGATTGATACGAGCTATTCATTTTTATTTTGGTATAAAAAAAAAGCAAAACATGGAAGTATTAAATCTACGATTTTACGAATCACAAATATTACAATCATTCGTTATATCTGAATATATTTAGTTATTTTATCAGAATTCATGCCTAATACTTACTTACTTACGCCTGTTACCCCCAATGGAGCATAGGCCGCCAACCAGTTTTCTCCACCCAACTCTGTCCTAGGCTTTCCTCTCCAGTTCTGTCCAATTTCTGTTCATTCCTCTCATATCTTTCTCTATTTCTCGGCGTAATGTATTCTTTGGCCTTCCTCTTTTCCTTTTGCCTTGAGAGTTCCATGTGAGGGCTTGCTTGGTGACGCAGTTAGGTGCTTTCCGCAATGTGTGTCCTATCCACTTCCGCCGCTTCTTCCTGATTTCCTCCTCCACTGGAATCTGGTTTGTTCTCTCCCACAGTTCGTTGTTCCTGATCATGTCTGGCCAATTCATACCTATGATGAACACTATTTGTTGTGTAAGAAGGAGGGGGCCGTTGAAAATGGTGTTCTCTTTGAGGTAGATAGTATAACTGTAATGTTTTCCGTGTACCTTTTATACAGGATCATCAATATACATATATTTCAAACATAAGTAAGCTATCTTGGATATCTTCACAATTAACTAAAAGCCTTGCTCTCTGTTGATTTATTCAACATTTCTAACATTAATGTTAATTATTCAAGTTGATTATTGATACAACCAAAGATATAGATATTTCTACAGAACAACTCTATCAATGAAAACGAATTCTGATAAGAAATTTTTTGGAATGAATATAGCATTCTGATTTATGAATAACAATCCATGTTTGAAGGATGAACTACATTACGCCATTTCTTTTTTTACTTTCCAGTTTATAAAATCGAACAGTAATTCAAACTACCCGATTATTTTACACAATGAAATCATGAATAAATCAATTGCTAGACCGCCCTATTAGAAACTCGACTATTGATTGCGTTAAACAAAAAAAAGTGTTTTTAAATTTTTACTGAATAATTCAAAAATTTTTGTGGTAGAATTTTATCCCATTTAGAAGATTGAGGAGAATATATATATATATATATATATATATATATCGATATTACACTGATAGATTATATAAATGATGGGGAAATTATGGAAAAAAAAATTTATTTGACATTTTTCGTATGTGATAAAACTACAGTTACCCATAAGTAAAAATATCATCGAAATTAAGATGTTATCAATGAAATAAATAGTGAATAATTCATTATTTACCTTTTCGATAGACAGCATCTGAAATAGAAAATAAAATTAAATTTACATACTACTGTTAAGTTACTTATTTATTTTTTACATACAATAAATTGAAATTGTGATTACGAATTGTTATGCTCGTCAATTGATATACTGGAATGCTATTATGAGTTCACCGTAGTCGGTAAACGAAAGTGAAGACAAATGATCCAGTGATACGATAGGCTATTCTAATCCGAGCGTCCAAAGGCCCCCCTTAAGTAGAGGAAGAAGTCTTGATATGGCGTAGAAAGTGTATTCCACAAGCATTCAGAAAATATGAGGTTCACAGCACACAAATCGAGCTTATTTATACATCACAGAAACATCTTTTGGAGAGCTACAAAAATAACGTACTAAAATAACACATAAACCAGTGACAGTCAAGGATTTTACGGGTGGGAAATGTAATCCCAAGGTCAACCGATCGGCCCCATATGCGAAAGCATAAAATCCAAAATTAGGATCCTTATCAAGCGAGTTCTGGGGATCTAACGTCCCCAACACGAATAAAGTCCTCATTCACAATTATTGATACCGATAATTAATTTACAAACCAACAATAATTATTAAAGCTTTGACTAGTTTCAAGTTTCGTTTCAATTATCAATAATTAAAAATGTTCCATTAAAAAATAAATAGAAAGGAAATATATTGGAACACCAAATATGAGATAGTTCTGTTGATGAAATGGTTCTTAATGTGTAGTAGTAAAAGTAAAATCTGATTAGTCAACCAGTGTAGACAAACAGGCTCAATCTACTGACTATCAAATGTGTGATTTCTGAACTAGTTTGAGGGGAATTAGAAAAGGAGTAAAAATTAGCAGTTAGGAATTAGAGTAAGAGTTTTGATCACAAATTAACATAAGGCTATCATGTGAAATTGCTATTAAGTTTTAGCAGCAAATGAATTTCGCCATTGTTTTAAATCTGATTGGTTTATTCATGAATTTATGTTCCCAACCAATTAAATCTATGCTCTCTGTAGCTAATAATCATACAGTTTTATTTGAGATTTCAATTCAAGTAGACTGGTTGCAGAAACAACGATAACTAGTTTCGATAATTGAAGAAATTAATCAACATTTATGATAATAGTTTACTATCCTTTAGATTCTTGTTTAAAGTTTCAGTTGAATTTCATTTATTCGTTTCATTGTAGTACTTACTAGGTGGCCTTTTTTAAACAATCAATAACGAATAGAATATAGTGTATTCTCAATGTAAACTGATCATCATTAGTTTAGAAGCGTCTATCACTAACTCAGTAAACAAGTTAAAAGAATGAATACTTTCATTTATGGACAAATCGATCACACTTAAGATAACGAGTCTTGAATTTTGACGCGAAATTCATTAATGCGTACAACTAAACAGCAGTTTCGAATCATAGATAAGGTCAATTTATGAATGAAAACCAAAACTATAGTTCCTAATCCCTACCTTCCAACTCAAAACCCAAGTTTTAATTCCTCACACTAATTTATAATCCTCTTTTACAGACCCTAGTAAGTAGGCGAATTTTCTCAAGGTCACATCCCACAAGGTCAAGGTCATCAACAGAATTATAATCTCATCATTAAAAAAATTTAACTCATTTTCAACAATCCAAAAAATATATATATATATACCTGCAGCTAGACCATTCCATCGACATATCACGATAGTTCTATTTTCAGTGATAGCAAATACTGAAGGATATGGTAAAGCTTTCGATGTTGTATTACTAAAAACATATACAACTGGTGAATATGATTGAAATTTTAAACTCATACAAAATTCTTCATTAAGTAGATTAAATATTTCTGGATTATGATGAAGTGTTGAATTTCTACATGGATGAGGTCTAGTCAATAATTGACCTGGTGTTTGACCAAAACTTTGAATTTGATCTTCAACAGCTTTGATTAAAACAGGATCAGTAATCTGTACGGGAAATTATGAAAAATTAATAAAAACATACAGAACAAGATGATAATTAAAATATAGAGATAATTCTGAATTAGATAATTGTTGACAAATTGATAAAACAAAGCATATTTCTCTTTATATTAATCTTATGAAATAACCAGTCAATAATTTAAGGATTAGGTTAGATATAAGCCAGAGGTTAGGCGTTCATGTGTAAGACCGAAGGTCCTGGGTTCGACTCCTGAGAATAGCAGGAGTCGTGGATGTGCACTGCCGATGAGTCCCGTACCAGGACGAAACGGCCATCTAGTGCTTTCAGATTTCTGATGGTGGTGATTTGATGATTTCAATGTGTATAAGCCAATAAGCGGTAAATTGATAATTCACTTCATCTATTTACGTATACCCAACGAGATTGTAAGATTGATCCATCATACAAAATGATAGAATTCAGTTAAACATATTAGAGTTTATTGTGTTTATTTGCAACTGATATTTCGTTAGCATCATATTGATCAGTCAGTAAGCAACAACGTAGAACGTCGTACGTATGTACATCAGTTCAAGTTTCCATACCACGATAGCACACAGATGCAACTGTTACTTCAAATCCCATTGTAGTAGAGGTAGCAGAAGAAGTACGAGTAGTAATCGGAAACATTAAGACTTGAAGATATTATTCGAGAAGTATAATCCAGTGAAATAAATTTCAGTAAAGAAAGATGAAGGTCATGAGAAATTCAGAATAATAGAACTCGGGAGAACATAGAGAATGGATGCATCTGCGCCATTACAAACGATTTCGAGACATATCATTCAAAATATCTAACCATCGGTTACTATTGTCTCGTGGACCCCAATCACGTAGTTTGCATTTACTATCGTGACTCAGTTTAGTTCTCAATGACTTTGTGGACTTGTGAAGTGTTTTGGTTTGGCCAACCATTGCTTTCTTCCAGTCTACTCCTAATCCACAAAACATAGCTCGTCGAGGCAGTCGGTGGTTGGGCATTCGTAACACATGTCCCAACCACTTCCACTGATGTCATTCAAAAAATCTAACCATCGGTTATTATTGTCTTGGGGACCTCAACCAGGTAGTTTACACATACTAACATGGCTCAGTGTAGTTATCAATGACTTTATGGACTTGTGCCATGTTTTGGTTTGGCTTCCTCTAGCTTTCTTTCATCTTAATCCTACATAAGACAATATCGCTTGTTGAGGTAGTCGGTGGTTAGGCATACGTAACGTATGTCCCAACCACCTTAACTGATGACATCATATTGATAATTTCAGTATCTGGAAAAAAACTGTGTATTTAAATAGATTTTCTTCTGGAAATTATTTATTTTTTCTTCTTTTGATTGTTCCTTGTTGAATTTCCATGATATAATTGGAGGATTATAATGAGATAGCGAAAATCAATACTAGGAGTAAATAAGCATAAAATCTGTTAAAAATATCGAGCAATTAACTTTTTTTTGCTGTCATATACTTATCAGCCATTGAACAGCAAGTAGAGTAACACAGATTAGAAGTAAATGAGATAGATAATTATATTTAATCAAACGACCTAAAAATCAATGAGCACTATTTAGCCAATCAAGAATCAGATTATTGATAAGAACAGTTTTCATAAACGAGATTACTAATCATATCAAATAATTGTGAATTATTACTATTCCTTCATCAGATAACATATTTTTCACTGATATGATATTTTATTTGAATTTTGATAGAACAGTGAGAAGACATAATTGATCTGAACAATGTGATGTATTTGCGCTCTATACATTTCAAATAATCTAGTCACACATATCCACTTGTTAAGGCATTTTATATCAAGATTAGTAAAAGGTCAATTAAATAAAAGTGCAAATAAATATAAGGTGATCATTGTAAACGAACGAAAGGATAGGCAAATTGTCATATTACGCGCAAATTTATCACATTTCTCAGATCAATTATGTCTTCTCACTGCTCTATTAAAATTTATAAAAAGGACTAACTGTTTTAAATTTTGTATAAGTCAAGAGAATTTGATGAAAGCAGTTACGAGCAAAAGAATTATACACATTGAAATTGAATTTCTTGTTCATTGGAGCTTAATAAGTTTTATTCAATATGTTTTCAATCAAAGGTCCCTGATTTAAGACATGTAACATCTACTGAAAATATTAGAAATGATTTGAATGTTTCTGTTCGTGTATAGACATGAACAGATACGGTACACATTGCGGAAAGTACCCAACTGAGTCACAAGACATGTTTTCACTTGGAACCTTTAAGGTAAAAGAAGAACAAGAGGAAAACCAAAAAACATAATACGCCGAGAAACGGAGACAGACAGAACTGGAAAGGAAGGCCCAAGACTGAGCAAGTTGGAGAATATTGGTTAGTGGCCTATGCTCCATTGAGAGTAACAGGTGTAAATAAAAGCAAGTAAGTAAAATTAAAATGAACACTGGAATGATAGTATATCAAAATGGCGAGTTACGAATATAACAAAACATATGTTCTGGATTCCATTGATAGCTACAGTTCTTCTGTTTTATAAAAATATATAACTAATAGTTGAGGTAAAATAACCTTCAGTTGCTAAAGTTTTAGATCTTTTAGGGAGTATTTGTAGACTCTTTTCAGTGGTTGATTATTGTACATAAACACAAATCCTACTTGGATAATTGTATGATGAAATCTCCAGTTGTAGATGTTGTAGAGGTTATAAGGCACATAATGATAACCGGTGCTAGCTAATATTCTAAGGGAAAAACCATATTTGACATATTCAACCTCTAACCGTCAAACATAAACATCTGATATTCATCAGAGTATGATGATAAAATAAAACCACTTTCGTTGTTTCGAATATAAAACCTTAACAAGCTGCTTATATATCACAACTGACAGTGGTAACTCTGTTCGCTTAATATATAGTGGGTTCAGTGATTATTGAATATATGATACCCTAACAAGTAACTAATTGATCAAAGAATAAGAGTTACATTACATTGAAAAGCTGTTAACATACCGAGAATGAAACTGTGTTTTAGCTTCAGTTTAAAGGTTATTCAGTAAAAATGACTTGATCAATACTAACGATTTAACAAACACAATCAGTGACCATTCATTAATCAATCAATGTGAATGTCTCAGTGTTACATAAACTCGGCATAGGCCAAAACAGCCAATTAGTAACGGCTCTATTTAAGAATTTACGTGATGAGGAATTGAATGTTACAGGATGAATTATTTTTTCTCTTCAAATTCAAAAATATGATGAGTTTGAAAATTTCAGATCTTCGGCAATTTCGTCCCAGTATGGGATGTCCAGTGTTTTCAAGTTTCTAATGATGGTCTAACAATGATTAAAATATGATTTTAATGAAAATCAAAAATCTTCAGTCAGTCAGTCAGTCAGTAACAACGTAGCACTTCTCAGCTACGTGCATCAGTTCAGGTTGCCATACCACATTAGCACAAACACGCAATTGTCAACTCAAATCCAGTAGTGGTAGAGATAGTAGGACTACTACTGGTAATAGAGAGAATTAGGGTTCCAAGATATTATTCAAGAAGTACAATCTAGTGAAATAAATTTAAAAGAAGAAAGACAAAGGAGGTGATGAGGAATTCAGAAGATTAGGATTTGAAAGAACACAAAGAGTGGATGCACCTGAGCCATTGCAAACGATTTTGAGCCATGTCATTCAAAGTCTCTAACTATCGGTTACTATTGTCTCGCGGATCCCAACCAGGTCGTCTGCATCTACCAACATGACTCAGTCCGCTTGTCAGTGACTTTATGGATTAGTGCTATGTTTTGGTTTGGCTGCGCCTAGCTTTCTTCCAACCTACTCCTACACCACAAAACATAGCTCGTCGAGGCAGTCGGTTGTTGGATATACGTAACACATATCCCAACAATCTTTACAATTCTCAAATGATAATCTTATTCTCTAAAGATAATTTTAATAAGAAGAATTGTGTAATCATTTGTTATCGCATTCTTCATGCGACATTTCAATTGATCAGCAACAAATACACACAGTCTTAAAGTATTCGAACAATTCTTCAAAATGGTGGGGTGATAATTAATTGTTAGGTTCATATTCTTATGAATTGTGATAGTTCAGTGACAAATACATTTTCTGAAAACAATCAATATTTTTCATTCACATCGATCTAAAAAATTCATTCGAAGTTCAACAAAGTATATGAGGAAACAACTATAAAGAGTGTTAAGTATCTATTTACTTCTTGGTGTAATGATTATACCGGTTAATTTACATAGATTTTAAAGTCATTTGTAAACCGTTTACTATCATGTTTATTATTGTCACTATTGATGTATCTAATACTATCAAAGAAAAGGTGATCAATCAGTTATTTACTTATAATTTACCTCAATAAATAGATTATTTCACATAGAAATCACAAAAAAACTTATTTTTGATTTACGCTTACACTGCTTTCAAGTTTTTTTTATTAGACAACCAGAAAAAAATTTACATGTAAAATTGAAGCATTACAATAATAATTGAATAATTAATTTTTAAAAAAAGTTAATTTATACTACATAAAAAAAATTTAATTCACCTTATCCCAATCAACACTTCCATCATAAGTTAAATAATGAAATACATTAGTAGCATGAACAGCTTCAGGTCCACGTTGTTTATAACCAAATATAAGATCAATCCAATGATGTAGTTGACATGAAACTAATTCAGATTCTAATGCCTTTTTAATAAATTGTAGACAAATAAATAAATATGGATTAGATTACATTGTGTGAGAACAATATAGAATTTCATTGAAATCATGAATTATTCAATGTTAGACAATCATTAGACTACCTGGAAGCGCTAGATGGCTGATTCGTCCTGGTATGGGACTCATTAGCAGTGCGGGAATTGAGTCCAGGGCCTTCGCTCTCATGCGCGAACTCTTAACCTCTCGACCACTGATCCGGCATCCAACAGTATGTATGTTTAACTTCAATTAATCCACGACATCGCGCGACCTCATCCATAACCCCATCATGAAAATTACCATGTGCTCAATAATGACTAGCTTCATGAAGAAATTCCTCCGAGTTGTAGGGAGAAGCCGTGATAAGTGGAGTTCAATCCTGTCGAGTGTGAACCAACAGCCACCAAAGACAATGGATGGCATCAAGAAATACAGTAGATCGATTGAAGTTAGACATTAACATTGTTGGATGACGGCTCAGTGGTCGAGAGGTTAGGCGTTCGCGTAAGAGATCAAAGGCTCTTGGTTCGATTTCGCATGCGGAGGTCGTGAATGCGCACTGCTAATTAGTCCTATACTAGGACGAAACGACTGTCCAGAGCTGCCAAGTTTCTAATGGTGGTGTAACAATGGTTGAATCATGAATACAACAAAACTCAATAATGTACAAAATCCTATAACGAAAATATGAAATTGTTAGTATTAATTAAATTAATATCAGTAATACATTTTTAAAATTTCATGAATGTCATAAGATAGTAGTTGAAAGAAATTAAAACAAAAATCAGTATGGATTACGAAAGGCGTATTATATTAAGCCAATTTAAAATTATTTTGGATTAACCTGTTGTTGACATTTTAACTGAAATTTGAACAGCCTTTGTTGATATATGGGCATCCACTGTGAATCACCTTAATATAGCCATTAGGACACACATTTGAATTCGGTTAACAGCGGAATCCAGGATGCGTATTTCGTCCTATTTAGGCCTGGAATCAAGTCTCAGTGTGAACATCAACTCTGAAATGCAGGTACATTCAGTTGACGAATCTCAAATAGGATGAAACGTAAGTCCAAGATCCCACTACTAGTCACATCATTATCTATTCTATATAAACTTGTTTACTGTATTCACTTACTAGTAAAAACTACTATTAGGCTTCAATATGAATGTATCCTTTTGTTTGAAAATTTAAGTCTTCGATGAAGATTCAATACAGAGCATAAAAGTACACTTTGAATTCAAATATAAAGTTATTTAGTTATGACTGTTAACAAGTATATTGAATTTCTTTCGTATAGATACAAGAAAATTTGATCTGTACAGTTTCATTATGAAAACATGTAAAGAATATTAGTATAATTAGGGGATTAAATATGATAAGTCACCAACACTCAATACCAAAATGATCAATAAATGCAACAACCTTAACGAATATTGTTTGTAGGAGTGGTATTATACATGAAATGACTAAAAGATATGATTATTCTATTGAAGGTGGAAATATTTGAATGTTATATCGATGATGGCTTATGCAGACACGCACACAGTGTGGCCATCAGATGTTAATCACTGGATAATCATTTTAATTGTAACTCAATAGTAGATATTTACCGGACTGAATAGAGAAAATATGTTACATTGCGTGAAAATGTAATATTGATATTATAAAGGTTTAAAGTTGATACTTTAACAATGCCACTGAATTAAGCTTTCATGGTGGTATTAGGTTAATGAAGTGAAAATAGAAATAGGTATCAAACTAAAACGGTGAATTTGTCAAGAAAATCATGCAATTTAATCTGCATGTAAAAATTGCATATGTTTAAATAAAGGTTAACAATTAACTGAAAACTCATAGATATGACAATATTGATGACTGTCATTCATTAAAAAAATTTATATTATTCGTCATCAATTGTTGTGGATGTTAGATCACCAGAATTTGCTTGATAGATGTCTTTATTTTGGATTTTATTCATGGGCTGATCATTTGACCTTGAGATCACATTTCCCACCAGGAAAAGCCTTGGCTGTGATTGGTTACTGTGTTATTTTAGTGTGCTATTTTTGTGACTCTCCCAAGGACGTGACGAGCATAACATCAAGTTATGGATATTTTCAAGTTTCATTGAAATCATGAATTGATCATATTTAGGCCACCGTTATAAACCTAAAAGCACTGAACTACCATTACGTCCTAGTATAAGGGACTCGTTATTAGTGCGCATCCATGAATCTCACTCGAAACTCTCGTACGCGAACGCTTCACCTCTAGATCATTGAACCGGCGCACTCAACCGTGTTAATGTCTTCCTTTATTCAATGACCGACTCATTATTTCAATGAAACTTAACAGTCTCCACAACCTGGTAATGAAAAGTCATAAAATGTGCCTACTGATGACTAAATTAGTGAGGAAATTCTCGGAATTCTAGTGAGAAGCCGTAACCAGTGGAGTTCAAACCTGTCAAGTGTAGGCCACAACTACCGAAGCTAATGGGTGATATTGCACAATAACTCCGATTGATCAAAGGTTTTTAACAGTGGTCTAAAAATGATCGATTCATTGCTTCCATGAAAGTCATATTCAATTAATATTGGTCAAAATGATTCATTGATTGATTGTGATAGTTTTATTAAATATTATTTAAACTACAATTATACTGTAAATTGAGAAAAAAATTCCTTTAGGAATAAATCTGAAAAAACAAAAATATACTAATATATAATACCAAAATATTAGGAAAACGAAAAATATTGTCTCCTACCTCACGATTGATTCGTACAAATTCTTCCGGTGATTTTGCCCATGGTGGAAGTATCACTGTGTTCACATTAATACCATCATCAGTTATGCCTAAATCAAGATCATTTAAATTTTCAAACATTTCAGGAAAATAAAAAAATTCCGGAATTAATTCTTTCACATCGGATGTATTAATTTGACAATTTTCCCATGTTTTAGCAATTGAAAAGAATATTCTATCCGGAACATCAAATTTACCACCCTTTTTTAATTAAAAGACAAAATAGTAACATAGTTAGTTATGTGAGCATATATAATGTTATAAAATTTTCTAAATTTTGTACAAATAAATTATTCCACAGTTCCATACAATCATATTTATTCATAAACTAAACAAAAAAAAAATTAGAAAAAGACCATTTTCGGCAGCATGTTTATAGCAGATAAATTCACAATTTGATATTTTTTTAATTTTCTATTTTCTATTCTTTCTGCTATTGTTATCAACTACAACCTATATTATTTCCTCCTCCACTGGGAGAAAACAAACCAGATTCCAGTGGAGGAGGAAATCAGGAAGAAGCGGTGGAAGTGGATAGGACACACATTGCGGAAAGCACCTAACTGTGTCACAAGACAAGCTCTCAAATGGAACCCTCAAGGCAAAAGGAAAAGAGGAAGGCCAAAGAATACATTACGCCGAGAAATCGAGAAAGACGTAAGAAGAATGAACAAACATTGGACAGAACTGGAAAGGGAAGCCCAGGACAGAGTTGGTTGGAGAAAACTGGTGGGCGGCCTATGCTCCTACAAAAACAGAATATTTATCATTCCATTTAATTAATCGAAATGAGTTTATCATATAAATAAATATACTGATGATACGCTAATAATTATGCTAATATCTTTAATTTTAAATAATAAAATAATTATAACAGAAAAATTAATTTACAAAAAAATAGCATTAATTTTATTTTGTATTAATTAAATTGAAATAATGAAAATGAGATATGATTATGATTTTTATTAAACTGAAATTTTAAATCTATATAGATCTGTCGAATTCCTAAAAATATATATATAAAGAGAACAAACTAGATTCTAGTTGATGAATAAATTAGGAAAAAGCACTGCAGGTGGATAGAACACTCAATGAGGAAAGCACCTGATTGCATGACAAGATAAGACTTCACTTAGGATTCCGAAGAAAAAAAAGGAAAAGAGGTAGAGCAAAGAACACATTACGCTGAGAATTGGAAGCAGACATGAAAAGAATAAGCAGCAATTGGGTAGAACCCGAAAGGAAGACCCCGGACAGAGTAGGTTGGAGAATGCAGGTAGGCGACCTGTATTCCTCACATACACTCTTGGGGAAACGGCGGACAACGACAGGTTAAAGGTCAATAACAACCAATTAAAATTAGGGGAAACATTTTATATATGTGGAGAAATTAGAATACTTCAGCTGATGTTTGTGCTGATGATGTTGTTCAGAAAGACAATGTAAGCTCCACAACTAAAACATTCAGCTCATAGAATGGATTCGTTGTAGCCAGCCAGTAAAATGATCCATACTCATTCTTTATTTTCTCACTAATTGAACTCGCCTATCAGAAGCCTATAAATAGATATATATATACTGTCAGAATCAAACTTGGAGAACTCTTTGCCCAATACCAGTTTAATCAAATGAAATTAAAATTATTACTTATTTTTTTTCCCTTACTTGTAAATTAAGAAATACAGTAGTGAATGGTTCAACACGTAATAAATAATTTAATACAAATGCTGCTGTACTATAATGTGTACCATAATGAAATGGTGGTTGATTTTCATCTTCCCAATTAGTATAACGTTCATCAAAAAATGCTTTACGTTTCGGATTAATTGCACCAATTGGTTTTGATAAATCACGATAATTCGATAGAGATGATAAATCTAATTCTTTTGTAGTATAATTTGATATAACCCATGGAAATATTGGATATTGATTTAAATCATTATAACTTCGACCAGCTATAGTGTTTAAATACATTAAATAATCAAAATTTGATAATTCACGACGTTGCCAACGTTGTGTCATATTTGATAATTGAAATATTTTACTAGGACTAGCTAAAGTTGATGTTCTCGACGCTGGGAGACCATATCTTGTACCAATGCCTACTTCAGGTAAAGCATTAACAATCATTTTTACAGTGGCTACATCTGCAAATGCAAACATGACAGAGCCTGAAAAGTAAAATTTAAAAAAAATCGATAAGAATTAGGCAAAATAGTGTTTATTTATTAATAGATAGGCAGGAAGATACAGCTGAACGTCAAGTAATTAACTGTTCAGAAGTTGATAGCGACTGATAACATTTCAGAAACAAAAACTCTGTAGTATTTTCATGATATGTTTGTATGCTCCATTATTTTGAGTAAAAATTTATCTGTTGAATGATCTTTTAAGATTGAGTGGTATTTTAGTGGAGACTACAGTATTTCATCAGAAAAGTTACAATTCCGAATTATCAATACTTTTACTAATCACAGTATGATATAAGAATCAAGAGAATGGGTCCTAACAGATCATATTTTCAGCCTTTACTAATTCATTAAAGTATACTACTACTGATCGTTTGATATGATATATCAAGCTAGGTCAAGTCTTATCGGAGTATCACCTTCCTATAGGGACCAGATAAGCTTTGACTACTAGAGTGTCAATTGAAGCAATACATATGTGCAGTGTTTTTTGTGTGATTATCTTCAATCACCACATAGCATCAAGGAGAATCACATCACTGTGTTACACTACATAAGATAATCAAACTGCAAGAGTGAACAATATGACTTGATTAGAGTTAACAGCTAGATTATACGACAGTAGTTATTATCTACCGATAGACTAATTATGTCCGGTAATCAAAATGAAAAATAACAAGTCGCTGCAACAACATAATTTCATTCTATATTTTTAAATAATAGCCCACTGACAACTGGATTGAGTCATGTTGGTAAATGTCAACTACCTGGTTGGAGTTCACGAGATGATAGTAATGACATGCCTCAAAACTTTTTGCAATAGAGCAGGTGCATTCATTCATTGTGTTCTTTCAAATTCTAATCTTCTAATTTCTTCATCACTTATATCACTGAATGATACTTCTTGAATAATATCTTCGAACACTTATGTTCTCCATTACCGGTAATACTTCTACTACCTCTACTACCATGGGATTTGAATTGACAAATGCGCCTCTGTGCTAATGTGGTATGGCAACTTGACCTAATGTACGTACGTGCCAAGTTCCACGTTGAAACTGAATGACTGAGCTCAACTTAAAATACATATATTTCATCAAAATATTCGGTTTTATTATTTTTGAAATGAACAAAGAACCTCTTCTTTGACAGTAGTAAATACTTACCTCTAGAAGTTACAAATATTTCAAGTGCAATTTTACGATGAAGAAAAGAACGATTAAAAATTGCACGTATTTCTGATAATGACCATCGACTATAAATATGTTCGATATATGCTAAAACCTATGGAAAAGAGCAAAGCAGAAACGATTGAAATAAACAAAGACGATATGAAATTCAAGATAAAAACAATCTTCACTCTATTCATTTACTATGTTAGATAGCCAGAAGTAGTCGACAGGAAACTAATAATCGAGGTTATGAACAGTTTGCCACTCGTCAGCAGGTTGTGCTAGCGAGTTTGAGGTAACTGGTACTACCTGGTGAATAGAGGTCAACTCATAAATTTATTCCAAGTGGAAACTCGTGTCAGATAAGGTTGTTCACTCTTGCCCTTTCTCTTTCCTCCCGTTGTTGACTATGTTATGAAGACGTCAACATCCTAGCGGAACCACAGAATACAACGGACAGCTCGGATGCAGCTGGATGATCTAAACTTCAAAGATGGCCTAACCCTTCTCTCCTATACACAACGACCAATGCAGATGAAGACAGCCAATGAAGCTGCAGCCTCTACAGTAGTAGGTCCCAACATGCACTAATGAAAAAGCAAGATCCTCCGACACAATGCAGCATGTACTGGCCGAATCATATTTAGTGGAGAGCTTTGCAAAATGTGGAAACGTTTACATACCTGGGCAGCATCATTGATAAGCGAGGTTGATCTGATGCCGATATGAAGACAAGGATTGGCAAAGCAAGAGTAGCACAACTGAAAAATGTCTGGAACTCAAAACAACTATCGACAAACACCAGTTAGAATTTTCAATGCAAAAGTCAAAAGAGTTCTGCTGTATGGATTGGAAACTAGGAGAACCACGAAAGCCATCATCCATAGGTTACAAGTGTTGATAAACAGTTGTCTAAGCAAGACACTCCGGGTCCGTTGGTCAGACACTAATAGTAAAAACCTACTGTGGGAGAGAACAAACCAGATTCCAGTTGAGGAAGAAATTAGGAAAAAGCACTGGAGGTAGATAGGACACATATTGCAAAAATCATGCAACTGCGCTTAGAAGGCAAGCCGAGACTTGGAATTCTCAAGGTCAATGGAGGAGAGGAAAACCAGAGAACATACTGCGCCGAGAATCAAAAGTAGACATGAAAAGAATGAACTGCGACTGGGTGGGACTGGAAAAGAAGACCCGGCACAGAGTTGGTTGGATAATGTTGGTCGGTGGCGTATGCTCCATTAGAGGTAACGGGCGTTAGTAAATAAGTAAGTAATACAGCTTTTCTTTCCAAGATATGACCATTGAGATATTTAGGCTACAGTTGACTTTTTTTTACCAGTTAGTAGAAATGTAAATCTTGTTGATTAACAAGGATAAAAGAACATGTTATTTTAAACAACCAGTCATCAAATTTATTACTAGCAGACAAACGAATAATTTATAATTGAGCATAGTTTATCATGGTTTTACATAACGTCAGTATAAACTTACACGTTGATCAATTGATCTATTATTAGGATGATCTGTATCATGTTCAAAATATAATTCATATTTTGAAATCGATAATGTACCATGTACAGTTACACCAAGAGAGACTAGAATACATGGAACTGATATGTAGGCTGTAGCTGTAAAATAAATTATTTGCAAAATAAAATTATCATAACTATTGATTGAAAGAGAATTTCAGTAGTAGCAAAAAAGTTTATGAATAATTCCACATATATAAAAAAATACCTTAAACATTTCAGCGGTTTAGTTAATATGCCAGAATTTATGTGGCTTTGTATCACTCCTCATGGAAGTAGAAAGATTTTTCGATCAGAAATAGTGTAGACGACAATATATGGATGTCAAAAAAATGAAACCTCATATCTTTTCTGTAATATTCGTAAACTGAGGTTTTCATTTAATATGAAAAAGAGTGACACTAGTTCATATCGGTGTCGGGATTTTTTTTTTAATGATGGTTGAATTTTAAAATTCATATCATGAACTAACCTTAATTAAACAACCACAGAAAATCAAAGTATACTGGATAGATGTATAAGACTCTTCAAAAGTACGCAATGACAACCGCACTCAAAATCAAACCTAGCAACTTCAGCAGTCTCAGAGTGTTTAAACGTTAGACGGCTCAGTTGGCATCCGATAGTTTGAGTGCTTAACTTCAATCAATAGGGTATATTATGTAACAATCTTCCAATACCATTGACGGTTAACTATCGACCATTACTTCCAGGTTTACAGTGGTTGCTCGGAAAAGTTAGTTTCCATTGTAAACCCTAAACAACAATGCAAGCATGTTCGGAATGCGGTTCAACCCTTGAAATGCAAAATGCTGTTTCAAGATTGGGTTGCATCGGCACCTATACTAGTGATACGGAGTGAAGCAGTGGAGCATGTTGACCGCTTTACTTATCCCAGGAGTCTCATCAGTGCTGATGGTTTGGTATCAGGCGAAGTTTCAGCACGGGTACAGAAAGCTCGATCAACTCGTGCCAACTTGCGTCACTTATGGCGTAGGTGAGATATCCGTTTGGTAATGAAAGGACGGGCTCCATTTTACTTCATGGATGTGAAACATGGTCATTTAGAGTAGAGGATATTCGTGGGCTAATAGTATTATATCATAGGCGTCTTCGAAGCATTGCTCGTGTAGCCTGGGACCATCAAGTAAACAATGCCAGAGTTAGGAATAGGGCAGTAGGGTAAGGATAGCATACCGATAGATTGAGTAGCAAATCTCCATCAACCTGACTAGTTGAAACGTGTGTTACGTATGTCCAACCTCCGACTGCCTCGACAAGGGATGCTGACTGATGTAAGGGTAAGCTGTAAGAAAGAAGCGGTCGAACCAAAACATGGAACAAATCTATTAAGTCACTGACAGCTGAACTGAGCCCTGTTGGTATGTGTATACTACCTGGTTGGGGTGCACGAGACAATAGTAACCGATGATTAGATACTTTAAGTGACATGTTTCAAAATCGTTTCCAATGACACAGGTGTACCTTTTCTTTTTCCTCTCTCAAATTCTAATCTTCTAAACCCCTCACTACCGTTTTTTATCTTTCTAAATTTTTTTCACCGCTATATATCTCTCGAATCGTATCTTCCAAACCTAATCTTCTCCATTACTGCACCAGGACAAGTTGACATACCATATCATTACAAAATAGATAAATTTAGCAAGACAAATAAGTTGAAATAACTGTTGTGGTAACGATATTGATACCGACTAATCATTAATAATATATTTCAAGGAAATGGAAAGAATAGTTAAGTTGGAACAAATACTTAAACTCAAAATCTATATAAAACAGAGTGTATTCAGTGATATCATTGCAAATGATCGTGAACTATAGTACTGTAAGTTTATCACCACTAAACGTTGTGCAAACCCGAACTAGATGGTCTGTGTCTGCTAACACAGCTCAGATCAACAGTCAATAACTTCAGTGACTGATACCATGTTATTGCTTTTCCACACTCGACTAACATTTAACTTGCTGATACGCAAGAATGCCAAGGTTTGATTTACGTCCCAGCCATCCACAATCTCACTAAAAGATTTGTAAACAATGCCTTGTTACCCTATGGTTATTCTCAACATTGTTCACTAGACCACTACAATATACAAGAGGACACGTATGATCTGATATCTGAAGCTCACGAATGTCTTTTACTTTTAAAGAACAAGTTTCATGAGAATAAAATAATGTGGACCGAACTGATAAGCAATCAAAATATCTCATTCATCGGCACATAAAGATTTAGTATGTTAAAATTGTGATTTATAGTTCATTTCCTAACTTGTGACAGACCGTTATTCTAATAAAAGTAACGTAAATATTTAACTGATTAGAATTAAAAGTTTCAATGCACAACAAATATCGGCTATGAATTAGGTGAACACTTATTTTATTACAATTAATACATTTGTAGAGAATATTTATCAGAACAATGAGAATATTTTGTGAAATCAACTACTAACCTTTAAAATCAATACATAATCGACCAGGATAAAGTGTATCTTCTTGAAACCATGTTAAACTAACAGGATTCATAATTTCAGAATTATCTACTGAATCAGTCATTGTTGAATTCACTGAAACATTATCATATGGAAGTTCAGATTGTATTGAATTCTTATCAATTGATTCAGAATGAATTGAAAAATCACGAACATGTTGTGCTCCAGCTTCTTTTAAAAAATCTACTAATTGTTGTGAATGATTTTGACAAACAGAACGACGACGTATAGGATCATTGTAAAAAACAGATGAAGAATAATTTGTACCATGTGGATTAGGTATAAGTCTACGATGTCTTCGACTATCATCTTCCCAACCATCTAGTCGGAAGTAATCTTTCCTATGAAATTAAAAATTTTTTATTGAAAAGTAATAAAAACCATTAGGAGCGAAATCACTGAGAATATTTTTATTGAAAAAGTATTAACACAAAATTAAACATTACTTATTTATTTTGTCAGTCAAACTACCAAAATACACATTATCTAACGAAATCTTACTAAAAAATTAAGAGTACTGACTACTGGGAGACGTTTATCAACAGGGACACAACATCTAGGTGAATGTTGAAGTACTTTAGTGATTAAAAAATAAAGCATAATTTATAATTCTCATTTATTAAGCATAAGTTTTAATTACTTGGGTTTTGAGTATTTTTCGTGTACACTTAACAGCTAATGACACTATGTCATATCGAGATATATAGAGTTGTATTCGAACCAAGGACTTATTCATCAAAAGCCATAGTGCTTTAATTATTAAGGCATAATTCAAGAAAAAAAAATCAATACTGGAATAAGACAATAATCCATTTAATTACCAGAGTAGAATATCAAAAGGTAAACACTTACGGTCAAGATAGATAGAGATAGAAAATCAAGTAACTGATAGACTATAATATAATCGATTTATTTCTAGTTAAATAATTTTCATTCATGCTCATACTTGTAGATAAACACATATATATATATTGCTAGCTATCATCTACTATTGTTATAAGAAGAGATATCTGTTAATAACAGAAATAATTAAGGTTTATTAATGAGGGCTGGTTGACTCATCACATACATCATTAGAATGAATAAGAAAATTCAATAAACTTAATGATGGTTGCAAAATAAAAATTAACAGTTTTATTAAACAGTGATACAAATCATTGTATTTTTTAGGGAGAGATTGATTGTTCAGTGATAAACCATGGATAATTTGGTTACGTTACACATAGATTGCTTCAAATAACTACATAAAATATCAGAATAATCTGTATATACAATAAGACTGATTCCAGCTAGATGAAAGTATAGCATCCAGTGATTTTGAATCGATATTTTTCAATTGGAGAAGTTTGTACTCTCTATGAATGGAGACAGATCGGACTGATATAGATGATAACAAAATTTACAAGCCGCATGAAAGTTGTTCATAACTATATATTGTATCGGTTTAATAAATGTGAACTAGGCTGAGAGTAATTCATTTTTCAGTTAAGGAAAGTGATTGATTTGTTACACAAACTGATCGATAGATAAAAATAATTCTCAGGTTTCTTCACAACCTTGTTGGATAAACTAGATGAGGTCATTAGACGAAATAATGAACAGCAAGAGAATCTTCAAAACGAATAAAAAATCTTTGTGAAATGACCTCTTATAGTTTTAGATATTATATCATTAAAATATCTAGAACCAATGTGAATTATTAATACATATTTTCAAAACCACATCCAAAAAGCGTACAGATCACAGTAAAAATCAAATTGAACATTCGTACACATCATTATTAGAATACATTTTTTATATATTTGTTAAATAAGTTACATTTATGAAATGTCATCAGAGATAGTTTTGTTTCAATTAATAATCATCATTATTATTTTTTAAAAAAAAATGAGTTTCTACACATTTGAAATCATCAATCAATCATTGTTAGACCACCATTAGAAACCTAAAAGCACTGGACGGCCATTTAGTCCTGACATGGGCCTCATCATGGTGGTCTAACAATCATTTGATTGATGATTTCACACGTGTAAAAACAATAATCTCCATAACTCTAACTGAAAATATCGTGATATGTGCTCACTAGTGACTAGCTTCGTGAGGAAATTCTCGGAATTCTAGTGAGAAAACGTGATCAGTGGAGTTCAATCCTGTCGGATTTAAGCATTAACTACCAAAGACAAATGGGTGAGGTCGAGCAAAATCTCTAGATTAATCAGAGTTAGACATTAAAACCGTTTGAAGACGGCCCAGCGGTCCAGAGGTTAGGCGTTCGCGCGCAAGACTGAAGGTCTTGGGTTCGAATCCTGTGAGGTGCGGGAGTCTTGGATGCGCACTGCCACTCATGAGTCCCATACCAGGACGAAACGGCCTTTCAGTACTTCAAGGTTTCTAATGGTGGCCTAACAATGATTGACTGATGATTTCAAATGTGTAAAAACAATAATCTTCATAACTGTAATTGAAAATAACTAGTTTTTATACTATTTCAATTTTATAGTGAATAGCTTACAGGAGAGGATGAGCAGTTCGAGAAACGGCTAATGATGATGATGATGATGACGATGATGGTGATACAGAAATCGACGATTTCATCCAATTGAACATAATGAATTGAGCTAAACGATTAGCTTTATTATTTAAATAATTCGATAGTTGTACATCACGTAAACGAGTCGAATCGATGATATTTTTATGTAATTGTTCGTCTTCACGTAGATTAGCTATTGTATGTGCAGTGATTTCTTCAAATTTAGTATGTTGTTGAATATTGGATTGATGTAATTGATTTAGAATCACATCACCTTCTACAGCTACACGATATAAATGATCACGTATAGAATGTGAAAGAAGACGTCCTTCATTAACAAGTTCAATAAATGCCCATCCAGCATATTTTTGTAAAGAAGTTTGCCATTCCTAACAAAAACACATAAAAAAAAATAAGAAAGATGCTTTACAGTGAATACAGTCACAGAAAAGAAACTAACATATTTTAAATAAACACATATAGGAATACACATTGATAAGATATAATTTCATTTAAAATTATAAATGTGAGAATATATAATTGGTTTTCAATGGACGTATAAGATTAGTTATTGTTAGAACCGTTAAAATAGATTTGAGTATTTAAATCTATGGTCCAACTACAATAATAATAATAATAATAATAATAATCTAAAAATGAAGTATTTGATATTCTTTGATCAGTCATACTGTACTCTCATCTGTGTATTGTATAAGAAAAAAAGACATTACACTTACTGTACTTTTGTAATACACAAATATTTACCAGTTTTCATGTAATACGATTCAAAGTTTATCGTCCTATACATTAAACGTGACTAACATAAGGTAATTCAACTTTTGCAAACATTAATATCTAGTAATTTCAATTACACAAACCCAAAGCAATGTAAAACATATAAACTGGATATGTAGAGTACTTCTCAGTGGTTTGTAAAAATAGTGTCATTCTGTGATGAAAAAGATCCTTGTAGAGTTGTTACGTTGATGTGATGGTCGGACTTGCTTATCCTAATGATTCAAAAATGTCACATCTCTTTTTAAACCACGGACGTCCGTCTCCGACGACAAGAGCTTTTGAAGAGTGGAAGTAACACTTCAAAAATGTCCCAGAAAAATACAGAGTACAGTCACTCATTTGAATTTACCTCATCAAGATAAAGAAACATCTCAATTTAAGCTTCGTATATCTGAAAGTCGCATTGCTGCTCACCGTAGCCTCACTGGTGTCGGTATAGCAATGAATTCTAAAACAGAACTAGCTTTTCTAGACTGAATTTGAGTAGAAAGTAGCTTGTGCGTAATCCGACTAAACGGGACAGTAAGAACTCGGAAACATAGGGACACTCGCAGTGATCACTTAGTTGTCTCTGCTTACGTTTCCATTTACAGAAGCTCATATGAGGAAAAAGATGAATTTTACAGAAAGCTTACCAATCTTCTTCAAAAAGCCGAGAGCTCCGATGTAACAGTAATAGTTGGTGACTTTAATGCTCAAGTAAGTAGATTAGATGTAACCGAAATACGCCTTGGTGGATCTTATAGTGTTGCGGCTCATCGAACAGACAGTGGCGACCATCTGCTGCAACTATGTTAATAGCTCATTTCTGATAAACACCAACTCTAAGCTAACGAAAAACATCTTGTGATATGGACAGCCCCAAAATCGACTAGATGCTGGACTCAAATAGACCACACTGCTATCAGCAAGAAAAGTGCCACTCATTCCAAAGCACAAGTTTAGTCCCAAACCATGTTCTAGTACGAGCACACTAAAAGTTAAGAAAAAATCACTGAAGTTCAGTGGCATCTACTTAACTGATAGATGCCCGGGAACTCATCCCATTTGGCTCTGAACACATTGTGTGATAGAATCAACTTACGCACAGGCTGATGAACAGCCTACAAAATGATTGCGAACAGTGGTGTGTAGCGAAAGCAAAAGAGATGGGAAAGGCAGCGGCAATAAGTAAAAGTAGACAACATTTCAGCCTTATCAAAGAAACTGGTTAGTGATAAAGATGGGCATTTTCAACCCAGGAGACCGAAGCGAAGGTAAACACTTTAGGGAGCAGTTCAACTGGCATTCAGTTACCTATCATCTGCAAACAACCTGAATGGAAAATTGATGCTAGTCCTCCAACTCTTAATAAGGTTGAAAAGGCAATAGGCAATCATAAGTAAGGGAGAGCACAGGGTTTTGGTAGATTACCCCTAGATTTTTAAGGATAGTGGTTCAGTTTTAGATGTTAGAATGACTGAGATCTTAGCTGGAATCTTGACAGGTCTCAATCGCTGATTTTCCCAATCTATAAGAAAGGACAAAAGTCCTCTTAGCCGTCCTGATGTCTGACAAAATCTCCACATTGATAGAGAAGGCCTGACTTGCTTTTGCGAAATGGCGTCACTTATGAAGTAGGCGATATATCCGTCTGCTAACCCAAGAATGAGTCTGTTGCGCAGAAGTTCATTCCGTTTTTCTCTATGGATGTGAAACATGACCACTGAGAATAGAAGATATTCGTAGGTTACTAGTATTCAATCATTCGTATCTTTAAGGTATTGTTTGTGTAGTGTGGCACCGATTCATGAAGTCATTGACAAAATAGACTGAGCAATGTTAATAGGTGTAGACTACGTGGTTGGGGTCCAGGAGACAATGGTAACCGGTAGCTAGAGACTTTGAATGACATGGCTCAAAATCGTTTGTAATGGCACAGATGCATCCAGTCTTTGTCTTGAGATGGTGGAGAAAACTTGTAGCTCAGGTGGATGATTGTGGTGGTGTTTCGTTCTCTGAGCTGGTTGTTTTGGTTGTGGAGCTTTCATTGTTCTTCTGAACAACATCATCAGCACTAACTTCAGATAGAAGTGAAGCATTCGAATTTCTCCAAGTTCGACCTGTAGCTTGTTCTGCTAACCTCGATCTTGATTGGTTAGCAGAACAAGCTACAGGTCGAACTTGGAGAAATTCGAATGAATGAAAGCTCCACAACCAAAACAACCAGCTCAGAGAACGAAACACCACCATAGTCTTTGTCTTCTCTCAAATTCTAATCTTCTGAATTCTTCATGACTTTTATCCTATTATTTATTTCACTGGATCATACTTCTCGAATAATATTTTCGCACCATAATATTTTTGATAAGCGCGAATACTTCCTACTACATCTACTACTATGGGATTAGAATAGGAAACTCCACCTGTCTGTGCTTAATATAAATTATGATAACTTCAATAGATGTAAGAATAGTAAGACCACAGATTTTCAAAATTAGAAATGTAACATCTATCCTAAGAATAGTATGCACCGAAGTAACTGTCAACACATTAGTGGTCTGTTTATTGATTTGAATAACTAAAAAAATTATGCAACAACAAAAAAAATATCATGATGATCATTAATAATAAAACTAACTTGTGAACATAACAACATCACTAATTCTACAACTGATGATGATGATGATGTATGCTGTAAAAATGGTAGAATATTTGGAATTAATTCTTGTCCATGTGTACCAATTAATGTTTTATTGAAATAATCCATAAATTCAATAAATAAATCTTTTAAAAATAAACCAGTTGATCGTAGACTAGTATCAAGGCAATCAGTTAAAAGATTGTGTTTCTGATTATTCTGTTCATTTATTGTTGTTATTGTTGTATTATCAAGTGGTACATCGACAAGTTCATAGTCTTCATTGACAAATGAATTATGATCTAAAATTTATTGAGATTAAATAAGAAAAATAAAAGATTATGATGATAATAATAATAATAACAGTATTCATTATCATTGTTATTAATGTTAACAGGTTAATATGGATTATTAGTAGATAGCAGTAGTTACACAATAAAAGGCTATGAATATCTAATATTAAGGTATTGTAAGTATAGCTCACACTAAAATGGTACCAGTTAAATGCTTTTCACTACGGTCGTTTCGAAGTCTGCTTTAAACTTGTGACGCTCGTCTCTAGGTAGCTTTTCTACAGGTCTAAACGCGCAGCTCTGCAACAGCATCATTATCCTCTGCCAGTCATAGCAAAACTGTTACGGGTCTACCTTAGTCGAATAACATGAACAAAACAATGAACCAGCGTCCAGGTAGGCTACTGTGATCCTTTGACCCGATTGTACCAGCAAGAAATCTTGATATAACCGTGGAAAGTATATTCTACAAACACCCAGCCAGTACACAAATCGCGATTATATATACACAATACAGACGTCCTTAGGAATAGTCACAAAAATAGCACGCTAAAATGACACAGTAACCAATCACAGCCAAGGATTTTCCTGGTGGGAAACATGATCTCAAGGTCAACTGATCAGCCCATGAATAAAATCCAAAATTAGGACATTTATCAAGCGAGTTATGGGGACCTAAAATCCCTAACACTTTTATTTCAAATCTGATAATCAATGGCATGAAAATCAATAAAATTGTCAAAAAATGGTTCAGTCGAAACCAAAATAACTACAACAGGGTTCAAATCTGTAACCTTACTTAATAATTGAACGAACATCATCCATTTATTGACTAAGACACCAATTTTAATAGAAATATGACCAAGGGCATTTTGTGAATGATAGCTCAACCATTCAGTGTTACTTAAATTTTAACAAGTTGATAAGTTAAGTTGAAATTAAGTAATCAGTGTACAAAGTACATGAAGTTATATTCAGTTTAGAGGTTTATTCTCATATGAAAAATTAAAAACCTTGTGTTTTGTTTTGAAAATGATACATTTACAAGAAACATTCAAAATTTGTACATATTAATGTGTGGACAGAAATAAAAAACATTTCCTTATCTTACAAATGACTGATATTTTAACATTTTACTGCTGAAATAAATGCTACATATCATTGGCAATAATATAATTATGTTAGGACCGTAACTCAGTAGCCTATATGGAGAAAATATATAACCTTGAATGATAAGCATTATGTGAGGAGAAACTTTGCACCCAGTGGATCATAGTATTAGGCATTTGTCAGCTAGGTAAATATGTAGTTTCAGAGAATCGATGATCCCAGTAAGTTTAAAACCCATGTATCAAGTTCCTTAGTCTGAAATGTTCCAACTGAGTATTTCAAGCAGAAAATGATCCTTTTTAAAACAACGACATTTAAAATTGATTGACTAATCATTTAAACTAAATGGCATTTTGATAAACAAAGTTCCATCACTACAACGAGCATGAACACAAAGTTCAAAATTTCCTGCTATCTACTGTCTACCACCTCTATGGCAGCTGACCGACTGACTTACTGTTATCTACCGTCAACCGCGTAACATTAAAATAAAGCGCACGCGACGTCAAGTTACTTAGATTAGTGACTTGATTGACTGATTTAGCACTAAACACTAGACACATGTAACACTGCTTACTAATTAAATACGAATCAATGTAACTATAAGAGCTATTGGTATAATTAGGAGTAAATTTGTTACGCCTGCACGTAAACACGTCAACTTGATATACTTGAACTATTACGAGTTAACCTAGACGGAAAATGAGAGCGAGGATCGAGGATCCGGCGACACGATATGCTACTCAAATCCGATTATCCCAACCCCCATATTGGTATGAAGTAGAACCTGTATTCTACAAGCATCCAGTACGAGATCCGAATCCAGAAGAGAATCAGGATCCCGGACTAGGGATCCGGGAGCAGCTCCTAGTCCTGGTCGTGGTCATAAAACGTTACAGATAATGCGTATTTATACATTTTGGTCGAATAGGAAACAGCATCGAAGTCTGTGACATCGACAGTTAAGAAGACCAATAGGAAGCGAAATTTGAAGTGATATTGATAGTGAGGACAACCACTAAGAAACAATATTGGAGCACGTGACATTGATATCTAGGACGGCCATAAAATTGACCAGTATGAATTAACCAATGGGAACTGACCAATAATTCTCTTAGGATATTAGATGAATATCCTAACAAAATTCAATGCTTGTCTTTTCATCACTTCCGTCATACATAAGAATAGTGAGGAAATTCTCAGAGTTCTCTAGTGAGAAGATGTGACCAGTTAAGTTCAACCCTGTCAGATTTAGGCAGTAACTACCAAAGATAAATTGGTGAGGTCGAGCAAAATCTGTAGATTGATCAGAGTTAAGTATTAACACTGTTGGATGCTGGCCCAGTTATCAGAGGTTAAGCATTCGCTCACAAGACCGAAAGGTCTTGGGTTCGAATTCTGTGAGGTGAAGGAGTCGTGGATGCGCACTGCTGATGAGTCCCATCACCAGACGAAACGGCCGTCCAGTGCTTCCAGGTTTCTAATGGTGGTCTTACAATGACTGACCGATGATTTCAATGTGCAAAAAAACAATAATCTCCATAACTCTAATTGAAAAGTAGTCGTGATGATAGTAGTATGCTAGTAACATTAAGATTTACTAATATTATTATTGATAAAAGAGAGTAAAAATCCAACTTAACTTCCTTTAATTAGGTTACAAACTGATATCATGGTTATTCTTTATTCACACTTTATATTACTGATATAACATTCTGTGACTGTTATAAAAGATAACTCACTACCCACCTGTGTCATTCTCACCATGTTGATCTATTTCAACAACTGACTCTTTACTATTATCATCATTATTGATTGTTGCAGTTTCATTATTCTGACTAGTGGTGATATTCATTTGAACTGGAGATTCTTGTTTACACTTATTTACATGATGTAATTCATTATGCAACTGAACAAAATCTTCTTTATCAGTATTGACATGATTAACACCAGCATATGGTAACCATATTGGATTTGGGTCAAGAACGTCACGATATTTTGAGACCATCATTACTGAAAGAAAATAGACTGTTGCTAAAGCTAATAATTCAGGTGATTTAGTTGTTTCCTTGATTTGATTTTTTTGACAGAGAAAAACAAAAGGAAAGAATAGGATAACACGATTACAATTCATCAAATTTTAAAAGGAATAATCAATGCAATTCATTAACAACTGTAAGCGTATATCACAATTACACATTTTTGAAACCGTGAATCGATCAATGTTAGACCACCATTAGAAACCTGAAATCACTGGACGGCCGTTTCGTCCTGGTATGGGACTCATGAGTGACAGTGTGCATCCACGACTCCTGCAACCCGCAGGATTCGAACCCAGGACCTTCGGTATTGTGCGCGAACGCCTAACCATCGGACCACTGGGTCTGCATTGTTGGATGCGCACAATACCGAAAGTCTCGGGTCCGAATCCTCCGGGGTGCAGGAGTCGTGGATGCGCACTGCCACTGATGAGTCCCATATCAGGACGAAACGGCTGTTCAGTGCTTCCAGGTTTCTAATGGCGGTCTAACATTGATCGATTCATGATTTCAAAAATTTGTAACTTAACAATCTTCATAACCCCGCAATATATATATCACAATTGACAATATTATTAAATAAACCTTGATGTTCAATGAAATTTCTTATTTAGTTAACAAAGGCATTGAATTTGTGTATTTCCTAGTTTAACATTTAATTCTAGTTTAATATTAAACATATAGATCATAATATTCTCGAGATTGACTTTGAATGTAGTTATTAATGAAAAAACGATAGAATTTTAAAAAAAAAGTCACTAAAACTGAATATGTACATAGGAAAGCAAATGTTTTTAAAGTCAACTTATTATTATTATTATTATTATTATTATTATTATTATTATTATTATTATTCATGTCCTTCATATTGCTAGAACATGTGGTATTACAGTTAAAATTACATAACATGGGTTATTTTAAAAAAGACCTTTGACGTAATAGCCTGTCTAAAACAAACAAGGTGATGAATATAATTCATTTCAGATCGATCAATTAGTAAGTAATGTGATTTGGTATTTTCTATGTTTTAAAGATTTATTTGCACATTGATCAATATTTTGTTAGACAATAAGCTCATTTACAGTTAGAGCTTTGGAGATTTGTATTTTTAAACATTTCAAATAAGTTCATTAATAAAATAGACACAACAGACGAATTAAAATATTATTATTTCTCGATATAAGTTTTGAATTAGTTATTCAATGACTTGAATTTCGTCAGTCAGTCAGTCAGCTGCAACGTAGAACTTCGTACGTATGTACATAAGTTCATGTTGCCATACCACATTAGCACAGAGACGCAAAAATGTCAAATCAAATCCCATGGTGATAAAGATAGTAGAGGTATTAATGGTAATGAAGAACACTAGGGTTCGAAGATATTATTCAAGAAGTATAATTCAGTGAGATAAGGTTAGAAAGACAAAGATAGAGGTGCTGAAGAATCCAGAAGATTAGGATTTGAGAGAGCACAACAAATGGATGCACTTGCGCCATTGCAAACGATTTTGACCCATGTCATTCAAGGTCTCTAGCCATCGATTATTATCATCTCGCGGACCCCAGCCAGGTAGCCTACATCTACCAACATGACTCAGTCCACTTGTCAGTGACTTCATGGATTTCTGCCATGTTTTGGTCTGGCCGCCCCCAGCTTTCTTCTAACCTACTCCTAAACCACAAAACATAGCTCGTCGTGGCAGTCGGTGATTGGGATTCGTAACACATGTCCCAACCACCTCAACTGATGAAGTTTCACCACTTCATCTATTGATCTGCAATCCTTACCTAGGACCCGTTTCCTAACGACAGCATTGCTCACTCGGTTGTCCCACGATATACGATCAATGCTTCTTAAACATCTACGATCGAATACTAGTAACCTACGAACTTAACGTTTGAAGAGTGACATAACAAGATATCATCAATTACAAAAGCTGAGTTTATTTAAACCAACTCTCATTATTCAATCATTTAAAATGGATTTTATTGATTGATAACCAAAACTTATCACAATAGCTATTAAGAATAATGATGCATAAGTTCGATTGTTTTCATGGACTTTAATCTCAATAATATAAATAAAATTTGTTATGTTGGAAGTTGGTTTCGATATTTAACAAAATGCCACGATTGAAAATGTACTGTTACTAAATGTGAAAAGTAACATTGATTATTTAGAATATCAAAGTGATATCTATAAGACGCAAATGCAATGATGTGGTATTTCATAAGTGAAATCTTATCTACTTCACAGGGAATCACGATGATCGCAGTAGGCTTGGATTACAGCTGTACTCATTTTGATGTGGACAACCGAGTGGTAAGTACATCATTCAAATAGAGGTTTAATTAAATATTTATTTATTTAAAGAATAATGAATTAAATAATCTAACAAATAAAAACATAATCAATTACTTACTGCATATTTATCAATTAAACAATTTAATCGGTTTAAATCAGAATTTTGTAAAAGTAATTCAGGATATTCAAGTGAATTGATCACAGTGTTCTGAAAACTTTCATTCTATAAAAATAAGATTTTCAACGACAACAACAACAAAAAAATAATGCCAGAAAAAGAAAGTGTCGTCAGATTATTAAATAATAATTAAAAAAAAACAATTGTTAATCATTCACCTTAAACATTTGAAATGAGTGAATATATAATATACATGCATTGAACAAGGTCACATTAATTGTCGAAAATAAAAATTCGAACCCAAGACCTTCGGTATTGTGCGCGAACGCCCTAACCGATAGACCACTGAGCCGGTATCTAACGGTGTTAATGTCTAACTTGATCATATTCACGGAGTTGCGCAACCTCATACACAGTCTTCGGTAGTAGTTACTGTCTACACCCGAACAGGTTGAACTTCACTGGTCACGTGGATGCGCACTGCTGAGGAGTCCCATACCAGGACGAAACGGCCGTCCAGTGCTTCCAGGTTTCTAATGGTGGTCTAACATTGATCGATTCATGGTTTCAAAAATGTGTAACTTAACAATCTTCACAACCCCATAATGAAAATAAAAATATTCAACAGAATTGCATAGATAAAAAACGGGATTCAAAAACCTTTATGAATTGACAATTTACAAAAAACGAACAAACATGGAGTACGAATTATTACTAAGCAGCAAAACTATTGTTTAAAGATGGAATGAAGGATAATTTCATTTTGAGCATATTGGCTCTTAAATTAATTACTGGATTTCAATGTAAAAACAACAATCACCATAATTCGATAATGAAAAATCATAAAATGTGTTCACTAGTGACTAGCTTTGTGAAGAAATTCTCGGGGTTTTAGTGAAAAGCCATGAAAAGTAGAGTTCAACCCTAACGAGTGTAGGCAGTAAGATTACCGAAGACAATGGGTGAGGTTGAGCGAAACTTTAGACTGATCAAAAATTAGACGTGAACATCGTTGTATACCGGTTCACTGGTCTAGAGGTTAAGCGTTCGCGCGTGAGACCCAGGGTCCTAGGTTCGATTCCCGCGAGCGGAAGTCATGCATGCGCACTACTAAAGAGTCTGATACTAGGATGAAATGGCCATCCAGTGCTTACTGGTCTATGATGCTCTAACAATCAGTGGTTGATGATTTCAATGCAAAATTACTGAACTGTTAATCGATCGATGATAACACAATAATATACAGACTATGATTTGATACTCTTAAACAAATGCATATTATTGATGAAATTAAGAAAAATATTTTCTTAAATAAGTTACAACTACTAGTATATCCATTTAATAAAAAAATAACTATGCTGAACTATTAGTAGTAAGTACACGTAAATCACTGAAGTAATTTAACTCCTCTTGAATATATAACTATTTTAGGCTTAATACAACTAACAATCAACAATCGACTGAAATCAATGAAATGTATCATTAAAAGTCAATTAAGTGTTGTCGAAAAACTAAGAGCTCAAAGTGAAGACTGAATCATTCAGATTTGATACCTGTAGTTTTACATTGTGAACCTATTAGAATTGGTCAATTGAGAACGTCATTTGATGACCATTAGAAAATGTTCTGAAGGACGAATATATTTCTTTAGCCAAGAAATGACTTCTTTTTCTAAGGAGATGGAATACATGTAATATGTAGACGAGTATCTGTACATAGTATATTTCGATAGCCAAATAGATTTTCTCTATTCACTCAAGTAATCAATTTTTTGAACGAATTAGCATGTATCACGCTCAGGTCTCAAGATATCACACATCATGATACATAATAGATTTAAACAACTTTCCAGTGCTTCTTGATTTTTAATAATTGTTTAATTATTTATTACCAGTTCATAATGTAGACCTATGAAATTCAAGAGTCTCCATGACTATTGTGGTGACCAATTTCGACGTCGGGCTCACCACAAAGCGAAGCAGAGAAGCAGTGAATAAAACGAATGAAGCGACGTGAATTGGGGAAGGTTGTTGAGCCAACTCCAAGAGATAGAGCATGACTAAGAATATATAGTCAGACAAATATAAGACAGACATGTGACAAGCGAAATAGGTATGCACACACATGAATAAAAGCGACGAATGACTGACAAGGTCAGATGACAAGTGGGAAAAGTTACGTGAGCTCATACTGAAGTGAACGAGAACACAGGTGGGGCAACCGAATTGTATTTAACGAAAATTACAGAGTTACTCAGTAAAATCGGAAAACCATATCGTAAATCGTTATTTGCAAAATATCAGTTCATCATATCGAACTGGACTGTTCCTGTTGCAAAACATCACTCCATTGTCACTATTCATGCGTTTCATACAAATTCCATTGTGTTCTAACTCTTCCTTTCTTGATTTTCCCCCATCTTCTGCTGCCAGACATTACGTTGACACGCACGTCATATACTACTTATAAGTAGCTCGCACCACAATACAAACCAGATAATAATAGGAACGAATGGTACACATAAATTGTTGCAATACAAACAAATGGCTTGGCTAAATAAATTAATCGAAAAGGCTTAACCAAATTAAATGTAAGCGAAGTCGAATATATATGCGGAGGCACTACAACATATTGTAAAATAAAATGAGACAATGCATTGAATGGTGCTTGAAAGTATCATATGCAAGACTGGGAACACAACCATTGACCACTAATCAGGATTCATGAAAAAAAAACAAAAGTTTTACACTTTCAATGAAAAAACAGATCAATCTAACAATGAATGACCAATACTTACACCATAATTTTTTGGATAATTAAAATATGGTTTAATACTGTATAATAATTGTTGAAATGTTTCACTTAAATGTACAATTTTCTTATCATAATCATGTTTAATATCACTTATACGAAATAAATCATTAGATGATGTATAATAATCTGGAAATTTCCATGGTTGACTTAAATAACCTAATCGATGAATTGTATAATATTCTAAATCAATAACTAATTGAAATCTAGACAAATTTAATAATTTCCTCGTTAAATTTTCAATAGAATCTTCAATAATATGATATTGATGTTGATGATTGAATGAATCATTGATTAATAAAGCTGAAGAGAAATTATGTTTGTGTAATTCTTTCGATGTAATATCAATACCATTGGAATAATGATAATGATTTAGTCGATCAACACGTAGATCATTTAAAATTTGATTTGATCCTGTAATAATTTGTACTGATTGTAAAGAAGAAGACGAAGAAGAAGTATCATCATTGGAATGATCGGATTGAATGAAGATGACTTCATTGATTTCTAAATTTTTATCAATATCACTAGAACTACCATGATGATGATGATGATGAATGAAATCATGATTACCAGATGATAATTGTTTCATTGTTTGTACAATATACGAAGGTGGTAGTAGCCTATGTAAACGTGATTCTAAACAATTACGAACAGTTGTAGTTAAATCTATGCAATGAGTGAAGAACAAGAAGAAATAACAATGATATGAAATAAACTGTACTTTTTTATTAAGAAAAAAACTACTTTTACAAGATAGGTTCAATATACTACACATGCCAATATGATCAAATGTATAACGCACTACCTTGAAAAAAAAATGAGTATATTGTGAGAAATTCAAAACTAAGCATTTAGTCATGAAAAGTAAGCGAAAGGACGTCTTAACTGTAATCAAAAAGTTCCTGTACATATACACTAACGATTCAGAGGCGATATGGCTAAAGAAATACTGATACTAAAGCTGCATAGGTCACTCCAAAGAACCTTTAATGCAGATAAATTACAATCAATGTCTTCCATATATCCGATGATCACTTCGAGATTGGAAGAAACATTATCTAGACTAGCAACCTTCTCTGGTATCCAACAATTAAACTGTTCCTGTAAAGCAAGTTAAATTGGCGAATATTCTAGGAATTTGTATTTTCATGCTCGCACGCAAACCTCCCCCCCCCACCACGTGTGATGAAGGAAAGGTATAGTTATATCTGTTAACAATATGATTCTAGCTTACTTCGAATAAACGGGCCATACAGACAACATAGAGCAATCATTTTCAATAATATATCGCGTTGATATCAATCTGTCTAAATCCGTCAGACTAAGAATCCTTCAGAAGACACAAGGAAAAGCTACTCGTATCGAAAAAGCTAGAGCTTTACATCCAGAAGAAATATGCTCAACCACTGCTTTTACCTTGGCTTACTTCGGGCCCAATTAGTTATCAATTATTTTGATGATAAGTGTCCATGACACCTTTCCCTATGCATTTTCGTAACTTATTCAAAAATCTTACTATTATTATTATTATTATGCTTATAACATTTTGAGAAATTGATGCAATATCAACCCGCTATTCACGAATTCGTACCTTACTCACATTATTCTACATATTGGGATTCCTGAATTTTGATTAAATTATTACCTTATTCAATCCCTATTAGCCATATTTATTCTGATTAGTAATCTCATAAATTTATTTTGCGTATAAACTACTTATTCAAGTGAACACTTCATATTCGTCATTTCAAACACGAACAATTTATATTACACAAAAAAATCCTAAATTCACATGCTATAACTTTCAACCATGTACTTCACCTTAAACCTGATCATTTTTTTTTGAATTAATAATTTGAATATATGGTTGTAGAACTTGAAGAAGATTAAAATGAAAAGAATATTTTTCGTTCATCAGATGGGACTTTTTCAAGGATTTAATTAGCTGATGCAGATTGTGCTGAATCTACTAAGGTTTGTAGTGCCTCCACATATATTTGAATTCGCTTACATTTAAGTTTGGTCAAGCCTTTCGATTAATTTATTTAACCAAGCCATTTGTATAACAATAACTTATATGTACCATTGGCTTTTATTATTGAGTGAGTGGTTTGTATGAGCTGGTATGTGACTGAGCGTCGCTGACCGCCTACGCGCATATTCATCCTATACGCTTTAATGTTAATCTCTTAAATACCTCGATGACTCAGACATTTTCCTTTGTACATATAGGAACATTTTAATCTTATTAATTCATTCGTACATTCGCCCATTCACTCGCTAGTGTGCCTGTCCGGTCTGCTTGTGGTCTGCTATCCCTATTTGTGGTGTGCCAAAATAAACGTATTCAACACTTCGAATTTGCCTTCTGATTTATAAACCGTCAGACGCTATTTGGTAACGATTGTCTGAACGAGTTAATTACGAAGATTAAGAACAAGTAGAAATTGGCCACCACAGGTTTAATTCAATAACCTGAATAACAGGAATGATACTGGTGAATACTGTATCGCTTAGATTTGAAATGTATGCATACAGTAGAATAATTCAGTGTATTATGTTATGGATGTCTAGTTCAGTAACCAAAAGTAACGATTTCCGGTAAAATCAATATAGTACTTCATTGTTATTCTCAGTTATCTAAGAAATTCCATCAGAGTAAATAACTCTTTACTTGCAATATCACAAAGGTTAATATAGGCACAATTTCCATTCGTATACTGGAAATATCCTTATGTAATAATAAAAACTGCTATCCAACTAAATGATCATATTCATGAACATGAAGACAGACTTGTTCTAAAAAGTGTTGATTATCATAAAGCAATGAGATGAACTGAAGTCATTTCATTTCGTATACTCTATATTATCTATATGCACAATAATTTTTATAAATAAATACAATATTTCTACACCTGTAAATGTGTATATAACGTGCATACAGTCATTTAGTTTATTAGTGAAAAATTATTATAAATACTTCCTACATTCATATAAATATATATACTTATCAACTCCACTTGGAGCCCTCCTAGGGTTACTGCCAATCCGAATCCCGATAAAGGAGGAGGGTTGAGCATGAGGTTACAAACCGCATCCCGTAGAAATTCAACTCGCTAAAAAAACACTAACCAGGAAAATAATTCGCTAATCGATGGCCTACGCTCTATTAGGGGTAACCGGCTTAAGTAAGTAAGTAAGTACTACTTATCACTGATCAAATGGAATGTTATGAACATCATAAACTCACATAATCTCAAAAGTTGACGTGCTATAAATCCTGAAGGTAAATTTCTTTCAGATTCTATTAGCCTCGTATTAATGTTTCTTTCCAAAATGCAAAAATCTGCCAAATAAGTTAAACGTAAAAGATATCCCATTCCATCACTCAACTCCATACCGGGCAATGATTCTAAACTGCCGATTTCACTCTAATATGGAAACAACAGGAATATAATACAAAAAAAATACGATGGAAAATTGTTATGAATCATTTACTATTTTATATGCAGTAAATGTAAATTCTTCAAAGTCTTGAAACGGTAAATGCACTTATTAAAAATTAGGAAAGCAATAGTACAAAAAAAGATAAGTATCTAAATTAGTTAAATTTTCATGGGCACATTGTACTAGAACAGACAGTTCTCATGTCGCATACCTTTCAACTCTGCCTGGAGCCCTTCTAGAGTTACTGTCGGTCTCACTCCCGGAAAAAAGGAGGAGGGTTGGGCATAGGGTTGGCGACCCCATCCCATAGAAAACTTACTCGCTAAGAAGACGCTAACTAGAGAAAAATATTCAAGCTAGTCAGTTATAATGAAGTATAACCCGATGAAATTGTATATAGAACGAATGAGCAACCACCGACTGCCTCGACGAGCTATGTTTCATGGTGTAGGAGTAGGTTGGAAGAAAGCTCAGGATGGCTAGACCAAAACATGGCACAAATCCATGAAATCACTAACAACTGGACTGAGTCATGTTGGTATATGTAGGCTGCCTGGTTGGGTTCCGCGAAACGAACGTCACCTATGGTTAGAGACCTTGAATGACATGGCTCAAAATCGTTTGCATTGGCGCAGGTGTATCCACTCTTTGTATAGCAACCTGAACTGATGTACGTACGTACGAAGTTCTACGTTGTAACTGATTACTGACTGGCTGATATTGAACCAAGTTTCACACATAATAAGTAACGTTACAGATATTAATAACAGTGAAATATATTAGCTATCAGAAATGTTATTTCAGAAGAAAGAATGAAGATACAGAGATTCATAATGATAGCTTACAATCTAAACTAGCGTCAGAAAAAAACCCGTAGTAGATTGGATCTCATATGAGACTGTAACAATCGCCAAAGATAAAGACTTCTCATAGATATCTGCCTTATACTTATAATTCACAACAAAACACTACACTGTTGATTCTTTTAGGATATGCACTTTTGACTTAAACTTGCCAAAAGTATTTTTTTTAAAAATCAAACAAAATCTACGAAACAGTGAAATGATAGATTTGAAAAGAACAAATACATGACTTGTTCGCATTTACATAAAGTACATCAGTTTGATTTTGCATATTTGATCACTTCTATATTGTGATTGAAATATTCTATCATGAAAGACACAAGTGCATTAGAGAAGGAAAACCTGTTTCAGACAATTTGCTTGAAATAATGAAAAAAAATAACTTTAATCTTTCATTATATCAAATATACCAACATAGGTATACTTTTTCTAGTATACAAAAAGTTTTGAAATTATTAAAGATAATACTTAATACTCAATTTTCTAATTTTCATAAAGTAAACACAATCATGGTAAGTAAACATATAAAAATTTAATTTTTTACACATCGATGATACGCAACACATAAATTAATCGATCTTTATTATTTTTTTAAGTATCTTTTGTAAAATTATTTAATAAGTAATTCATTGAATATTAATTGTTAGCTAATAAATATGGAGAATACTAAAAATACATAACAATTTTTTTATGAATAGGTTAGCTATATAGATTTTAAAATAAAGATAAATATCTCAAAAAAAAACATTATCGCCATAATTCTAAGTAGAATTTAGTGTGTAAAATGTTTCTGAGGATAGAGAAATCACTAATAAAACTTTGTATGTCTATCGGTAAAAAAAAGTTGTAGGAATGAACTGTTTAACTTAGATAAATTTGCAGTTATATTGCAACAATATCAAGATTTAAAACAATTAATCCCTTTTATAAATTTTGATAGAACAGTGAGAAGATGTAATTGATCTGAAAAATGTTATGTATTGGCGCTCTATACATTTCGAACAATCTGGTCACACATATTTACTTGTCAAGGCATTTTATATAAAGAATAAGGGAAGGCCAAATAAATAAAAGTTCAGATAGACATAGGGTGATAATTGCATATAAAGAAGCGACAAAATTAACGTAATATCAAAAGAATAAGAAAGCGTAGGAAAATTGTCACATTACCCTAGGCTTAAAGATTACCAAGGTAAATTCAAGGTTATGACAAATTGTTTCTGCACACATAAGGGGAGTTTTAATTTTCTAATAGCCAAGGCCTCCATAAACCTCAAAATTCGTCCTTCAACATTTCTATACAATGTTTTGAAGAATGGAAAATTGATAAGAAGTCTTGAAGAATTAATCAATGTTTACGGATTATCTAAAATCTAACAAGGTCAACCTTACTTCTTACAGTGGAGTATTATTCTCTAAACTGAATAGTTTGATTGTTGTGAAGCAATCATCGCTTTTCTGAACATTATCATCAACACAAACTACAGGTAAAAAATTGAAGTTTTTGAATTTTTCCACAAATAATTCGTAGCTTATTATTTTAAAAGATGGAATCGTGTTTTACTCTATGCATGATATGATTTCGCAAGAGAAAGATATGATTGTGAAGTGGCTTGTAAATTAAATTGTTCAGTTTCAGGCCGCTAAGTCATAGGTAAAAAAACCTTACCTCATGTACTTCGATTTGAGTACTCAAGCAATATCATTAGCTCTAGCATTTAGTGTAACTTGAAGCTAATTACATTTATGTGAACCAGATTAGTTACAAGATTAAACACGTATCCATCTAGAAATACTTTTCTACAAAGGTGTACAATGTGCATACGTAATTTACTTGGGTATCTATTTATAATCATTGAAAATATATTTCACTTCACTACTTATCACGAACAGTGTGACATATTGAAAGATAATAACACAGAAAAACCTTCATTTACAACACGAATCATGTACAAAAATTTATTATTAAGCCTGAATATAAAAAGTACATGAAAAAAAGTAATTAAATTCAATAATCTAGAGCGTATCCATTGAGAAATTCTGATTTAAGCTTTCCTGTCAACTAGATTAAACCAACTAACAATTTAGGCGTTGTGGATGAAGACTAGTCACCGTCATCATTAGTTACAATGTAGAACATCGTATGTACGCACGTACATCAACTTAGGTTAGCATACCATATCAGCACAAAGATGCAATTGTCAATTCAAATTCCATAGTGGTAGAGGTAGTAGAAGCATTAGCAGTGATAGAGAAGATTAGGATTCGAAAATATGATTTGAGAAGTATAATCCAGTGAAGTAAATTTAAAAACAGAAGAAAAGTTAAGCGAAATTCAGAAGATTCGAATGTGTGGAAGAACAAAGAATGGATGCATCTGCACCTATACAAACGATTTTGAGCTATGTCATTCCAAGTCTCTAGGCACCAGTTATTATCATCTCACGGACCCCACTACTAAAATGGCTCACTGTGGTTGTCAAGGACTTCATGGATTTAAGCAAACTAATGGTCACACTGGAAATCACCCCTCGACGGAATTCGATCAACTTCGAAAGATTAGGCAAACATGACAGTAGTCATTACTCAATGATCAATCAAATATAAATAATAATTAGTTTTTACATGTGTACTTGTGAAGATTGTTAAATTTCATTGAAATCATGAACTTAATCTAGTTTGAACCACTTTTAACAACTTAGAAGTACTAGCAAGGTCATTTAGTTCAAGCGCTCTCAAGTTTTCAATGGTGATTCAACTTAAATTTACTGTTGATTCAGTTAATTTTTAATCGATATTGTAAAATGAACAAAAAAATACGCACTGTGGAACTTGATGCTGCAGCAAGTAACGGCAATAAACCTCCACATGCACCAATAATCATATCAGATAAATATGAAATTATATGTAAAAGATTTGTGACAAAAATCGATTCATTCCTTGTATCAACCATATTTATGTTTGTCTGATTTTGTGTATAAATCTTGCTGTTATTAGTATTATTATTATTATGATGATCATTAGTAATCAGATGAGTATCTGTCAAAGATGCCCGGTCATTTGTATATCCTATCCTCGTGAAAGGATGCGTTGTCGTCATTGTTGTTGTTGTCGACGACGACGATGCTGATGATGATGTGGGCGCTGATGATAATACTGATGAGGATGAAACTGTTGCTGTTGTTGGCGGCGGCGGCGGTGGTGGTGATTGCAATTGTGTAGAAGATTGTGACTGAACTGATTCTTTTCTCGATTTTGTCTGTTGCTTCAACATATTCTCTCGTGATTCATAGGATGGTGTAGACAAATTAGAAGACGAAGTGGAAGATCGTTTTCTATGAATATCTTGTCGACTAAATGAATTCGGAAATAATAAATAGTTAAAATCAAATTCATTGAAAAATAATGAAGAGAAAGACCAATGTATTCACAATTTGACATCATCATGCTTGAGTATTTAAGCTGTATTAATCTGAATAAATGGTTGACATCTCTTAGAATCGGTAGCAGTGGAATAGACTCATTCACCTACTGTCTTTTTTTTTTATATTTGAAGTTTCAAAATTAGCTTATCGGATCCCGTGAATTTATTCTGTTCATTTCGAATCATATCATTACTTATTTATTTAGGCCTGTTACTCCTAATGGAACATAGGCCAGTATTCTCAAAACCTACTCTATCCCGGGCCTTCCTTTCCAGTTCCACTCAATTACTGTTCATTCTTTTTATGTTTGCATTGAATTCTCAGTTTAATATGTCTTTTGGTCTTTCTGTTTTCATATCATATCTGTTTATTAGTTTCTACTATCATTGTTATCATTACTGCCCCTACTACTCTGACATTTCACTACACAGATATGATGCACAACTTCAATTAATTCAAATATATGGCAGTCGTTATGTTGTATATAAGGAACCAACTTTTACATCTATAAGCTAAAACGAAATCATTTAGAATAAATCAACATTTATCATTCATAATTCCATACTATAAAACATATTGAACGTGAACATATCAATAGAGCAATCATTTTATGCTCTTCATTTGATATGCTTGAAATTATTACGAGTTCACCGTAGTCGGTAAACGAGACCGGAGACAAATGATCCAGTGACACGATAGGCTACTCTAATCCAAGCGTCCCAAGGCCCCACTAAGTAGAGAAAGAAATCTTGACAAGACGTAGAAAGTGTATTCTACAAGCACCCAGAAAATTGAAGTCGACAAACACACAAATCGAGTTTATTTATACAAGATCGAAACGTCCTTAGCAGAGCCACAAAAATAGCGTACTAAAATAATACATCAACCAACAACAGCCAGTAATTTTCCGGGTGGGATATGTAATCCCAAGATCAACTGATCAGCCCATGCTCGAAAACATAAAATCCAAAATCAAGACATTTATCAAATAAGTTCTGGGGATCTAACAACCCTTCCAACAAATTGATATATTTTTGAAACCATGAATCGATCAATGTTAGACCACCATTAGAAACCTGGAAGCACTGGACGGCCGTTTCGTCCTGGTATGGGACTCCTCAGCAGTGCGCATCCACGTGACCAGTGAAGTTCAACCTGTTCGGGTGTAGACAGTAACTACCGAAGACTGTGTATGAGGTTGCGCAACTCCGTGAATTGATCAAGTTAGACATTAACACCGTTAGATACCGGCTCAGTGGTCTGGGTCCTGGGTTCGAATCCTGCGGGGTCAGGAGTCGTGGATGCGCACTGCTGAGTAGTCCCATATACCAGGACGAAACGGCCGTCCAGTGCTTCCAGGTTTCTAATGGTGGTCTACTAACATTGATCGATTCATGGTTTCAAAAAATGTGTAACTTAACAATCTTCACAACCCCCTTAATGCAAATTGATATATGTTTAAATGATTAAAAAAAAAAAACTACTTACATTACAATATTTTCCAATGAACACAATAAATCATCTAACAATAATTGATGTACATATGACCAAGAAAAATTGTCTAATTGAAATTTCATAGATTTATCTTCAATTTTTAAATTAATCACTTCATTGGTTAATTTATTATTATTCTCTACACTATGATCATGATCAGACAGAGAAGGTGATTGAAATTTGTTCGATAATGGTTTTGCCAATGATAATGATGGTAATTCAATATTTTCATAAGATAAAATTGAATCTGAAGGAGTACGATCAAGTATTTGATCTGTAATTATAATAGAAATAGTTTAAATGGAACGATTATAATATTAATAATAAACATTAATTTGATTGCCAGTTAATCAGTGTTGATTAAAATTCATTCCTATAAATGTTAACCGTAAATTTTAAATAATTATTCATCTTCATTTAATTAATAAATAACATGAGATAAAATACACATAATCTATATATCATTACTTATTTGACTACCTTTACTTACGCCTGTTGCCCTCAATAGAGAATAGGTCGCCCACCACCAGTTTTCTTCAACCAACTCTGTCCTTGGCTGCCCTTTCCAGTTCTTTCCAGTTTTTGTTTATTATTCGCATGTCTTTCCCTATTTCTCGGCGTAATGTGTTCCTTGACCTTCCTCTTTTACTTTGACCTTGAGGGTTCCAAGTAAGGGCTTGTCTAATGACACAGTTCGGTGCTTTTCGCACTGTGTGTCCTATCCACTTCCACTGCTTCCGTCATTAGAACCTTCGGGGTTACTGCCGGTGCCATGCCCGGATAAAGGAAGAGGGTTGGGCATAGGGTTGGCGACCCCATCCCACCGAAAAACTAACTTGCCAAAAAAAAGCTAACCAGAAAAAATAATCTACATATCATAAACAGGATGAATTAAAAAATGTTAAAAAGATGAAGTATAAAGATTGATCTTCTCACCTGAATTACACACTGAGCTTGAACCACTGTTATTAGTATTTTTATTAATGGTTTTATTGTTATCATCAGCATTGTTATTATTATTATTATTAATGCTTTCAATGGATGAATCGTTAGATGATAATAAATGCTCATCTTTCATTTGATATGATCCATACTCTGTAAGATCAATACCCAATGCATTGTTCATTGTGATAGAATTGTTATTATTTGAAAATAATACTGAATTGTTTGTGTGTGGTGAATTGGATTTCATTTCATTTACTGTACATTTGGTTTTTATAGTCTATAAGAAAAAAATTAGGATAATAATAATTATTATTATTATTATCATTATTACGTAAAACCGTTAATGTTTGTTTATTCAAAAAAATATAACTATTATAGATTCAGTCTAATTTATTTAATTATTAACAATAAAAGTAAATTCCAGTGGATGAGGAAATCAGGAAGAAGCCGTGGAAGTGGATAGGACACACACTACGAAAAGCACCCAACTGCGTCACGAGACAAGCCCTCACATGGAACCCTCAAGGCAAAAGGAAAAGAGGAAGGCCAAGGAACACACTACGCCGAGAAATAGAGAAAGATATGAGAGGAATGAACAGAAATTGGACAGAACTGGAGAGGGAAGCCCAGGACAGAGTTGGTTGGAGAAAACTGGTGAGCGGCCTATGCTCCATTGGGGGTAACAGGCGTAAGTAAGTAAGTAAATAAAAGTAAATTTATTAGCACAAAAATAAAATAGATTGAACAATAGGAACAGAAAGAACTAATAATGTAAATGTAATGATATAAATAAAAAGTAATCAATAAAAAAATATCGTTAAGAAATTACCTTTTGAAGACGACTATACACAATTATTTGTTTTTCAGAAAATCACTTAATAATATTTGAGTGTATGATATCAGTTGAAACTATCAAACAGAAGCGAAATCAACTACAGGAATCAATAAACGGATCATTCTACCATGCATAAAAGACATATCGAAATTTATAGCATGACTACTAAGATCATTTGATATAGGTGTAGTACACAAACTAACAGAATCATTACAATCAATCTTATGCAGACCAAAGGATAAAATGACAAATGAGGCAAAATCAAATATCATCTAAAAAATTAAACTGTTCAGACTGTGAAAAACTCTAGATAGGACAAAGTGGACGTCCTCTTCAACTTTATTTACGTGAACATTAATTGGAAGCCAAAAGTCATAACATTACTTCGAACATACGGACAACTATGGACATATGTTCGATTGGAAGAATGTTGAAATACTGGATAGCGAGAGTACAAAGGAAACTAGAGAATTTTTAGAAGCTTGACATTCAAGTCAATCAGCAACACACATCGATCCAATTTATCAACCAATCAGAAAAATCATAGACAAACATAGGATCAAGAAACAGATCAAAAGGGGTTATAATCAAAATAAAGGTGCAGATAGAGACACGTTTATGGTCAACAACAACCAGTCAAGATCGATGTTAGCAGAACAAGCCACAGGTCAAACGTGGAGAAATTCGAATGCTTCACTTCTATCTGAAGTTTGTTCAGAAGAACAATGAAAGCTCCACAACCAAAATATCCAAATTAGAGAACGAAACTCCACCAAGATAGTTTATACAGATATCAATAAAACATTCAAAAGTAACATTAAAGAATGAATTTTTTCTGACCAATTGTACATTACCAAATTAACAGTTAGTAGTAATGAAAAACTTTTTATAGAGAACTGAGCAGAGACATAAACTATAATCGAACGATTTATAATTATTACGAATTATTAGTGTGGTAGATACTACTCGTGACTTAAATTCAAAGTAGTATAAAGAGGAGTATCGCCAAGAATTTACTACTGGGAAAAAGAATGTCGAATTGGAAAGCATGATGCAATCAAAGTGTTTCGAAGACCAGAAGACATAGAGTAGTAAGTAGGCAATAATCTGCTTATATTGTATTGTATGAGAGTTTGAAGATTACATGGACATGTTATGTCAGTAAACTGTAAGTTCTCTCTCTCTCTCTCTCTCTCTATATATATATATATATATATATATATATATATATATATATATATATATATATATGACCATTTCATGTGATCTTGACATATTTGTTTACTACATTAGTTTACTTAAACTTTTTTCAAGGTTTGAATAAACAATTACATAAACACTAAACAAAAAGTATATAAGGACGATATGAGGTATTATTTATATAAATGTATAACACAAGTTGGGATTTAATAGTTGTTAAATTAAATATCCGTATTAAACAGTATACATCAAAATACTATTATGGTATCCCTTTTGAGTTATAAACCAATATTGATAACATAACGTGACGGTAAATATAATCAATGGTTTATCAAAAGGAACAAAAAATGAGACACAGGCGTGGTATTTCAATGAATATATTTCAAAAGGAAGTAAACGCCTAAAATCTACTTTGAAATATCATATTTTTGCCCAATAATAATAATTAAAATCAATAATATGAGACTTTTCACAACTATGACAACAAGTTCATTTGAAACACGGTAATGGATACATATATATGGAATAATGATTATTTCTTAGTTAGATAAAAAAATAGATCAATTTAAAAAAAACTGTCGGATGAATGAAACGTTTTTGATTTGTCATAAAAAAACAAACAAATTACCCTATATATAACCAAACAATTAGATATGTCTAATCACAGAATAATAATAGAATTAAAATGCTGCCAATGATTTCAAATCGACTGTGACCGATTCAGTCTTGTGTTAAATATTCAATAGTAATAGACAATTATGAAAACAAAAATAAATTTAAAATATGAAATGAATCAGGGTATTTAGTGTGAATAGATTTAACATTTGATGTTAAATAATTGAAACTAATTTTTGTTGGTTTAATTACTTTCATAAAATAGTTTCAATAGTTGCTAAATGTATACACACAATGGAAAAGTAAGAATTATAAGGTAAGTGTAAAATGTGACGATTAGATAAGTGTTCTTCTATTCGAACCGAAATTTTCAAATGAATAATAATTGAGTAATTCAATTAGCTTTACAATATTATAAAGTGTCACACATTTATTAAAGGTTGGAAGTTGATTTTATTTCATTAGCACAGTGATAAGATTCAAATATTTGAACGCTTTGTTAAAGGATCATGGTGAAAAACTTTCTCCGTTTTCGAACATAACTGCTAATATTACAAAAATTGAAATATTCCATTGACGATTAATTACATGTATAAGTCAGTTAGTTACAACGTAGAACTCTGTACATACGTACCACATTAGCACAGAGATGCAATAGTTAATTCAAATTCCATGGTAGTAGAGGTAGTAGAAGTGTGGTGCGAGCTACTTATAAGTAGTATATGACGTGAGTGTCAACGTAATGTCTGGTAGCATAATATGGGGGGAAGATCAAGAAAGGAAGAGTTAGAACACAATGGAATTTGTATGAAACGCATGAATAGTGACAATGGATTGATGTTTTGCAAATTAACGATTTACGATGTGGTTTTCCGATTTTACTGAGTAACTCTGTAATTTTCGTTAAATACAATCCGGTTGCCCCATCTGTGTTCTCGTTCACTACAGAAGTATTAGCGGTTATCGGAGAGATTAGGGTTCGAAGATATTTTTAAAAAAGTAGAATCTTGTGAAATAAACTTAAAAAGAAAAAAAATAAAGGTGATGAAAAATCCAGAGGATTAGGATTTGAGAAAAGCCAACGAATGAATGCACCTGAGCAATTACAAAAGGTTTTGAGCCATGTCATTCCAGGTCTCTAACCATCGATTACGCAGAATGGAAACATTATCGGTTAAATGAATATTGATAATAATAATGATAATCATAATAATTTTTCTATGGTACTTCTTTTAATGAATAGATAAGATCGATAGTATTTACTAAAAGCGATAACTAAATTATCACCACTTTATACACTAATAAATGAGTACTGACCTTGAACAAACCAAATATGTAAATGTTAAACTTGGCATCATGATAGTACACACCCATACACAAGTATTGGTTTATATTAACAAACAGATCTTGTAAACGATTACGCTCGCACATACACCGTTGCAACTTTCGACAAATGTTTTCACCTATTTAGCTCTCAAAAGTACGGAACCTATACTATCCAATCACGGTTTAATACAATCAATAGGGTTTGATTAAGTAGGAAGAATCAGACAAAAGTTATTAGTTTCAAGTTCTATTCGAAAAACATGAAGAGATAACAATTCAGGAAAACTAATAATCGACAACAGGGGGACACATAGTTGCAAACTTTCAGAAATAATTGAATTTCAAAACTTTTTTTCATTTTTCAAACGATTATGTTTGTTTTTTATCAATATTTAAATATAACGTATAAAAGATAAAGTAAATTAAAATATACTACTCACTTGTCGTTTATCTTTAAGACAATTAAATCTTTCTTGACAAATATGTAAATGAATTAATGCTAATGTATCGACCAGTACTTGCCAACTACCATATTCATGACATATTCCATAGATTAATAATATACGTATTAAATGTAAAATTTTCACAAGAAAATTTGCATTAATTTTATTGTTAGGATATAATGGTACTAAACGAAGTAACCAATCTTGCCAAACTGATAATTGTAATATAATTCTATAAGGATTATAATGATAAGACAAAGCAAAAAGGAAGAAAAATATATGAATGTATAAATCAGCGATAGGAATATATTACGCATTGAACATTGAAAAAATGTAAACAATTTAAGAAGAGAGGGAAATCTACAGTGTCATGGAATTATTATGGTTATAAGTGCTGCTCTTCAAACAATTTGAAGAACTGATAGAATCTTAATTAATAAAAACAGTATTTTTATGAATCATTTTTATGATTAAGTAATTCGAAGGTTGATAACATCATAAACAATAGTATATAACTATATAATGATCTTAATAGCATTTTCAATTTTATAACAGGCGAAATTGGAAATAAACTTTATAATGAACTGTAAATTTGATGACTGACCAGTCTGAACGGGAAAGTGTTTGTTTCTAAATACATAACTTCAATATAACGAAAGAAATGAAACTATTTAAGGCTGTTTAAACGAGATTCATAATCAATCTTACATATTTTTCCACGAAATTTTCACTTGTTTACATACTTACGCCTGTTATCCTCAATGCAGAATAGGCCGCCAACAAGTATTCTGCAACCTACTCTGTCCTAGGCCTTTCTTTCGAGTTCTATCCAATTAATGTCCATTCTTCTTAGGTCTGTCTTCATTTTTTGGCGTAATGTCTATTTCGGTCTTTCTCATTTCTTTTGGCCTTGGTAATTCTGAGTGAGGGCTTGCCTTGTTACGCAGTTACATGCTTGCCTCAACGTATGTCCGAAACACTTCCAGAGGTTCTTTCTGATTTCTTCCTCCACTCAAATCTGGTTTCTTCTATACCACAATAGGTCGTTGTTGATGATATCTGGCCAGCGAATCCAAAGTTTTTTGCGTAGACTTGTTTACTAATATGTTTATCAATCATCAAGATTCAAATAAACTATTTAAACGAGGGTATTCTTTATAACACAAACCCATGCAGCTGAAGAATCACTAAAAATCAAAGTGTTTCATAGATGTTTTGTTCTTAGGGTTGAACTTTGTACGGATGTGGACCCTTGATCCCGTTGGTTATCTTCACATATTTCGAAAAATGATGAACCATTAGACCAGTGAGTCAGTCACTCTTTATTAGTAAGTAGCTTTCGGTATGGAGCAATTTGTATCGAATATCATCAATGTACTAAGTAGTCAGTCCTGGTACGTACAGTATTTATTTCGATGACTTACAGAAACGTGATAGCATTTAAACTTAAAATGTCATTTGTTTTACAGACTGTTTAAGTTGAATGATATACCATAGAGCATATGTTGCAGCTTAGTTGGAACAGTCCAGTTTATGTGACAACTAGTGATTAAGCCGTGTATAAACTTAAACAAACACAAGCACTAACTTTTGATCATTCGCATACATTTAAGTATTCATCAGAACTATCATTTTGTGCATTTTTCTTAAAAGCACTAAATCATTATAAATTTTGATATACAACCAGTTAAAACTCTTACAAAACTTACTTCTTATTATATGGATTCTGTGTACAAAATACAAACAGATGTTGAATAAAAGTATCTTTAATGGTTAAAATCTCATTTGTTTGTTCTGATTGAGCAATAAGATGTGCAATAACTTTAAGTATAGCTATCAAAAAAAAATTTGTAAATAAATACAATATTACATAAATCAATATAAATGAATAGACTTAGTAGGAATGGTAAAGAAAGGATAGTTTAGTATTTTGTGAAATAAAGTAAATTATTTATTTGTTGACATCAATTAAGAAATAGGTATTTTGAAATGGATCTTTACATTGACAAGTCAATCACATTTTAGACAGGATATTCACTACTTATAAAGAATCTGTGCCATAACTGAAATTACACATTTTTGAAACCATGAATCGATCAATGTTAGACCACCATTAGAAACATGGAAGCACTGGACGGCCGTTTCGTCCTGGTATGGGACTCTTCAACAGTGCACATCCACGACTCCTACAACCTGCAGGATTCGAACCCAGGACCTTTGATATTGTGCGCGAACGCCTAACCACCGGACCACTGAGCCGTGTTCATGTGTTCATGTCTAACTTGATCAATTCACGGATCAATTCTATAAGAAATAAGCAAAAATTGATCAATCCTATACGGAATATCAACAAATCATTGATTCACAAATCAAACGACAATGATAACCAGTTGTACACTGGTCAAAGTAATTACATAAGAGTTCGTTCATCATTGACCCATCTCACTAGAAACATTACCAACGGAGAAATATCGATCCCGGTAAAATGATATCAATTAAATATTATTCCTATTAAACAAGTTGATGGTTATCATCATGTAGTAGTCGCCTTATAAATAAGGCTTTAATCATTTATCTAGTAGACTCAAGGTTATTTTTACTAAAAATACATGAAGTTTAATGAATTCCTAATAAAAACACAATGTATATCCTAAATCTCACTGTGAACAACAAGGCAGTATACTGTCTACGTGTGATTCTCAATTGTATAGAATTAAGTTGGTGTATACACGTACATACATATTTATTGCTTTAACAATATGTTTATTTAAAAAACAAAACAAAATAATCAAAGATATAAAACAATTTTCAAAATATTTTACCTGGATTTTTAATTGTTAACATAGTTTTATCAATGGTAATACAAGAGTTAATACGAATTTTCGGTGAAATACATTCAGTCATTACCTGTAAGTTTATAAATATAGAAAGTAAAAGAAAGTTAAAGAAAATAGAATTCAATTTTATTTTTTTACAATTATATAAATTAACCCTCTATTGTCAAGGGCAATTTTACATTGATTTTCAGGAGAACCAAGGAGACCTGCTCACGTGTGAGCATTTCAACATGAATAGTTCGGCTTAATCCCGTGGTGTAACCACACAGGTACCTGATACCCTGATAGACCAAAATAGAATTCACCATAGATCAATATTAACTCATAGTGAATGAAATTAAAATGGCCAAAAGTTACTAAACTTAATTTATTTGTTTTTTAAATCAATATTCACAGTTATATTTGTATATAAAGGAGAAACATGAATAATTGTATGTTTATATTAAAAAAACGTTACGAGTCACAGGTTTTGTGTGAAGAATAATGACAATATATAACCAGCCATAAGTTAAAAACGAAATGAAATAGGTTTCTAAATTCATGATACTACTTTAAAGAAGGTTGAGTAATTTATGCAAAATTAAAACTTCTGTACACAAGCTTCATCAGATTCAATTCGATTATAGTAGTAACAGTTGAGAATATCATACTCATATGACTAAATGTGAACATCAACACCAGGACATGCGTATATCCAGCTGACAAGTCAAGTATAAGACAACATGTATGTTCTGAATTCTACTGGGAACAACAAACCAAGTACAATGTTGTCGTGCTCGTCACTTCATATATTTGGAACTAATACGAGTTCACCTTAGTCAATAAATGAGAACGAGGCTATGACCGAGTGACACGATAGGCTACTCTGATCCGTTACCCACCCCAACTAAATGAAGAAAAAGTCTTGATATAGCGTAGAAAGTGTATCCTACAAACGTTCAGCAAATACAATGAACTCAAGCACACAAATCGCGTTTAGTTATAAGAATGTCCTTGGTAGAGCCATAAAAATAGCGTACTAAAATAGCACATCAACCAATCACATCCAAGCATTTTCCTGGTGGGAAATGTGATCTAAAAGTCAACGGATCAGCCCATGAATAAAATCCGAAATAAAGGTCTTTATCAAGTGAGTTCTGGGGATATAACGTCCCCAACAAATGCATACCGGTTTAATAAGAAAAAAATATACCTAATAAATATTTATACAAAATCGATATAACCCAGTATAACAATCAAGCGAAACAGCCACTAAACTTTAATCAACAGAAAGACCGTTGCATATGACATTATTGGATAAATGAAAATCTATAAAATTATTATTCCATATAAATAAAAAAAGTGAGCAGTATAGTCAAGATAAAATTCTACGATATAAAGCCTAAAGATGTCATCACTAAAAAAAATAAAATACAAATAATCATTATTTTTTGTCATTTACAATCTGCATAACATTGACATGATATATGTAAAACATTTGAACTTTAGACAGATCTATCGATAATAATATTTCAAGTA